TCCCCGTCTCCCAGTCCTCCGCCGTACGCCGAATCAACCTTAACTTCATCCAGCTCCCCTCCTTCTGGATGCTCCAAATCGGCAACGTCCTCCAATCACTCGGCTATTTCCTCCCCTACACCTACCTCTCCACCTACGCCGTCCAACAACTCCACGTCTCTACAACTGTAGCAACGACCCTGCTCGTCCTCATCAACGTCACCTCCATCCCCGGCGGCATCGTCATGGGCAGCCTGGGAGACCACCTCCGCGTCACCACCGTGATCCTCATATCGACCATCGGTTCCGCGCTCGCAGTATTTCTGTTCTGGGGATTTTCGAGTCAGACAGCGCTGCTGGCTGTCTTCAGCATCACATACGGCTTCTTCGCCGGCGGGTTCAGTTCTACCTGGTCTGGAGTGCTGTCTGAGTTGAAGGCTGAGAGCCCGGCGGTGGACACGGGGTTCATCTTTGGGTTGTTGGCTGGTGGGAGAGGAATCGGCAACGTGATTAGCGGGCCATTGAGCGTAGCTCTACTAACTGGGGATGGGTGGATAAGAGATGGCAAGGGCTGGGGGTATAGCGGACAATATGGCGGCATTATCTTGTTCACAGGCGTTACGGCAATGTTGGGTGGATGGGGAGCACTTGGTAGGGTCAAGTGCATTTGCGCCAGGTGAGCTCAATGCTTAGGCCTGATCCCATGCTAATGTCACTCCTCCACGCTTCGATCAATCGGACGTCGGTAGTCGGGGTAAGAGAAGTAAGGCAAATGCGCGGCCGATATCTGGGGTTCTTAATATCAAATTTGCGAAAACATCCATGTCCAGAAGGCAACGTAGGATAGGGTCAAAGGTTTGATCATGGGTAGACATTATTACTATAAATCTCTCTAGTCTGATTGTGACTTAATCCTCAACCTCCTAGATGAATCAATCATCATTATAACCACCCGTCTAGTGGTTTCTCTTGTAAATGGTACCGTTTCCGGTAAAGTTACCAGTCTGGGTAGTGAAGTCATCAGTGTTGCTGAAGTTGTCAATCTTTCCGAGCAGAATCTCGAGCATGCGGTACGCGACACCAGGAGTGTATCCGGGCAGCTCATGGCCAGCAAGACGAGCAGTGTAGAAGGTCAATCCACGATCGGCGGTCCACACACCCTGAATACCGGCGCCGGCAAGCGCGCCAGCATTGTACTCGGGGTGGTAAGGAGCGATGAGAGGCGTAGTGGGGTACTCCGACAGACCCTGCGCGCCGTTCCAGGTCATGTTCTGGATCGCGAAAAGCGTACCGTTGGTGCTGAGAAGCATGTCGAGGTCACCAGAGCCGATGATGGTGTTGTTGGTGAACTCGATAACGCGCTGCAGGGCACCAGTGATGGCGGGGCCGTTAGACTGGTCAGAGCCGCGACGAGTTCCGTTTCCGAAAACGTTGACGTTGGTGCACTGCTGCCAATTGGAGTTGAGGGGTGCGTTGAGCGCCTTCTTGACGTCGGTGCGGTTGAAGTAGATCTCGGCGCCAGGCGGGGTGTAGTCGCCGCTGTTCACGATGCCGAGCTGGGAGTATGGGTGCGGGCAGGTCTCGGTGATGTGGTAGATGTTGAAGCAGGGGTTGACCTCGATGATGGCCTCGTAGAAGGTATCGAACATGTCGCAAGCGTAGACATCGCTGTTGTAGGGATCGGGCAGGACGGGGAAGGCCTCCTGGGGCGGCGGGAACTGGAAGTAGGTGTCGAGGTAGGAGGAGTAGTTGCACGAGTCCTGGCGGTCGCGGACTTGCTCCATGAAGGTCTCGTTGAGGTAGAAGAGGTTGTTCCAGAACTCGACGTAGGGGAGGATGACAACCTGCTGCTGAATGGTCTCGTCGCCGATGATGGGGTCGTTGATCGAGATACCGGCCAGGTTAAAGTAGTCGGTATCGTTGGCGGAAATGAAACCGTCAGCAATGTATGGGACGTAGTATCCGGCGTACGACTCTCCAGTGATGTAGGTCTTCCAGGTCTTGAGGTCAAAGGTGTCGATGAAGCTCTTGTAGAAACCGCGGAACTCGGTCGCAAGCTGGACCTCATCGGTGATATTGGGTACTCCCTGGGAGTAGCCAACACCGACGGGTTGCTCGACCCACAGCATGTTGGTCAAGTTGGTCCATGAGTAGGGGTTCTGAACGGGGGCAAGTGTGCCCGCTTCCCAAGTGAATGGGCCGTTCTCCGTGAGGAAACCGGAAAGAGAGGAACATCCTGGTCCACCATTGAGCCTGTCGCACGTTAGCGGGTTGCTTCAGATCCGGCTATTATTTTGCTATCTTACCAGATAACCACCTCTTCAGGGGTCTGCGCGGCTGATGAGGGGAAGAACCAGAAGAAAAGCTCGCGAGTCTCGTCGGGACTGTCGGAGATGGGGAGCAATCCAGCGTAGGATTCGCCAATGTCGAAGGGCACTTCGGGGATACCAGTGCCATTGACAGCGAAGGCTTGGAGAGAAGTCAGCTTGGCGACCAAGAGCTTCAATGCCCGTCAATTACTCACCCTTAGTCTTCTCCGTCAAAAATTGGGAGGCGCGCTTCTGAATCTCAGGGTGAGAGAAGGGCTGGTTGGCCGCGCGCCTCTCGACAATGGACCTCGGAAGCGTAGGCCTGGTCGGCTTCTTGAAAGCAAGCGCAGAAGAGGCGCAAAGCAGCCCGCTGAAGAGGTTGAGGAGCTTCATCTTGAGTTTGACTGGGGAGAGACTGCAGGCGAGTGAAGACTTCTACTCCGACCAGAGCTGGCCCGGCCGTGGTATTTGAACATTTTCGTATATGACGGCATCACTTCACAAAGGCCCTGACGCTTACCATAGGCAGAAGGAGAAGGTTCAAAGTGCCCAAAAGTCCCCTGATAGAATGGGTCACTTCTCGATGATTGAACGGCAGTGGGTCCAGGCAAATGTTGATCGTTGGTTCATGGTACGTTGGTCGGTTGTTCGGCATGCGAGAAAGCGTTGCTAGCCGGTCTCCTCCAAAGGTACCTTGGACTCATCTAGGCCTTTTGGAAAGCTCATATCGAGAAAAGTCGTGTTCAGGTTACCTTGAACCTTGAGGTCATTTGGTAATGAGCTTGTACTGATAAGCCTGATTGGCCTTGGCCGAGTCTCGGTGTCATGTAAACTTCATGTGTCCTTCTTAGTGACCAACGGCGCAGAGGAACCTGGCACTTCTGGGTATTAATCGCGTGTTCGGCTCTTAAGGCCGCATAAAAGTTGTAAGATGACGCAGCCGGGAACGAACTGTCACCTTCCTCTTAAGGTTAAGGCCGGTCCCGCAGATCGACAATGAAGCTCCAACGGCATTCGTGATTCGATCACTGTGTCTTAGTGTCGTGGGAGCAGACAGGGCCCCGGATAGATCAAGCTTCGGGCGCACGATGCAGCCGAAGCTTGGGCTAGCTTGGCGAAGCTTGTCAAGCTTAGCGACTCTCGGGGCGGCGTTGGGCGGGTTGTTTGCCTGGAGCCTGGAGGATCGATACAAACGCGGCAGAGCGGGAGAGAAACAAAAAGTCCGACCTCCCCGGCATATCAACAGGGATCAAAGGCTCGCGAGCATTAGGACCTGCCTGGGAGGTACTACGGTGATATCGTATTGCAAAGTGCGGGATGTCGCGTAATCACGACCTTGAGTGATGCGATGCAAGGTAAGAAAGCTCGATAGATGCTAGATTGCGAGACGAGTAATTCGCTCATGCGAATTGCACGGCTTAACTACTGCCCGCTATGTATGTCAAGGTTACTCAAAAGTTCCAGTTCATCTCATTCTTAGAAAGTTGAGTCCACCTCAATCTGCCTCCCCCAGAAATGTGTTTGGAACCCCACGTTATCGCCCACTCTCTCGCTTAGTAATTAGTCTTACTCCAAGACGCTCCAGCATTCCTCCAGCACGTGGAGGTCAAGAACCGTTACTATTTACGCCCCGTCTCCCCCTCCAACAATACCGTCGTTGAAGGCGAGAGGAACTTGATGCAAGAGCCCCATGCTCCCTCAATCGCCGGCATCACGTGGTGCCAGGCGTTGACTTACGATAGCAGGATGATGGTTATGACCAATGGAAGCTGACAGGCCCAAGAGAAGGATGACATCAGGCGCATTGGCACTGCAGTCCGGTCCAATGACTAACCTAGTGTGCGTCTTGAGCATTGCCCGCGCGTCGCACGGCCACACCGAGCCATCATCCCCCTCAATTGCATGCAGCATTTGCGGCGTGATTGAAATGTAAAAACAGTTTCAGCCCTCTGTGCAGAAAAGAGGCGTAAATCGACCAATACAATGACCGGAATGCTGTGGCTGAAGATGCTGACGCGGCAGCCACACTGTTGGTGGGCCTCACAAGGCCCAACATCAATCCGTCTGACATCGCCAAGGTAGAAAACTATCATACTTAGACTTGACGCAAGGTAACAATAAGATACCCACAAGTCGATCGCGAGTCCATCATCACAGAGAGCCAGAAAGACGCAACTGCAATGGGACCCTCAAAAGCATCACCCTCCGAGGCGGCACCAGCCTACGACGAGCACGGCTTCCACGACGAGCATCCCGTAAACGCGTTTCTTCCATCAGGATCAGCCTCAGCCTACGCGACAATCCCGCAGAACGACGAGCGCGATATCGAGCTGGCACACGATCACTCGGGACCAGATCCGTCGGCCCCTTTCAACCCCTTCAAGCCGCACCAACACTGCGAGACGTGCGACAAGTTCACGTCGGCGCGCGAGGTCAGGGCCAACGAGAGGCACTGCTGCCTCTGGGTTGCCATAGTGTTCATAACAATTAGCGTCTCGATGGCGGTGATGGGAATCGTTGCTGTCGAGGCAAAGTTCAGACATCACAAAGATTAGGCATCGAGAACACGGTTGTTTCTCCAAGTCGTCTGTCTACTAGATATGACTTTCTAATAGTTGGGAGTTCCTTTGTCTGGGTTGGTGCGCAACAGTCGGGTGATCGATCCAGAAGCCAAGCCTTGCCCCAAGCAAATGCCGACAAGACTGCGTCTCATCAAGGTCTGCGCTGCTTCCTCCAACCCGGTCCCTTCTTGCGAATGATCCAAGCCAAAGGCAACTCAGTGGCAAGGAACAACGCATAGATAGCAAAACACCAGCCCAACCCCGCAGCATCGGCGAGTGGTTGTAGTGCTGCAATTCCCGCACCCGCTCCCAAGCATCTCACTATGCTGGACGCACCCTGTGCTGTAGCAGATCTTTCGCAGTTGAGGTCGGTTAAGAGTGTTCCTGTCATCTAGGTGTTTTGGTTAGAGCCTCGTTCATTCCATTTTAGATTTGTAATAAGCTTCGTACCGTGAACAGACTAGCAGTGGTGATTCCAGTGATAAACTGCATTATAATCATGACAGCCATGTGCTAGACCATATCAGCGCCATGTTGTGACTTGAGATTACGAGCAGTTTTACCGCTTTTGCCATGAGCGCGAGACCGTATCCAACAGTTCCTAACGCGCTTATAGTGACTAAAAAGTTCAAGCCCTTCAATCTGACTTGTTCAATCTGTACTTCAGAGGGCGCAATGCCATTTTGGTCGCTACTTTCTGATAGCTTGCTTGTTGCTGCTCGGTAATTCCGATTGAGAATTCTCCCTATCTCATCCGTCAGCCCATACTACGTAGTCTAAGAATAGAGGGATATCAAACCGGTTGTAAATGATCCTATACCTCCGGCGACCCCGGAAGGGATATATATCAATCCCGCAGTCAGGTAGTCTAGTTTGTAGATCTCCGAACACTGGGCACCCAGCGATGTTTGCAGCGTCATTTTCACGGAATATGTGATGCCGTACAGGAGTATCACAACGAGTGAGCTGCGGTCTTTCAAGATCGGCAGACAGGCGAACGGGTTTGGCCAGTGTCGCCTGGAATTTTGACTTCTCAATGCTCCTCCGTCTTTCCTTTGGGGGCTCTTGTTGATCAGAGTGAAGAAGCTCCAGTAAATGCCCCTAGCGTTGGCGCTGCCATTTCCCACGATGTTGCGCTGCGTCTCGGGGAAGAAAAACAGCATGGTAAGAGCTGTAATTGAAATAATAATTGTCAGGAACCAGAATATCCATCTCCATCCAAGCTCTTGAGTTATGCCGCCTCCAATCACAGGTCCAAGACTAGGGGCAATGTCTGTACTTGCGCACGCGTCAATGCAAGTATTCCTGTAGCCAGTATGTAAAGACAAATGATGAACCTACAAGAGTAACAATACACCAACGAAACCTCCCCTATCTTTCGGCAATGTAATGTCCGATATAACACCGTAGGTAATGGCAGTCAACCCTACTCGGTGTCAGAGACGATCTGGGCACATGATAGTCAGGCACTGATCCTCACCAGAAGCACCTGAGCTCTGGAGCATACGAAGCACCAGTAGGGCAGGAAATGAACTTTGGAGAGCAATCCCAACATTTGCTCCAATCATCAAGACGAACATCAAGAGGAATATTGGTCTCCGGCCACTTTGGTCAGCCATATCCCCCATAAAGGCAGGTGCAATCGCGGCGATAATCAAATACGAGGTTACTGTAAGATTGATCAGGGAGACCGACACCCTAAGATCTCGAGAGATGGGAACAATGGCCGGATAGTATATGTAACTGCTCATGGTAGAAAACATGGCCGAAAACGATGCGCTGAGGCTGATCCAGTGTTTCTGCCATTTGGTAAAAACCGTAAAAAGCTCGTCTTCGTTGACGTCCTCGTTCTCGAGCTCAGCGTCTGGATGGGATGTAAGGATAGGTTCCAGAGGTACTATACCATCGGTACCTTCAAGATCGTTGACCCGGGCCATTTCGTCTAGGTAGAGTTGATGAAGCTTCAGCCTTCAGTTAACTCAGAAAACGACTTTGGAGCGCGAGCTGTTGAGGATACGAGGTAGGTAAGCAACAAGACAGTTGCTCTGTCCTGGAAAAACGTCATTAGTGTTAGAAATTTGCTCTTCATGTCACGGAAAAGCCAGAGCCGTCATTTCTTGGGAGGCGGGGTAGCAACCAATCACACGAAATGAGCTCGTTGCACAGCAGATGACAGACAGTTGGTTGTTGACCCTCAGGTTTGTGGCTGCAACCGCAACATGGCAACATCACATGCAGGAATTGAATCTGACAACCTGAAAATTGATCACATCTCTTCAATTGAATGTCGGTGAAACGCTTCATCAGTTCAATTCCCTCAAACATCGATTTCTCAAATACTGAATGTTTACTACACCAAACCAACTGGAACTGGTGCAGCGATCTGGGACTCAAAGGAAACCTGAGCTCTCTCAACATCCTTTCCCTTCTTGACTCTCGTCTTTAACCCTATCACCTAGAAGACGCATATTGCTGAGGAATCTATGGAATATTTGTAAGCACTTCGCGATTGTAACTCGTGGCCGAGGAGCAAATTCATATTCAACGTACGCATCTCTCAACTTCAGCTCAGTGGGGTATAGGCTGGCGAGGCAGACCTGATGGCGGATGAGGTAGATGATTATGCGGCTTTCGGCATCTTCTTCAGGTTCGGAAATTGGTACATGCTTCCAGTACTCTTGAAAGTATGCCTTCCCAAGTGGATATCTTGGGTTGCGGAATGGGGCCAACTCAACTTCACAAATGTCAGTTCCGGCAGTATCACGTTCGATAGCACTACAGATCTAACTTTCTCCCAACTCACTTTCGTTATGGGCCCATAGGGCGTTTGCGTCGTATACAATGATGGTTTCGTTGTCCAGCTTGTACTTGACGTTTCCAGGCCAGAGATCTGTGTGGCAGAGTGTTGGTTTGATAGAGCGGCCTTCTGTCTCCAAGGGACGCAAGTAACGAGGAAGCACTGTATCCAGATAGAAGTTCAATGTTGTCTCATCTTCGGCGGCGTAGGCGCCGCGAATGACTCTTTCCCTTTGCAACAGGAACTTCATATGAGTCGTCCACCATACTTCCCAGGAAGATTCCCAGCCATTGGGTTGTGTCAGGTTGCCAAAACTAGTATTCACTGGGAATCCAAACTTCCCTGTGGGAGATTTCCCTGCACTGCGGAGATGAAGCGCACTTGGGACCGCCATATATGTCTCTGGAGGTGGGATGTCATCGTCAATCATGTCCTCAAACTCCAGAAGGAGGAAATAAGTGTTCGGCTGAGATGCATACTCCCTGAACGCGACTGGTCGAGGGATGTACTCGGGGATGAACTTGTATACGCTGCTTTCGGAGTGCCAGTGTGCTCGAATCTGTTCTAAGCCCCCCTCGCCTCTTGCTTTCTGTGACACCAGTCAGGGAATGTTGAGCTTACGAGTACTGAGATAACTTGAAATCATGCCTTTTCAAAGAATCTCCGAATGCTCCCATCTGGAAGTTGAACGTTGTACTGTGTGGTATCGCACCAGTCGCTCAGTCCCAGAGATGTTGCCTCGATCACCTTGCCGTCCTTAGGAAGTTCTATGTCAAACCTCAGCATATTATCATTAGTCATGGATACAATAGGCTAACCCGCAAGAAGATTCTCATCCACGGCCACTTCTACACGGTCGCTGGCCATGGCCGCAAGTTCTCGGGGTCTCAATATCGCTGGTTGACTGTTTTGGAAATATCATCGGTGGTTTGCCTCGGTGGGCCTGAGAAAAGTTTTGTGCTTGCACCTTGAGACTCAGGCTACCAATTCTCGCGACGAAAAGAAATTACAGCTCACGTAGTACATCGGCTTCTGTCTGTCGTGATGGACCGCGAAGCAGGCTATGCTGCAAGTATGGGTCGATTTCGGTGTGATTGAGCCGCAAGGGGAAGATCAGACAGTTTCCCCGCATTCAATTATTCACCCCAGCCGCCTCGGACTTTGAGAAAGGCGTCACTGCCTTCAAAGGACTGGTGATTCCTCCAGTAGGGTGGTTCGCCTGGTTAAATGTGGCACAGCTCGGTAACCAATGAGATACCCGCTGTAGTGTCTCGTGATCCTTCCAAGGACTGCAAGAGTCCGTCAAGGCGACATGACATTGATGGTATTTGGCAAAAGCAGATCAGAAGCACAGCGTTCTCCGTCTCGTTCAATGCCAACGACTCCAAAGTCTTTGTAACGTTGAAAGGGAATGGGAATGTCAAGCAGGCAGTCCTTACCTTTTCGACCCGGGACGGAGAACAGCTTGATTCGCTCTGCATTATCGAAGACAGATCTGACTCCGACTCCGACGATCATCACGAAAGCCTCGACAGATTTTGCCCAGAGGTTGTCCGCTTCTCCCCCTTTCTCGGCTACGCAGCTGTCACGTATCGCAGTTCCCACCTGACTCTCTTCGATCTTAACGAGGAAGACAAGCTCGAGAGATTATTTCGCATAGAGAAGAGGGGCTCCGAAAAGTTACGTCCACCCCAAATTCTGGATGTTGTCTTCAACCCCGCAATAGAATCTGGCCTGATGGCCGTCGCATACCAAGATGGGGATATCATTGTGGTTCACTTTGATGAAGACCGGTGGTACCAGGTCGGCTCGGTCAGTCTGCACTCGCGAGTGCTCGCCAGCTCGCCGGATGGCATGATCCTGGCGGCCGGAGATACCGAAGGAGGAGTGTCGCTCTTCAACTTCGACTCTCTTCAGTTGTTACATCGACTTGAACTCCTTGAAGAGACTGTGGTTGGCATCATATTCTCCTCCAACACCCTCAGGCTCTACGATGTCCGGGGGCGTTCTTGCAACGTCTGGGAGCCTTCTGTTCTACTTAGGCAGAATGCGACCGACGATACGTCCAGCGACCAAGATGACATCCCAGACGAAAACAATCTTCAAAGATCTGTTACCAGGCCTTTTGATGAGGCCAAGTTTGTTACTGTATTGACACCCATGGGTGATGACAAACATGTTTTCTGTGGTAGAGAAGACGGGTCCGTCTCGATTCACGATGTTAAAGACGGACAGAAGATTGTCGAGTTCAAGCATCACTCCGCAAGCATTCGCGTAGTCGAGTGGAACCCGAAGGTCAATCTCTTGGTAAGCGTTGATGCATCAACGAGATGCATTGGAATGCGCATATCTCCTCATCTTAAACACCACAATCCCTGGTATCAACAAGATGTTGTGTTCAACTCTCGGGCGTCTTCATCGGTGTCACAAGCAATTATTGAACCAAATGGTCTTGCTGTTTTATTCTCTACACAGAGAGGTGAAGAACTGTGGCAAAACAAGACTCCCCCGGAACCGTTTTCACCAAGTCAGCTCTCTACAGAAAGCGGTCAATGGATGCAGCATCCGACTGACAAGTCTCTTCTACTTCTTTTAGAACAGAGCACTATACGACCCTTCCGTTGGGATGATCTCAGATCGAATGCTTCTTCCTCCTCTATCTCCATGGTTCTGCCACCAGGTTTCAAGGATACAACACTGACGAACAAATGGTTTTCCCGTGTCGAGTTCAACACCATGGTGCAAGCAATCCATCTACAAGCAGAAAACAAGAACACATTCTTTCTGCTCACTAGTAGCAATATTCATACTGCTTCCAAGCAAGTATCCGTCTCGTGCACCGTCAGCAGTCTTCTCGGGAGCGTGAAGGCTATTCTGGGGATCACTCGTTCCGCAGTCATATTCTTGACACGGGGCGGGTGGATCAGTTCTTTCAGTCTCAAAAGTTTTGAACGAGCGAAATCATATACACAGCACCTCTTTATTCCCTCTTTCTGGCGTACAGGCGATCTTTTGATACGGACGGTGTCCAAAGACAGTGTGGCTATTGCATACAGGGATGAGATCATCATTATTCGAGGCTTCTTGGACTTTGACAAGAAAGTCGAGTGGCAGTAAAGTTTTATGCTTGATTTTACATCGAATTCATTCTTACAGGCGCAAAGGTAGCATTGGGGTATTGCATATAGATGCATTGATGCTTTCTCGGAAAGGCCATTTATCTCCAAGTCGGGTCAGCATGAGACAGGCCCATCCATCTAAGCTACTAATGAGGAGCTTTAAGAGCAATGAGGCAAAAAACTGATTCGAAGTGATGTCATGTCCACCGGTCCGTAAGACCAGCGAACCAATCCCTTCTCCAACTAACCCTCCAACTGATGAGCCACGTGGATCTCGCGAACATTGGTCATGTTCACACCCACAAGCTTCCAAGCCATAACACCCTTCTCGATATCACGATCCTCATGATCAAGCAGAACATAGCTCATCACAGGATCCGTAAAGTTCGCCTCCTGACGGAAATAGTAATCCTGCTTATTCTCGATGAACGTCTGCTCGTTGGCGGCATAGCGCTCGTGCTTGCGGAAGGTATCGACGAGCTTCTGGTCGAGGAAGAGCTGGCCCGCGTGGGTAGCGACATTGTCCTGGATGGTGCCGTTGGCGAGGCGCTCGGTGCCCGGGACATGGGTCATAATGTGGATGTGCGGGGTGCGGCCGGAGTAGTGGCCGGGCAGATTGGTGCCGAACCAGACGGCGCCGTTGGCGTTGGTCTTGCGGAGGCCGCGGTGGAATGTCTTGTCTGCGTTGGAGGGGTCAGCTTCGCCTGCGCCGTTGGCCTTGGAGACGACGCCGGAGTAGATGCCGGTGGAGTTGGTGTCTGTTGTAGTGGAATTTAGTTGGATGTCCAAGATTTAGGGATAGGAGAGTGTATGGACTTACGCCAGACTTCAACCCAGATGTTGGGAACGGGCTGACAGGTCTCGGTGTCGATGATCTGGAGGTCGAGGTACATGGGAATGCCAGACTGGCCATCGGTCAGGTCGAAGCGGTCGAGCTCTCCCTCGACGTCTGTCGATGGTGTCAGCCAAGTCTGAGGGAAGGAACGAAACAGGTAAGTATGGGGAACATACAGAAAGGACCCTCAGTAGTCTCAATGCTGAGAACGCAACCATCATCACGAGTGGCGAAGATGTCAGCATCTGGAGAGTGCCAGTTGACGCTGTCATCAGTGATCTCATGGTCGGTGCTGAGAACAGAGTCGATGTCACGCATGGTAATGCCCGCATGACGAAGGGAGTTGGCAAGCTGAGCTCGGCGAAAGGCAGCCTCGTCAATGTAGCCGCGCTTCTCGAGCTGGATGTTGCAGTGAGCAAGATTCATGGTGTTGTCGAGGGAGTACTCCTGGCGAGCGGCGATCTCGAAGGCCGGGTTGACGGTTCCGTGAGCAGAGCAAGGGCGGATGATGCTGAGCATGCCGTAGCAGACCAGGAAGCCGAAAAAGTAGGCGATTATGACGTTGATGCAGAGCTGGAAGTAGCTGACGATGTGTCTGTTGAACATCATCTCACGGTGGTGGGTCTCCTCGGTAATGATGCGATAGTTGGAAGCAGGGTAAGGTACAACTCGGCCCTCTGCGTCCTCGTAGCAGACACGCACGCTGTGAGGAAGAGAATCCTCTCCAGCTAGAAATATCATGTCAGAATATTTCTTTGAGGTCTGTTCAGGTTGGGAAGGCAGGGTAGAGTGCTTGAAATATTCGCCAATCCAGTGAAAGAAACGAGCTTGCGTTGTTCGAATCGAACAGCGATAATTTCGTCAAAAAAATAAAGACATACCAGCAACGATGCGAATACTCTGCACGTTCATTTTGAGTAACTCTCTGGTCATCAGCAAAGAGCTTGGTTGTTGTCGCGGTGCAAAGGTTCTGCTGTGGAAGCAAAGGTCGTGAAGAGTGCCTTGCCAAAGAAGCAAGTGAGAGTGTGGGTGAGGAAAAGATCTCTTGTTTTCCAGGAGTAATTCGAGAGGGTAAGTAGGAGATGTCGATGTATGGCTTGAAGATGGAATACTCGTCGTATTCGCCTTTGGCGAGAAGTGCCTGGGGTGGTTGAGCAGTGAATATCCACGGGATGCTTCACGGGTGAAGTGTGAAGATGCATGTCACGTGAGAGGGTCTTGAAGAAAAAGATCGTGTATCATGACTCCAGCAGCCTTTTCTCACAAGGTAGTGTCTTCCAATCATCAGGCCTAAGTGTTTTGTTACAAAGCATGAGCTCAGCAGACAGCAGGGCCCTCTCAGATCATTCTGCCTGATATTTATCCGTCTTGCCATGGCATCTGTAAGCATCATTAATCCCAACTCCTCAAACGCCTTATTTTGTATCCAGCCAATCCAGTACCTCTTTAATTCTCACTCCAGCCCAGTCTCCTTCCACCACTTAAACCGATAACACACAAGCCTCGCATCAACCTCCCTCTCAAACCTGTCCCTCCACCCCTCCGGCATCTCCCCATAAAACCTCACAACCTCCAACCCTTTCAACGCGGCCAACACCCCAAAGAACTCATCATGCTTCTTCTCCGTCAACTTGGCCTCCCACACTTTCGGGTTCGGCGGCCCCGGCCTCGGCTCCCAATCAACAACAAGCTCCGCCAAACCCTCCGCCCGCCGCGCTACTTCGGCGAAGATGGCCAGCCACCGATTCCAGTTGGGATACTCCATGGCGATAAGAACATAAAGCCGCCGCAGACGCTCGAAGCGCAGGGTCCCGTGGACGGCGAAGCCGATCCGCCGGTCGCCGTAGCCGTGGGAGTGTACGCGCATGATGGCGTCAGCGTGGACGGGTTGGTGGAGTTCGCGGTAGACGCGCTTGCAGGTTAACATGAGTGGGGGTAAGGGTTTCTTGTATTCCCCTTGCTCGAAGTAGACGTGCAGCGGCCGGACTGTGTCGCCAAAGTCGTCGTGGTCGAATGAGAGGTAGTACTCGTAGATTTTCTCTCTGATTTCCCATGGTAGGCTGAATAGGCCTGAGCCGTTCTGTTCTAAGGGTGTGCTCATTATGATTCTGTTTGTCTAGTCGTGTGCATGTGATGTTGCTATTGTCATGTTAGATGGGGTAAATCGGAAGGATTGGTAGACACGGCTGAGTGGAAGGGTGGCCCACATACATTCTTTGTTGGTCTGCACCGCAAACTGTAATACCAGATCACTAAAACCGCAATGGACTTTCCTTCAAATAGTCGGCAGCAATTGACATGGAATGTCGTTTCTTCAAATGCAAATGTCTGCCTGTTTGCACGCCGCTGCTGCCTGGTCGTTGGTGCATGTTGTTTCTGCGGGAACGTCTTACGACGACGGCACAGTGGGGTTTGGCTTATTTTGCCCCGCTTCCCGGCTGTTTAGACCGAAAAACATGCCCCTTCTTCGGGTTTAAGGTGCTGACAGGCGGGGTTCCCACCCTTCGGCTCCGTCGGCCGTCCTCCGGTGCGGGTCCCCCGGTTCTTGCCCTGTTCGTCCACCGAGAGCCGGATGAGATGTACCTGCCTTGGGAGCGCGCACTCACTCTTTGCATGATGTGGAATAATACACGAACTCGGCAAACCAACGCTCGCATGTCGATTTGATAACCAGGGTGGTGACTTTTGATTTCTTACACAACATCCGCAACAATACCCTCCGGCGCAATCTCCCCCCTCCCAGGCGGCCCCAACTTCATCTCCTCCACAGCCTTCACCCACTCCTCCATGGTATTCACATTCGTCAACCACCACTCACACCCAGCCGGCGCAGCAACCATCAACCCGTCAAGCTCCCTCGCCGTCTCCTCGGGCCGCGGATGCCCCCGCGCAACCCGCTCCGCCAAACGCGACAGCGCAGGCGGCGCCCAAATCGCCAGCAGCGGCTCGCATACCCCTTCGGCGGTGCGGAAACACGTCACGGGCACGGCGTCGCGCTTGACGAACAGGTGGAAGAAGGCTTCTGCGGGGATCAGAGGGTAATCGCACGCCAACACTGCCCAGTACGCCCACGCGTCGTAGCGGTACGCTGCCAGGAGTCCAGCGGCGGGGCCACTGCCGCCGGCAGTAGCATGCTTTGCATCCGGGTTTGCGGGGTGATAGTCGCGCAGGATATGGATCCTCGGCGGTGGTGTCTTGCAGTCCTCCACTTCGGCAGACTGGTTGGCGGCCTGCGCCAGCAGCTCGTCGAGGAATTCGTCTGTCTCGGACTCCTGCGCCAGCGAGATGAAGATCGTCTGCGGCTCCGGGAAGATGGTGCGTAGCAGTTGCAGCTGCCGCCGGTACAGGGGTGTTCCGTCGGGCATCCGGAGGAGGTGTTTGGGTGTGCCCATCCGGGTCGACTTGCCGCCCGCTAGCAGGAGGGGTCTCATCGCCGGTAGTCCCATGGTTCTTTTTGTGATGATGACTTTTCTCCCTTGTTTCGCTTGATCTTCTATCTGAAGGGTTGGTGCGCGAACCGTTGATCCGGAGTCCTACTGCCAAAGGCGATGTAACGCGATCAACATGAGGCAGGTAAACCGCGATAAGAATGGATGTACGGCATTGAGCTCGAGGTGATACTTTCGGTGAGTAAGCCGCGCGTCTGAACGTTTCCCACATCGTGTACGACACGATATTATTCTAGAGCGTCATGATTACGGCATGGCGCAGCTGGGGGCTAGTGTAACAATCGACAAAAAACCGATCTACCCGTTGGTCTATCCGTCCTCTATCCGCTCAGGCGTTTCCCATCTGGGCGCCCTGCATATCATCTGGCCCAACCTAACATCTTCACATCCTATCCCCCCATGTTGCCATGTGCCATTATGCCATGGGGGAAGAGAGAGATCTCTACTTTGCCCCCCCCCCCCCTGTCTCACCTCTTTTCTCGAAATCCTTCTGATGTGGAACATAATCATCACCAAAAAGATCACTCATCGCAGCATCAACACCAAATTCCTCATCCAGCAATTCAATGGGCGTCTCCGGAATGCCGTTGGTCTCCAAACCAACCAACATCCCGCCACAGACACAACCACACCCACCCATCAACGAACTATCATGACCAATTCGAACCGCTATCCGCGACTTCTCCGAACAATGGTTCCTCATCCCCCCAAAAACAGCAACAACAGCCACAGCCCTCCACCAAGTAGACTTCCGCTTCCCGGGCCTCACACCAATATCCTATACCCTCTGGGTAACCTCCATCATCCTCCTACTCATACTACACGACGACGCAGAACTCGCAGGCCTCTCCAGCATCTCCAATACTTTCACCTCCGTAACCCAAACTGCTTCCCTCGCCCTCGCCGCCGGCTCCCACGAGTCGCCATGGACCGCAACAGTCCACATCCTATGGTGGATCCCCTTCTCGCCCTCGCCCTCGCAACAATCCTCATCCTCACCTTCAACTTCGTCAAAGGCCACCCGCTAGGCATATCCGGGCGTCTTTCTCGCCTTCTTCGGAGGGGGACGAAAACCGAACAGGATACCGTCTACTTGTGCGGGTGGGCCATGGTCTTCCTTTGGGTGAGTTCCGCTGCCCGTTTGTTTTCCTTGGATCGGCTCAGAAGGGGACTTTTTGATGTTCCAGGGCGCCTACACCAATGCGGCACTCCAGCTTAGTGGGATTTTCAGATCCAGGGTCTCCAAGGTGTGGTTTACGTGCTTGGTCGGCATGTTGGTCTTGGTCTGGCTTTAAAATACCGGGTTGACGGTGAAGTTGCTGTCTGGTAAATTAAAGCTAGGGGATGGAATACTTTCTTCTGCACTGCCGACTACTTTCAAACTTCTCAGCCGTAATCCGGAGATCAGAAATCAAGGGAGCTGCTCTAATTTAAATCAGGAACCCTACACAAAACCCGAATAACTGTATGTCCAGGATTTGGCTAGGTTATGGTCTAGCTCCAATAGATATCGCCCATGCTTGCCGTACTTTGGAAGGCTAAATCCTAAGCTTTGCTTCTCGCGTTTGCTATCACGATCAAGGCCATTTCTGAGTAGCGTCCCAGACGTAGTATCGGAGTCTTGATAAAAAAAAAACCAACAAATTGACCATGGCATAAGATGCTTTCTCCAAGGTTTATTCACCGGTTTAAGAATGAGACGAAAACCATAGTCCATATCTCGAAGCATCATTATAGTCTGTACTCGCTTCGAGGCCAACCAAAACATAGACTGCAGAACAAGACAATCAATGGCAACCCCAAACGCATGACTGCCCCATATCTTGTATTGACGTCGGCAGTCTGTCAAAAGAACCTGCGGGGCTTTGGTGCCTCAGCCGTCAGTGAACGGTACATATAGCCTCACCGGCACCAGACGTCTAGGAGATTCGCAGGAAAGGGTGACCTCAGTACTCGTGGAAATGATATAGAGCTGCGACTATGGCCGCTACAATTTTCCATCCACATCACGTTACTTGCGACTAGTATGGAACGATATCACGTAAACGTAACAAGGCCTGTTGTCTGGAAAAGAAACCTTTTTGTTAACCTTGTGTATGACTGGAGCAAAAGTAGACTTCCGCAACTCTTTTAGCATGCAAATGCAAGAGCCAAACGAACAGCATGCCGCAAATATAGAGGAGTACCAAGTCTTCCCGCCCTATAGACTCCGAATTACCCCCTCGTCCCACGTGCCAAGCCCAAACTCCGTCAAGGTAGCAAGAATCACAGACCCAGAACTTTCCCAAATCAAATTAGGGGTATGATGCTGTCCATCTATGGCGCGGAAACCTCAAATTAACGCCTCTCAAGTGAACCCCTTATTGCTGTGCTTGCATGTTCGTTGTGTGGTGTTGTCAAATTTCAAAATAGGAAACCCCGCCGTACGGATGTATCGCTGTGCGCTGTGCGCTGTGCGGGTGTGTCGCTATGCGGGAGTGTACCAAGGCGTCTTGGTGTGGTGTTGCGGGTTCAACAAACCCTTTAGGGCAATGCAGCAACGCTGCCCGCCAAAAGTGCGTAGTTGGCGAGCTTGAGAGACAAGACTCGCGATCGAGGGTAATCGGGGCTGATAATCATGCGACCGTCTTTATTGAAACCAACCTCGCCGAATGACTCGCTCAACTGCTCAAACTTTGCGTTTGGCCGGACTCGATTCAGCTCTGCCAGGATGTTGTCGCTCCAGACACCGGAACACCAGCCGTCTCTCAAGACAAAGTAGGGATTCAAGGGAGGGACGGGAGAGTCTGGGACTAGTTAGCAAGGACGGAATGCAAGAAGAAGAAAAAAAGCGAGACGTGACTTACCCAAGTCCACGAAGCGAATCCGCAGGTAGTCCAGAGCCTTGAGAGTCGACATGGAGTGAATGCCTGCCAACACAAGCATCTCGAACGAGTGAATAAAGTTCATGTCCTGAATTCCGCTGCCAGAATCGTGGAACTGAGGTACAGGCCGACAGCAATTCTTGACCGTTAGGTCAATTGTCTTGAGTCGTGTCGTTCTCGAATCCGATCTGATCGCCGCCATATTGAAGAAATTCTTGCAAACGCGGCCGGTGTAAGCCAAATGCTCCAGCGCGGGAGTTGCCTCGGCCAGCTTCGAGCAGAAGTGAACCTGGTTGGAAACCTTCATGTAGAATGGAGGGCACGTGAGCTCCCGCCGGTAGTCGCTTTCCAGGCACAAGTTGAGGTAAGTGAGATTTGTGGGTAGTTTGGGTAGAATGCTGGCCATGCTCAGGTAACTCTTCGACTTGGGCTTGCTGTAGGAGCCGTGCCACTCGTTGAGGTTGGGGAGAGCTGCGAGGAAGGCTGAGAAATCCGAGTCTTCGCGCATCAGGTTCCACTGGCCTTTGGTGACCAAGGTACGAACCGAATGAAGGGTCGGCAGATGCCAGCTAGGGGGTCGCTTATGCCAACTGTGCTGTACCTTTGGTGCCTTCTTTCTTTCCCCTCCCTCGATAGTCAGGACACAGACGTCAGGAAGAGCCATCGAGACAAAGGTGAAGGCCTCTTCGAGGCTGCAGTTGTTTGCGGGGAGTGTATATGTCGCGTTTGTCAATCCGTCCATTGTTACCGTGGGAAGAGCAAGAGTAGTGCTCAACGCCAACGGACCGTACTTGGGCTGGAAGACTGGGAACCAAATCTCAATGTGCTTGACGTAGTGCCGGAGGTGGTTGTGTTCGCTAAAGTACATCATGGCCAGTTCTAGCGATTCGATAGTGGCCTTTATTTTGATGTGACGGTATAGGCGCTCTTGGATGAGGATCCTCCAGACGGGACTGACGAGAGCAAGTTCCGACAACTCCCTGCGTCGGGAATGGCGAAGTGCGGTTCCCCAACTTTTGGTCACACTCTGCATGCCTACCGAGCTCTTGGAGTTTGTGGATACTCGGTATCCGAAAAGGTGGTCGAGAATGCATTCGTGAATTTCGGCCGGTAAGTCATTCAAATTCAGGGAGGGCGTGACCTCGGGGGTCTCGATAGTATAGGAAGGAGTGGTGATGCCCGGGCCTCCGTAGCCGTAGGCATCAACGTCGTCGGCCATCGGAGTGCAGCAATCCGAGTTCCGTTGATCGGGGTGTAAGAAGGGCGTGCTGCTTGGACGAGTCGGGGGCACGAATTCATTGCTCTTTGCCTGCTCGAGGGGTGGGCTTGATGGGCCGGGTGATACTGGGTTGGATGAGGTGTTGATTATGGTTGAAAGGATGGAGGCAGAGGCTGTCATAATCGAGGTCAACTCTTCAGTGGCGTTGGCGTTGGCATGATAGTCGTCTCGCGACTGTCGCCTATCGGTACCGGAGGGGTCTCGGTCTCGGGGGACGTTGTTCGTGACGTTGGCGTCGTCGTCGGTTGAAGGAAAGGACTGTTCGACGCAAACGGACATGGTCGTCGGGGTCGAAGTGGGCGATTCTTTGGGTCGAAAAACTAAGATTTTCGGAGAGGGGAGGGTTGAAGCCGTTCCTAGATCATGGCCAGACGGGCTCTCTCCAAGGGGGGAAACGGGGGAGCGGCGGCGACGGCGGCGATAGCGGGATTGCTGATCAAGCGGAAGGGAAAAAAGGCGAAGGGAGATTGGCTCTGGGCTGCTTTGACGATGGTGGGGGAAATGAAGTGCCAATAATTCAGAGACCCTGGATAACGCAGACCGGGGGGGTCACAACAATGCTGAGCAGCTGTTTTGGTCGGCTGGCGGCCGTATTCGTCAGGTTGGTCCCAGTGGAAAGTAGCGCTGCGCTGGGGTCTCTTCGCTTCGCCCAAGCCACTTTACGCGGTCGGTCGCGTGCGCAGCAACAGGGAAACGGCCCAATGAGTGGAAGCGCCGATAAGAAGGACGGCGGCGGGAGGAGAGGAGACGATGGAGAGGAGAGCAGAGGAGGGGGTGGAGGCCAAGGCGGAGGGAGAGAATCGTATGGCTACCTGGTAACCAGGTGGTGAGGTGGTGAGAGGGCGAGAGACAGCGATGGAGTGATTGGTGGTAGACACACACACACACACACACATACACACAGTACGAGGTAGGTCGGGGTCCGGCGAAAGAATGGAAGTGTCGACTATTGACGACTGAGAATGCGACCTGAGGAGAGAGCCTGAGAGATGATTTGGAGAAGAAGAGAGGGGAGCCCAGCAGTGACACGGTGATGGAAAGAAATGGGAAGAAGTGTCGTCGATAGGTGTTCGTAGAGGTTGGACTACGGCAGAAGGTGTCGTCGTAAAAGTTCGCCTTACAAGACGGGACAAAGAGAACAACAAAACTAAGAGGAGACAGAGGCAGAAGCAGAAGCAAAAGGTAGAATCTGGATGTGGAAGTGGAAAAAGGGTTTGGTGGTGTGTTCAATGCTGTGTGTCTGGAAATGAAACGAGTACCGGACAATTGGAAAATGGTCGAGCGGCCGGGGAGGGAAGGCAGGAAGGAAAGTGCTGCGCCTGCTGCACCTGTGCCTGCGCCTGTGTTCTGCGTTGCGTTAGGTGAGGCAGCGGTGGTGCGGGAGCGGTGCGGCTTGCGGGTACCGGTGTGGCACGGTAAGCCTAAAAGGTACTTTAGGTCTGCAAGGTGAGGACGGTCAGATAAAATAAGAATAGGGGAGGCGACCCCGATTGAGGCTTGTTGTTATGCCACCAAGGTACGCCGTAAGGTAAGGTAAAGGCAATCAATTACTGCAGTTTCGGTCTGCTGCTGCTGCTGCTGCGTTGGTGAGGCAGGCGAACTGGCGACGGGGGTGGCGTGGTTTGTTTTCGTGTTTCCGCAGTGGACAGGCAGGTAGGCAGTGAGTTGAGTGAGGTGTGGCACAATAGAAGATTGGACGGACAGAATGTGGTAACGACTCCGTGACGAAGTCGATAGACTGCCGGAAATACCTGACAAAATCCTTTCAACTCTCGCGGAGCCAGAGGAATGTACTTGCCGAATGGTCAAAAAAGGTCATGAAGGCGAGGAAATTAATTACAGTCAATAATGAAGTCGTTTGCTTCTGATGGATGGATACTCATTCCGCGAGTTATATTTATTGGCCGAAAAGAGGGGAAAGTAACATCAACAAGACAACTTTTTCCAAGGAAGCATGACAGCACAATAAAAGATGACGGCACCAACAGGATACACGGAACGGCAGTCGGTAGCTTATTTTCTCATTTCCTGTCAGTCTCTACATATCCGCATACCTTAACTTACGGCCCCGGCCCAGACTTTCTATCAAATGCATGGATACCTATTCAACTCAAGGGACCTTATTTCAATCGACCCTTCGAGTGCCAGGTAAATATACTAGTAAAGGCGATGTGCAGGACGGCTGGTTGCAATGGAAACACAAGGTTGAATCAAGGAATGAGGGTAAACCCTTTCCTCCTTTGCTGGATTTCTCTTTGATTCTTCTTCATTCGCGAGCACCCGGACGACAGTTGCCGCAGTAAACAACCTTTCGAGGCCAAGAATGTACACAATATAATAAGCCTGACAGTCTAATTACCCCCCACCTTGATGACCTTGATGTACATCAACCGACGGGACATGCGCGTGCAAAACCATATGAATGTCCCGTTTGGCTGGCTGGCCTGACACCGAATACCACCTTCACAGCGCGTTCAACGTCAGGGTGCATTGCAGCCCAGGACGTCAGAGTCAAGACGGGCTCACTGCCCACCTCGTGGATGAGACGTGCACAGCCGTCCCTGCGTGGCGAGCTCCGAGGGGTAGAGTCAGTCCCATCGCATCATCTTCTTAAGGTAGTTGCAAGATCGGGAGTGTAAATTGAGCCACTTTCTCGAGGTGTCTTATCGGTTGACCTTATCGCACAATCTCGGCTTATCGCTTCCCTGACAGTCACATGCCTGGTCGGGAGTCCACTTGCAAAATGCCCCATTTCATTGCCTACTTACCTCAGCAGGTACTTACATTGAACTCAAGCAACGGAAAGACCGACGAAGTAACGACGTCGAGCCATAAGGTACATCCCACCTTTGACCGATGCATGAACTTAGAACCTGACAACGAACTGCGGCTTCATCACGTCATCGAAGTTTTTTCTGATCAAATACCTGGATTCCCGACTTCACAGATATTACCACGACCTTTGCATTGGACTCAAGGCATACATACTACCGACAACGGGCTACGCCTCCATCCAGTGTTATCGTACGCCGTACAGCCACGGATGCTTGAGATGCCAACGTCACATATTAGTAGACGTTTAAAATTCGTCCACAGGGCCCAGACCAAGGTTCGGCATAACGACGACACAGCTGCAATTGAGTTGCTCGGGTAGGCTTCGTCAACCTTCCACCGTTTCAACTCGTTCTACAGCAAGCATGGCTGTTGCTGCGATCAACCTATTTTCTGAGCAAGAGGTCACGCGGAGGCTTTGAGTCAGCTCGGGGGGTCGGCAGAGTTTAACCTTGATTCCATGTCATGGCAAGTTGCAGTTGTACCGTAAGCTTGCCACTGAGGGTTTGATCCAGGCAACTGGCTGACCAAGCTACTACCTCGCAGATAACCGCGATCCGAGTCTGGTCATCAGCATATTTCCCGATGACTATCAGACGGAATCCGGACCGGTCGTGTTGACAGCAATTCTCGGCAGGACTACCGACCTCAGCAATGCTGCATAGGGTACGAGAAGAGAGTGAAAGTCAGTACGACAGGCCATCACGTTACGGGCAGACGATGCGGGAGACGTCTCTTTATCATTGCCGCAGAGCCTCGGACTGACTTTTGCAGGCTTGGCTGCAACGTCCAAGCATTTGGAATTTGAAATCAGCTTCGACCATCGCCAAGTCTGGACGCCAACTCTCAAGCGTACCTGAGTCAAACATCGTCCCAGGCGCGGATTTTGCATTTCGCATTCTTGATTGATCGTCCTCTCGGCGTAAACGCCCAGCAAAGTCTAACAATGTTATTGAAACGACACGTGTTGAGCCGTCGCAAGATTTTGCCGACGCCCTCATGCCAACCGCCTCAGAGCCTCTCGTTCGGATCACAGATCGCCCTGAGATGAAGCACCAGACCCTGCATTTTCGGATTGTGGAGGATAGCACGTGTCTCGACTCTTTTAATAGCAAAAGAAAGATTGACTTTCCAAGGCACACGACGGATGAGCCGAATCCAGGGATGCGATGTCGCGGGGCTCTGCCCGGTGGGGGAGAGCCGAGACATGGCCAGTGGCCACACCCGCGCAGCCGGAATGGCGGCGGGCAACGGAGATGATTTGGTCTGGAACCTGCCGCGGAAGCAGCTTCTTCACCGGCAAACGGCAAACGGCATGGCGACCGACCAGGCCTTTGGCGGCGGCTCCGAGCTGTCGCCATATTCACGCACTGATATCGAATCACAAACATGATCTACAGCATCTGCAAACATCGAATTGCGTAATGTGCTGCACTTTGACACCAGTACAGTGGAAATACGCCCTTACTGCGGCACTAAACGTCGGATGTGCGGTACGAGCTGCTTGCATCCCCAGAATTCGGTAACGTTTCTCGTACTCGAACGCGCACGCAGTGGTTCACTTCGAAGTTTTGTCAGCAGGATTACAATAAGCGAGGTGCAATAAGTAATGGAAGCATCCCCGAGAGCGACGTCCCAAAAGTCTTGGCGGTGTTCGAGCAGGGGAGCATCAACATGCCTATTCAACATCTCGAGACGAACAAGCGGAGAGAGACGCGCCAACTCCGGAACACGACAGCCTGATGATGGAAGACCGATGACGACTGATGGAGTTTGGAGTATGATCTTATTGAAACCTGCCAGGGCATCGAGAAACCCGCGCTGGTGACCATCACATTCGTGCGGTCGGAAAACACTCGTACCACAGACCGGCCCCGATAACGTTGAGGTGGTCTCAACTGTACCTGGGACAAGCGAAAGAGAGATGTATGGACCATCTGGTACATCGCATTGTAGCCAAGTCACAATGTTGATTCGATATTGCCTGCGGCTCTGGGCAATTCGATCTACAAACGGGCCAGCTGACAACTCACACAACTGGGGCTAGCTGCAAGCCTAGCCAAGGAAATTTGGAAGTCACGGTCGAGATTTCAAGATTTCCGAAGCGCTGATCAATGCAAGTTGTTGTTCCTATACCCGCTGTTCGGAAGGTGAGGAGCAGCATCCTTCGATTCGGAGACAACGGTAGCCCTACATACGCCGCGGCTCATCCTCGTGGGCCGAGTTACTGGTCCAACTTCCGACAATAACGTATCCCGGATTCCAGATTACCTTATTTCGGGTCTGGGATGTCATGGCGGATACGATGAGCTCACAAAGACCGGACCCGAGTCTAGAAGCAATCGATAATTCGATATCATCGAAGCGAAGAGACAAGCGAGCGATGTTTGTCTGCAGAGTCGCATCGTGTCGGGGGATGCGCCCCTCCTCGAATTTCCAAGTTCACGGCGGTGTCGGGGGCCGAAGTGGACTGATGGAGGAGGAGCCTCGGAGGGGGCTTCGTCGAATATCGCTTACCAACATCAACAGGCCGAAAGGTCCTGAGCATCGCAGCAGTTTGACGCTTGTTGGCGGTTTGTCCCACCAGCGCATCGAAGCCAACGTTGAGCACAACCGCAGGTCCACCCTGACCTGTCAAGACTCGAGAGGACTACCACGGTCCACGGTTCACAGGCAGGCAGAGGAACAACCAGCAAATGCATGCCTGCCTACTGCCTGTCATTCAGGTCGATACAGGGCAAATAGGCTAGATGTCAGCCGTACTTTGTTATTATGGGATGGGATGGCGGCGCAGGGGACCACGGGCGGCTGTTGAAGCAGCATTCGTCACCTCATCCGTCTTTCGCGGCGTCTCCAAGTGACCCCTGTTCGGCCGGGGCCTCCCAGGCCAACCACGACTTGGGCGAATCTAAGACTGGCCTCATCCCTGCATGTCTCGAGACGCACGACTTGTCAAGGGCCGTCGATGTTTCATCCGTTGTCATGTCCAAGTCTACAGCCAATCAAATACGAATACAACCTCCACGCCGCGCCGTTTCAAAGTTCCCGATTGGGTCGTCACTTTTTCTGCTCGACGACATCCTCGTCGATGGCTTCGCCCATGGCCCACGCTGCACGCACCACGCCTTCTCTGCCTTGGTGGGGGCAGCAGTTGAACCCCCTTTCAGCCGCGGGAGAAAAAAAAATCAGCCCTTCGCCTCCATCATCGGCCTTGTCAATGTATACCACCCATGGACCATGGCATAATTATTGCCATCTATTAATCTATCTCAATCACAGTACCCTCACCGCTGGGAACCTCTCGGTCACTATCCTGTCTCTAGCTTTGCCAGGTTCTTTCATCCATCGGCTCGGTTAAGACTCATTGGCAGGGACGTGCCAGTCATGCTCTAGGGCTGGCCACATGCAGAAGGTATCCCAAAGTATTCGTATCGAGAGTCTGAGCATTGTGACAATAACATTGAGGATCCAAGGGATTATGATAATGGCATATTCGCGTATGACAAGGCGATCAACTGATGCGATGCAAGTCAGTCTTGCACAGGCACTGATGCAGCGGGGCCAAGCCTGCCATTACTCACGCACATTGTCGTCGACTTTAGACCGACGTTGGTTGCTATCCCTTCCAGATGGCGTGGTACGGCCAAACATTCCACAGTATCCAAACGGACGGGAAACGAAGCTGAAGCGCGCCGTCGTCAGCTATACGGTCAAAAGGAAGGTTGAAAGCGTACGGAAAGCACAACGTGAGGCTGCGGAATGCCCTCCCGCATCCCGAAAAGGCCGTATCGCTGCATCTTCAGCAGTCGGACTACCTAACAGTGACACTCGCTCGGTGGACCGTGTATTGTCTGCCTGTCTCCTAGGAAGGGGCTGTTTGGAGTCTCTGACTGGTTTCTAATCGCACGCTGAAAAGGCTTGGCTGTTAGACAAACCATACAATGTACAACCACGGGCAGGCAATGGTGCAGTAGTACACCACAGCCGTTGTGTGCGACTACGCGGATACAACGTTGAGTAACTCAGCCTTGGCCTTGCATAATCCTGATACGCATGCAAAATAACGCAGCGCATGTCCGCCAGCAAGCCACCGCTATTCGTGTGAACCTGGGATCTATGGATCCCGAGAGCGCATGGGAGATCGCTCCATTCCGAGATGGGAGGCTCCCGAGATTGAACGAACGTGCGCGGCCTTTTTGGCTCCTCTCTCGTGCGACATAGCCTAAAAGATTGGCAACGCTGTCGACGCACGCCAGATTACGAAAGACATGCGGGAAATAATTAGAGGGAGTGGACGGTGCTTTATTGAGCTAAACTCCAAGGGGAGTATCTCTCGTCTGAGTCGTCTCTCAATCTGCTCATCCTTCCAAAGCGGAGACAACCATTCGAACTTTGAATCACCAGCAGGCACTGAGACTCTGAGACAGGCCTCCCGAACGAACTATGAATGCCACGATAGGTGTCAGAGTTCATCGCAGCCGGGCCTCCAGATTGAGTGCTAGATACCCTATCGAGCCGCGTTGGCAACGGCGGATAGAGTCGAAGCCGTCATGCGGATCGTGCGGGCAGCCTGCCGCTCTCACTTTCGCCTCATTTCGGGGCAGCGGGGTGGTTTGACCTTAATCGGCCCAGCGAACGGCTCTGCCCCGGCCGACGATCTCCTTGCGGCTCGAAATGAAGTCGACGTCGGAAGTTTACGCACGGCAAAGTTAATTTCACTACAGAACTCCTACCGCGGTACTCTGTAAAGGAATGCGTCGAGTACAGCCTCGGTGGTTGTCGTCCAAAGGGGGGGGGGGGGGGTTCGCTGACTTGCCATTCGGTCTGGGCGCATTAACGTCGAAAATAGGGTAGAGGGCGGAGCAACCTTGCCGATCGACTCTGAGCAAGGAACCTTGCAACATCTAGGAGCTGGATATTGTGCCAGCCGGCGTCCAATAGATGAAATGTCTTGATCGTGTAGTGTAAGACATTCAACATTGAAGTGTCGAATACGAACCTATGCCACGGGCCATAGAGACGTTGCGGGCTATTGTGTCACTAGACATTACCACTTACAGATACCTACAGTATTCGTACCGTCGACAAGACGAGACGTCCTACATGCATCCTACCTAGCTAAGCCTTGTTGCTTGCTTGGCCCCTGGGGGAGTCTCGAAGACGACCGACGCTGCACGACGGGAGATGGCCTTGGCGCGTTCCCTCTGACCTTCTTTTTTGGGTTCCTGCGACGAGAGATCGTCAAGATTTCCTACCGAATGCTGCGCTGCACTGGGCTGGGGAAAGCAACATGTCTGACAGATGGGGTGCAGTGGTGGCAGCAGCATCAGCAGGGGGGATGAGATGTCTGAGGCTGAGGGGGGCAGACGGTGGTGTTTGCAACTCGGACGACAACGACGACCACGGCCGGCCTGGGCTCACTCTTCTGGTCCGTTCTCCGCATTGCCCTTTCGATTCCCACGGCATGCCAAAACGATACCACAGACGTCCGTCAATCTCCCGCGACAATCCCAAGTCTAACCCCAGGCTTGGGGAGAGGGAGGGAGGGGAGGGCACGGTTTCAACGGTTTCGTGAGCTTGGGCGAAGGACCTCCTCGAGGGTCGCATTCGACCAAACGTCACTGAAGAGACGGCGGCGTTGGAATTGTTTACGTTTCTGCATGACGCCTAATCCTTTTGACGCGGCATGTACTGATGAGGATCGGCTTTGCCTCTTGCGCATTGAATGGCGATATCTACAGACTGCGAGTCCATTGTTTGACGGTGGCTAAGTAGGCCAGGATGCACACGTTGTGTTACATTGACGTCGTCGATTAGCCAGTCGGTGTCTGTTATTTGTTGTGGGGGAAGGTGTGGAAAGCATCACGGCGCATGGCCTTTACCGTTACACGGTGTTGGCCAAGCCGCAAGTCACGAGTGGTGAGAGGTAAGTTGAGTTATGCTCACGTCAAGATCGGGGCCTCCGTGCGTCGCCCTGACGCCCCCCGTCCCGTGCTAGGTACCTCGGAGCAGATGGAGTTAAGGTAGGTTTGCTAATGCTCAGTCGTACCGTTGCTCGTGTACGGATGAGAGGGACAGCAAGAGAAAAGCACATGGGAGGTCAGGGATGCCAAGAAAGAGGGGACGGCACACGGCAGTCGGTAGTGACGGCGGCGACATCGTCACGATGGTTGACGAGATTAGAAAACCCTAGGCCCCCCCCCCTGGGATGAGTGGGTACAAACTGGACCAGTCGATGACGGGGGACCTCACGAATAAGAGACCTGATGAAGCTCGAGGGGGTGGGAAGAGGTACAGTAGGGGCAGGAGACTTAGACTGGATGACGGGTCGACAAAGTGAAGGCTGCAGATGCAAAGCGTATCTGTACATGATGGCTGCATCCATGGGTTTACAAGCATGGCCCGGGGTTGGAACTTGGGAGAGTACGATTATGAGGGTTGCACAAGTTTGGAGATTTGTATATCAGAGACTCTGAAGTTTGTACAATATGAGGAGAAAGGAGGGGATATGGACGACGCATGCCCAGAGGTACAGCGTAGAGTCAAGACATCTGCTGACGAGGAGAGTCTCGACGAGACTCACGAGAGCGCTGACGGAGACAAGGCCAAGAAGCCCAAGACTATTTGATGAGGGCATCGACTCAAGCGATGCTATGTAGAGGGCATACGATTCACAAGAGGGAGGGTCTAGGTCGAGAATCTGTACTGCTCAGCGGTCTAACTTGACTGCTGAGCAAGCAGGCAGGTTCAGGGTCGAGGGACTGACAGACACCTTGCCACAGGTCCATACGGACAAAGTACCGTCAGTTCGCGAGGCCTTTGACTTGACAGCTTCAAGGCCACCTACCCTAGCCTGGCAGCAAAGCTGAGGTAAGGGGGCTTTGCGGACTAGAGCCAGACCGGGATGGCTGCGGTCCAGAGAGGTGACGGGACAAGACCGGCTGATTATTCGAGTCCAGACAGACTGCCAGAGAGTGCGTGCAACTTGATACTGGGACAAGCAAACGGCGACTCGCGGATAGCAACAAGCAAGGAAAAGGCGAGAAAAGGGCTGCAAGACACACATGGTTGCTGAGATAAGGTACGGTTACAGCAACCTCGACGGTAAAACTCCGAAGAGACGGCGACTGAGACTGGGCAACGTGGGCAGCCGACGTGGACCATTCTGTGGAGCACTGGAGCCTTTTCCAAGGTGAAGCTCGACCATGGAGGAGGACAACAACGACGATGAGGAAGCTGACAATGGAGCCCTCTTTCCTTTTTTCTGCGATGAGGCGCTGAACTTGGACGTTACAGATTTAGTCGAAATGACAGGGTCGAAACCGGCGCTAGTGGAGGGGAGAGGAAAGGACGACGGAGCCCTGGAGGGGGAGGATCGACTTTTGCCAGGGCCTACCAATCCAGGATGGGCAGGACCAAGGGGGTGAATAATAAGAGGGGCGGCCTTGTTTGACTTGGCACGGCCAACGAGAAGCGCGCTTGGCTGCCGCAGCGCCCAAAAGGGGAACCGCTACGGCTTGACGCTTTCCCCATTGCGAGGTTAGTCTCCGTGACGAGCGAGAGAGCACGTACCGTTTAATTGGGGGTACGTACTGTGATCCTGGGTTGGACACCTGCCAGTTTTCCCAGGGGAGGGAAGAAAGGAGAGACAGAGGGCAGGTACCTACCTTACGGGGTAAGGTAGGCGCCCCCACTAAATGTCTCTTGTTCCTGCCTTGATAACCTAGCTACGACGATGGAAAAATGAAGAACCAGAACCACCCGGTGGAGGAAGGAGGCAAATAGGTAGGTATACAACATGAGAAAATTTTGGGTTGAGACAGACGAACGCAAAGCGTGGGAAAGAACCTAATAGAATCAGAAGAAGCAACGATGCGCATTGTCACAGGTTTGTGCTGGCACTGAGACCTTCATGATCCGAGAGACGGGGAGAGCCAACCATATGGCATGAGCCCATCTCTCTCACACACACGCCGTACATCTGTACACACAATCCGACCTTTTCTCCCATTGTTGGTTCGCCGCGATGGATGGATGGATGGGATCGGGTGGTCAGCGAGCCAGATTCAACAGTTTTCTTCCGTCAGTCACAGACACTGACAGCACCGTCTGGCCGTCCAAGAGACCGCGAGGCAGTGAGGCACAGAGAGAGAAGAGGCGCAGGTGAACGGAGAGGCGGCGGTTTGCAGCGGACGCCGTTCCCTTGAAAAACGGCGCCTCTGCCGCTCTTGTGGCGTCTCTTTTGATTACCCTGCGGTTAAGGGAGTGAGACAACACCCAACTGGGTAGGTCCAGAACCTTCAGCGCCATTGACCATGGAGCACTAACAGAAAATATGCCACAAATTTCCCAGTTCTCGCCGATGGCTGGAACGGTTGGCAGTCGGGTGCCGCAAGTCTTGCGACGGCGCCCCGGGAATGGACCCTGTGTGCCTACCTGTGTAACTGTGTACCTGGGGGGGATGTGGTAAATCTCAATCACCACCCAATCGAACTGTGGCGTGCCGCCGTACGTGAGTCGAAGCCAACAGCCAACAACGCCAACGCCATCATCCATCCACCATTGGATCTATCCATCCATCCCGCCGACTGCCGCCGTGTGGTATTCTGTACCTTGCCTTAGTGCGGTCCCTCCACCCCGGGACGCGCATGCCCTTCATTGTCTGAATTCGTACGTCACCTACGTACAACAGTGTGGTGTTTTCATACTTTCTACCGCCCGACGGCGATTTACCGTGGATACCAACGATGGAACAAAGCAGAAAAAAAAAAGATCAATATTGGAAAACAATAACATGGCATGGCCCATACTGCGTACAATTCGGGGAGAACCATCAGTCAGTCGACTTTCTCCATAAGTCCACAAGCAACCCACCCCGGTCGTCAGTCCCCTTCCGACGACCAGAAAAAGGTGAAGCACAAGCCTTGATTGAGACTAGTGCCAAGAACGGCCCTGGGACTTTCCTCCCGAGAGTAAAATGTGTGGGTAATCAGTCTGAACCTCCTGACTTCCTTTTTGCTCTCTTCGCCTACTACAGTCTCTGGCATACGGAGGATGAGGGTTAGGTTACCTCGCAGCAGTGGTGATACGGAAACGGAGTCGTAAGAAGCAGGAGTCGACGTGTCTGCCACAGAGTGTGCACAATGCCAAACTGCCGCCACGCCATGCTGCTGCTCGTCTTCCCTCCCCATGCTCACTCTATCGCGTAGTATGTAGCGTAATGCCATGCACAGGCTGGGCGGCGTGGCACCGGCACCGATATTGCCAAAAAGTCGCGGCTTTTCGCATCAACCCCAAATGGGAGCCAAGCCCTCGGTGCACGGATATTTCGGTACGTATCCCCTTTTCCTCAGACACGCGCAGGCTTCGCAGGCTGGCGGCAGCACCGCTGGGCAGTGTGCGCTGGAGCGCTGGGCGCTGGGCAGAGTCTCCAGGTCGTCTCCAGGTCCTAGGTCCAGCCCACCTTCGCCGATACGTACCTTTTCTCCCTCCTTGCTGTCCCCCCGTCTTCCCCGTCCGTCACCATTTCTCTCCCGTCGCCTCTCCCAATTCCCGCTGGTCACTGGATCGAAGTCTTCGCCGTCGTGTAATTGTCCCGTCTTTTCTCGTCCCTTTCTCGGCTTCTACTCCTTGTTCTGCCGCAGATGTTGCCCAGAGCCTCGAAGGCCCGTCCACTTTTTTTTTGTGCAGAATTCGAGATGCCGTATTCATCAGGTACCTTGACGTTATTCACTTGTGCTGAGCACTGTCTGTCGTCTGCCCCATCTGGCCTCAGTCTCGGCCTGTCTCTTTTGCATCTTTTCTCTCTCCCCTCACGATCCTGCAATGAGGCAGTGAGAGTGAGACAGCATAGAGAATAACATATTGTACGGATGTTCTCGCTACCAAATACAGACACCTCGGGGCCAGTACCTCGTCCGTCGTTCGTTCTCTTGTCCTTGTCCAGTCTCTCTCTGCAGCATCCATCCATCCATCCATCCAGACAATGTCACAAAGGTACATCCTCGCGTGGTCCACTCACACACGCCACACACCCCTCCAGGACCCAAAGACCACACCTCAGGGCCCCAGGTCAAGGTCAAGGTCAAGGTCGAGCACCAAAGCACACCAAGCAAGCACACACGCACATGGAGACACGCACAAGTGACAAACCTGGGCCAGGGACTGCGTATGGACAGGCTACAAGGTACGGATGCTGAGAGCAGGTACCTGGATTCATGTACCGCTGACACCCCCGGTCATCTTCCCTCCTTGTATGTACCTTACCTTATCCCCCTACTCCTGGGTACTCCTACTCCTACTCCTACTACCTAGTCTCAATATCCGTACTCCCTGCTTCCTCCCGTCCCCTTCTTTTTTCATCGTCCGTCGTTATACTTAAGTTACTGTCCACAACCTCTCCATCTTGCCCAGCTGTGCTTGGCCTTCCGTCTCTTACTTCTTCTTGCTCCGTCTCTCTCTCTCTATTCTTTCCCATCCTCCATAAATCTCTTCTTTTAGTCTATCCTCATCCTCACGTTCCTCCGTGTGGCCGGTTAGCTAAATACCAAAACAACCTACCGCCTCCTCTTTCCGCTTCTTCGACTACTCTTTTATTACACCTTGTTTTAACTTGGTAACGGCAGCTTTTTATCGCATTGGAAAGATTTGAGAAAAAAGTAAACAAGGGCTTTGTGTCGTGACTGGTATCCGAATCCTTCCTGGTTGCTCCTTCTCTTAGCATTTCTCGCTCGCACTCATTCGCGCCTTCCCAACCTCATCGAGTCACTCTCTCGCTCGCACCTTCCGTGCCGAACCTCCCAACCTCGACGACAAGACCTCGTTCTTTCCTCGTCAACCACCGCCACAAATCAAAAAAGTAGACCAGCGGTCTCGGCACTTTTTTCTTCTTCAGTACTTTTTTTTGACGACCTCTTCGACGACGACGAGCTAGTTCTCTCCCGTATCCTCTCTTTATTTAAATATCAACAACCTCACCGTATCTACATACACCACCAAACCCCCTCGAATTAACCGCCCAACATGGTTCGCGCTACCGCTCTCATCGCAGCCGTGCTGCCCGCCGCTCTCGCCGCTCCTTTCGGCCTCAGCAACAGCGGCGCTTCCACCAACGACTCTGGCTCCTTCATGGGCGTTCCCATCTCTAACCTCAACGCCGCCGACCTGATTCCCAACAAGTACATTGTCGTCTACAACAACACCTTTGACGATGATGCCATCACCTCCAAGATGTCCTCGTTCGCTGCCTCCATCAAGAAGCGCAACATTGGCAAGCGTTCCCTTGACGGCCGCTCCCTCAGCACCTCTACCCGCAACTTCAAGATGAACGCGTGGCGCGCCACCGTTATGGAGGCTGATGACTCCATGATCATGAGCGTCATGAACGCCGAGGAGGTTGCCTACGTCGAGCAGGATGCCAAGGTCAAGATCTCCGCCACCGTCTCCCAGACCAACGCTCCCCCCGGCCTTGTCCGCATGTCTCACGCCGCTGCCGGTGAGGCTGGCTACGTCTTCGACCAGACAGGAGGTGACGGTATCACTGCCTACATCGTCGACACCGGTATCCTTACCACCCACTCCGAGTTCCAGGGCCGTGCTACCTTTGGCGCCAACTTCATCAACAACGTTGTAAGTACCAGGAATCGTCTTGAGAGTGAGTGAGTAAGATGAGAGGCTAATGAAAAATACCAGGACACTGATGAGAACGGACACGGCTCCCACGTTGCTGGTACCATTGGTGGTCAGACTTTCGGTGTTGCCAAGAACGTCAACCTCATTGGCGTCAAGGTTCTTGATGGCGATGGTGCTGGCTCCAACTCTGGTGTTCTGGATGGCATGCAGTTCGGTAAGTTTCAACAGCCCCACAGTTTAACCTATGCAAATTTCCGAAGCTAACATCACCAAAAGTCATTGACGACGTCGCCAAGAAGAACCTCACTGGCAAGGCTGTCATGAACATGTCTCTTGGTGGCTCTGCTTCCGCTGCTGTCAACCGCGCTATCCAGGCTCTCAACAACGCTGGCATCGTCCCCGTCGTCGCTGCCGGAAACGAGAACCAGGATGCTGCCAACACCTCGCCCGCTTCTGCCCCCAACGCCATCACTGTCGGTGCCATTGATGCTCGCAACGACCGCAAGGCCTCCTTCTCCAACTTCGGCACTGTCGTCGACATCTTCGCCCCCGGTGTCAACATTCTCTCTGTCGGCATCACCTCCGATACCGCCACCAACACTCTGTCTGGTACCTCCATGGCCTCCCCTCACGTTGCTGGCCTTGCCGCCTACCTGATGGGTCTTGAGGGCCTCAACACCGTCAAGGCTGTTACCGACCGCATGCTCGCTCTCGCCACCGCCTCTGGTGCCTCTGTCCAGCGCAACACTGCTGGCACCACCAACCTGATTGCCAACAACGGACAGCTCTAGAAGTTCTGCCCTGATGGTAAATGCCCCAATGTGTTCCGCGTTGGTGGATTCTTTTAGCGTTTCTTTCATTGGAAACCTCAAAAGGCATGATGGCGTCACGTTGACTTTTTCGACACGTTTTCCTTGGTTTAATAAGTGATTCTCCCCCCATGTGTTTTTATATTCGAGGGGGAGATGAACACAAATTCACGGCATTTTAGAGGATACCCAGTCATTCGCACACATCACTGCATTGGCGCGCGGCCTGGACCAGCAAGCAAAGCACAAGCCTTCACCATCCAAGATGGGATACCTGGGGTTTCCGGGTGTCTGTCGGATGGTTTCAATTGTATGTAAAAGGAGAGAGAGAGAAGACACACAAAGCAAGAAAGAGAGGGTCTTCAAACCCGCATTTCAAGGACAAAAAACAGGCTCAAAAGAAAAAAGACCCCAAAAGAGTAGAAAAACCCTCGACGGGCTGGTTCCCTCGTACCACTTCATCAGGACTCGAAAATTCATTCTGTCTTGGGTTTTCCTATAACTCTTTTTTTCTTCCTTTTCGCTTTTTTCTCTAAAACCTGTTTTCTTGAACATTTTTCTGGTTTCGCTTGAGACCAAAAAATCACATTGTATTTAAGACGGAGATTCTCGAAATGAGATCTTGGTAATGAGAGCAGACAGCTACGGACTATTCACTTTCACGTTCAAACAAATTACTCTGCCCTGCGACTTGACTTGATACTGCCTTTGCCTTGTGAGTAAGTGAGTGTATCAACGTGTCCGGCGTTGATAGCCCTTCGACACGCACACCCTATGCTAGTTCTGATGGTATCGCCTGCCCCTGGTGAATGACAACGGCCTTCAGCGCTATCATCATGTCACCTGACCTCGATATCCACATAATCTAGATGACGTCGAGGGAGGAAGGCGATGGTAATTGCGTAGCTCATCAAATAGATTACACGCCAACAAGCAGGAAACCTAATCTACGCAACCTACCACATCTGATGATTCTAGGTGATTAATCAATCTACAGTTGTCTCTTCCCCAACTCTACATACGGATTCAGCGGCTTCCTTGCGGGCTCCTTTCCAGTGAACGCATACAGAGTCAACGTCAACATTGGACTTCCACAGGTAGGTGATATGAAGAGGTGCGTCGTTCGGCCTGATCCTTACGACAAAAGGACTGGTAGAAAACCCAAAACGCGAATGACGCCATGACATATCCCGGACAGTTGGGGAAATTTGATGGGAGAAGAACATTCGCAACTCCCCGAGGAGGGAAGGAAAGGACGGAAAGGATGGACTACCTAAAGACGGACAAGAATCATGGGCGAGAATTGTCGTGGCGGAGGGTGGTGTGCGTGAAGGTTTGTGCTTCTCGCGTTTTGGAGATTAAGGTATACGAGGGATGGGATGAACTTGGCGTAGTGCCTTCCCTCTCGCATATGCTATGTGTTGTTTCCTCTCTACACGGTGCTTCCCGGAGACTGAGGTGCTTCACCGCGTGCCTTTATCCGTTATCCGAGGGCCGTGGAAGCGAAAGATGGAAGATTGATGTCGCACATTATGGGACGGACATGATGCCTTTCCCGATTCGTTCTCAGTAAGATGGTGCGTTGGCATCTGCGCGGATGACGGGTTCCGAAACTAGGTTCCATGGGGGGATTCTTTTTCCCTCCCTCCCCCCCCTTCCTTCTTAACCTTCTTTTTTGGGTGCTGGGGGAGACTGAATAGAGTTGGCGAGGATGGAAGGAGATGGGATGGAGGTGCGAGTGCGTCAGAGGCATCCATTCACTACACTCACACATGTTAATAATTCCTGATGGCTGTGAGATGAGGTAAGATGCGAGGGAAAAGCATGTGGTCAGCTCAAAGGACCGACGTACAGTCCTACACCCATCGCACGCGGGCGGATTCGTCTCATCTCCAACACACACGAACAAGAGCACAAATTAGAGATGCGTCCTTGCTCGTTTGTGGTCCGGCGTCCGAAAGGGGGAAAAAAAGGTAAGGGAAACGGAGAAACGGAGTAGGAAAGGGGATGACTTTCTTCAGCAGTACGCCGGGAGCCCATTGTTCTACGGTCACGTTTCGAAGATGGGTGTTCGGGACCAGGGTGGGAAAGGGAAGGGGAGATGCGAGATCCGACGACCTGTGAAAAGTCCAATACGAGAACGAGAGAGAATGGGAATTACTGTGCTGTAGAAGAGGGTGCCTGCATTCACTCGTCGTCACAAATTTGAAGCCATCTACGTCCCAGATACCTGCCATTGGCGTGATGATCGACCGCTCTCGCAAACACATCTTTACAAGAAGGACGAGCCAAGGGCAGAGCATGTACAAATGATGCTATAGTATCGACAAATACCAGATATATACAGATGTCTTGGCTAGACTATGGTGTTAGAGATGTCCACACCACGACAAAACATAAATAAACAGTACTCTTGAAGCCTGGAAGGCAGCTAGATCCAGCCTCAGCCTTGGCTGAAGCATGATTCACCGATACCAAGAACCGCTTGTCTCTTATTAACCGGTCCGAAACGTACCGTTGTCTTTTCGCCTCTCCCAATTCTCCTTGAACGTTCCCCATCAATCTGGCGCTGACACCGCTATGCAAAACGGAGATCTCGGGTCTTGGCGTCGAAGGGGGGAGACCAGGCTACCAGCAACGGCCATCCCGGGTCTCCCGTTCTCGCGGGCGCCGTGCCCCGCCACACGCCACCCGCGCGCAGCGGATGAGAGCGAGCGAGAGAGACGCAGAGAGAGAGAGGGAAGACAACGGAGGATAAGGCCAAGGTGGTCCGCGCAACTCACGTGGTTTCGTGGGTTTCCGGCCTGTCGTCTCTGACCCGAGCCGAGAGAAAGGGAGGGATGGCCGGCGTGGGAGCGAAGCAGAGCTGAAAAGGCTGAAGCTGGATCTTCACGTTTCATGTATTCCCCAGACTTGACCCAGGTGTCGCCGTGTCGGGGAGAAGGCGGAAAAGGTTAAAGACACATAATACGGTCCCGGTATGCCTGTGTGTAGGTACATCAGGTACCTACCTGGAAAATCCGGTTCGGCCTTGCGCATAAACGCCGAGACGTCTTCCAAGAGCCGCATCTTCTTCGCTTGCAACCGCGCACTGCTGTCTCCTGCAACGATACGAAAGGAAGACCGGACGAAAGACTTTGGTGGCGGGCCTGAAAACAGAAGAGCATACTGAGCAGCAACCTGGTAAGCCTAGGCGTCTCCGTGGGTTCAATGGATTAGGTACATATAGAGGCACCGCGGCGCTGCGTGCTTCATCTGATTATACGCGACCTGCAAGTCCATGTTCGACAAGAGGCCAAGTCAAGCAGGCCAAGTGATTTCTGCATTGCGTTGGTGACCAATTGACTGGAGTTGGGGGCTTTGGGACGATGACTTGGATTATGAATTTTCGTGTCTTCTTATTACAACGGTTCCCCGGCCGCGGGATGATTTGAATACATCGGTCGTCGCTTTGGCTCTTCCATGGACTTCAAAATCGGGACAAGTTCCTCCAGAAAAGTACTGAAGAGACAGGTCATGTCGGTCTTGGCGACAGGCTCATCTACTTGATGCCGTGACAGCGCCTGTCACCTCTTCGCCGTAGGCCCCGGGGCCAGACGAGACGAGTAAGCTTTCAATTGACCCAGCCTTTTGGCTATTACAGGGCCTGTCGCAGTCACAAGAAGAAACACGTGAAACAGTGGAACATGGTGAAAGAATGTTTGCAAGCCGGAGCAAAAGAGCGCGTCCCGAGAGCAATGGAAGACACGCCCGCCCCGTACCCGCCGCGTGATGGACGGGGTCTTTGCCGGTGGGTTTTGATATCAGCACTTCTTCGGCACAACCACAGTCATGACCACCTTGCGATGGGACTGAATTGCAATTTGACATCCGTGCTTGGTTTGAGGAGGGATAGTGGATGTCACTGTGTAAATCATGTCGGACAGACGATCGATATGAAAGCAACAAGACCAGATGCGTCGCGAAAAACCCATCACGAGGATGGTGTGTATTAGCAAGATTAGTATGGGCTCCTCAATATTTCGTAGCCATGCCGGCGGCGAGCAACCGAAAACTCCTCGTCAATATGTACCGTCAACAGTCAGATGCAGCGTAGCAGTCAAAGAACAACTTTTGTTCTTGTCTGTCTGGTAGAGTTACAGCTCCTTGTGCTCGATCGGCGTCGCCGCGCCGGTCTCGCTGCCAGGCCAGTAAATGCTATCCGTCTTCCACAACGAGTCGAAGCGTGCACCAAAGAACCAGGCAGTTCCAATCTGAGGGTGGTGATCAGTTGAGAGTTGAGGGTAGAAAAGCAAAGGGTGAAGGTTGATGTTGGAAGAACGAGAGGGAAATGAGGAAGAAAATTTCGGAGCTACTCACCATAAGACCAGATACGAAAAAGAGGGTCAACAGAACCATGCCGCCCAATACGAAGGCCTCGCCTGCATCCATACCCGGTTGGCCCCGCTCTTTCTGTTTCGCCGCATCTCCGAGCAGCTTGGGGTCCTGTCTCGGGAACAGAGAGTCGATGAATTGCTCAATCTGGAGGGTCAACCGTTAGCAATTGACTTTCTGACGCGAGACAAATGTGTCTTTAGATAAAGATAAAGAAACACTACCACATACCTTGCCGCACTGCACGCTAATCTGCACGTAGTTGGGGTCGCGGGGGTCGTTCTTCTTGTGTATCCGACGGGTGTAGTCTCTGAAAACCTCACACACAATTTGGAGGTTCTGTGTTGACTTGGTCATGAGGTAGCATGCGTCGCCCTTGGTGATCTTGATGTGGCTGTTGAAGATGGCAGGGTTACGGAAGACGAGCTCCAACGTCGCAATAGCCATGCTCTGGGGGATAGCGACGAAGTTGAAGACACTCTGATCCTTGATACCAGCCATGTAGAACAGGCACTCCTCAGTGTGCTTGAGAGCATTCAGAACCATCTCGGAGCTGCACTCGAGAGCCTTGGGCAGGTTCTCGGGCTTGAAGAGATCGTCCCAGGTGTCGACATGCTTGCTCCAGATCTCCTTGGGCCAGAAACGGCGCTTGTCGAGGTAGTCCTCGTGGACGTCGCGAATGATGTTGGTCTTTTGGAGGAACTGTCCCATGGACTCGGTGAGCGCGGGGCGCTCGAGAAGCTTGGGGTTGGCCATGTTGCCCTCGACGAAGAGGCGGGTCAGGCCGTCACCGACGAGACCGGCAACGTAGTGGCAGTAAAGCTCGTACTCCTTGATGGTCGCAACACCGTTCTCGTTGTGCTCGGCGTTGAGAGCGTAGTCGGCCATGCCGTTACCCATCTTGATCGTGATATCCTTGATGATCTCGTAGTAGGGCTTCTTGATCTTCTTCAGCTCAGTTATGACATCGTCAAAGTGCACCAGGAGCTCGCGGTCCTTCTCGTTAGGACCGTTCTTGGTGAAAGTCCAGCCATCCGTCTCCATGTACTTGTCAAACTGGCGCAGCAGAGGCTCCTTCTCCTTGATATCCAATGTCATATCATCTTCGATGGTGTCGAGGCCGCGCAGCACAAGGTAGAACAGGCAAACGGGAACCAGGAGTTCGGGGTTGAGCTCCTGAATGACGGCGGAGAAACTACGGCTCGTCTTGTTGAGGAATTCGAAGCACGACTTCAGCGTAGGGTCTTCCTTTGAGGGATCGCGGTGGTGGACGGGGTCGTGCCAGACCTTCCTAGAAGTGTATCAGCAGATGTGAGGTAGAGAAGCAGCAATGCGGTCTGCGCGCGCGTGCTCGGTGAGAGGGAGTCAGGCGGCGTACCATTGGATGATGGAGCGAAGCTGGTTGGGGTGAAGGAGGTAGTAAATGACACCCATGATGGCGGTCTGTCGTCGCGGCGGACGGCGTATTGCACAGTAGAATCGGACAGTAGCGCAGAGGCTTAAAGAGTTGACGACGGAAGAACGAAGTCGAGTCTCGTAGGGGGCAGCAAAGTTAAGTCAGTCAGTCCTCGTAGAGTTCGTGGAGTTGACCAAGGTAGCTGGCTATGTGCGGGTTCGTCGTGGGCTGCGGATTGAAGGTTTGCGCGCGCAGTCGTTGGCAGGTGGTCTCAGCTTCTGCTTTTTTTGCTCACGTTCCAGTCAATGACCTCAAAATTCGCGTGCGTTTTATAGCAAGGAGGACACGGGCTGTTGCGTGGAGAAGAGTCGACAAGCAAACTGGATTGTTGACCTTGGATGAACGGCAGACGGGGATTCAACAACAAGACCGCGGAAGAATAGGAGGGAAAGAAGTTCTCCGCTGTCATCAAATCAAAAGTCCAAAAAAGTGACCAATTCACCCGGGCAGGAAGGCGCCAAAACGGGGGAAAGGACGTTAGTGCAGCTGACCCCGGCTCCTTTTCTCCAAATTGCCATGGAAAATGCAACCTGGGACCGTTTTCCCGTCACACTCACCTCATTTCGAGGTACGTAGAGGTCATTAGGTAAGCCTACAGGGCATCTAAGGCTTGGCCTCAGCGCTGTTGGGTGGTCTACTGACAGCCAGAAGACGGCCAGATAGCGCCTCTTACAGTAATACCCTGCCTGTGTATCTTACCTCGTCCGCTGAACGCTGCCCACTTCAGCGTGTTAGTCACTGAACTTGGTGTCAGGAACGCACTGACCGAGCCAGTTCGGCTAAAGCTAGGCGAGCCAATGGGATGGACGACTAGATCTGATTGGCAGATGGCAGGTGATGGCGGGGCAGGTCCCTGCCTTCCGGGTCGTTTGCTTCTCATTCTCGAATTTCAGCAGGTGCGGGGCACGGAGGGCGGTTCCTTCCATGCTGGGAGTGGAAGGAATTCATTATTTCAGGGTCTGCCTTCCTGCCTTTTTTGAACGAAGCTTCCGTCGGGGTCGTCTCTTTCTCGTCTGGTTAGCAACCAACGGCTCAACTCACATGACTTTTGTTTAGCGACGTTCATCCTTGGCATCTTCTTCGCACCTTTGGTATTGCTACCTTGCTGCTGCTTCTGTTGCTGTTTCTCCTCTTCGCAAACCGAAAGAAAGAAGAAGCCGACAACAGATGATTTATCGACTCTGCTGCATACGCCAATCGAGGTGTGAGTGGAGAGCAGCAGCAGCAATTCCACGCATGTCAGCCCCCCGACACGGCATCAGTCCAATTGTTCCCATGGCTCAGCCTCCCCCTTCATGTTCATGGCCCGACTATCCGATCAGCGCGCAACCCATCGTCTGGTTTTCTGGACATCCCACGGTGGCATCGCAGCAGCACATGGCCAAGACCCTTGAGGATTTCCGAGATGGACGTTTCTTTGCGGCTCCGGGCTTTTGGTCCCCACCACGGCCGACGCGGCATTCGACCCTCGCTGGTCTGCCGCCGCCCGCCATTGCCACCACCACCGTGGCACCGCCATTACCTCCAAGGGAGCATAATGCGGTGAGCCATCGGATGGCAATGTCTCACTGTCTGCATCCCCCAAGGGAGGCTTTTCATCCGTCTAGCCTCCTTCATCCTAGACCGCATCACTTCCGCGATACTTGTCTTGGAGCTGCTGCGACACCACGTAGCTAAGTAGCTACTTTTTTCCTTATGTCTCTTGCTAACATGATGATTTTTCATGGTCGGCTTAATCATATTCTGCCACTACTGGTGACTATCTTCCACGGAGTCCACTTCACCAGAGCTCATGACAAAGCTAGGGGACGCCAGGACGAAAATAGCTGTCTGCTACGGATACTCTCTCCGATAACAGCAGCTATCAATATGGAACGTAGCTCCTGGTAAGCTTCGTACTCGAGGTACGTAAGTTTCGCTACGGGGTCGCACCTTTGACCGTGGTACCTCCCGAAGGTGGGGGTGGGAACGACACATTGAACACACCATCTGTCCAATGTAAGTCGCTGCGACTAATTATTGCTGGCTGTGCTACTACTGCTGCTCTGCAGTAGGTATCCAGACAGAGACCAGCATACCGGAAGACGGGAGGGTCGAGAGGGTCGAGACCGCGCGCAGCTGAAAGGGCAGAGTGGCAGATTGGCAGATAGTACGACTCGTACCTGAACCCAAACTTTATGTCCTCCCCTCCTCCTCTCCCTGGCCTCGTACCTGCCACGCTTACCCCAGATAAATAATCCGTCTCACACTCTTTCTCCCCTTGCCCTGCTGTTCGAGTGGCTTGTCTTACAAATTACTCAATTTGTCCTTTTCTTCTTCTTTCCTCACCCTCCCAGCTGTCTTCTCCCTTGCCAGCCTCGAGCATATAAGACGTTCCAATCGACATCTCACCCGACTCCGTCACCAACTTACACCATCCCAGCAGCCAGTCGAATCCTGACAAAGTCCCGCCCGACCCCTCTCCGACCACTCTCCGATAATTCAAACTATAATCCTCAAGAGACGAACAACACCACCATCATCCACAATGGCTACCAACGGACACTCTGCGAACAAGTTCCTCATCTGGGGTGGCGAGGGCTGGGTTGCGAACCACCTCAAGGTCCTCCTCGAGGGACAGGGCAAGGAGGTCTACACCACCACCGTCCGTATGGAGAACCGTGAGGGCGTCCTCGCCGAGCTCGAGAAGGTCAAGCCTACCCACGTTCTCAACTGCGCCGGCTGCACTGGTCGCCCCAATGTCGACTGGTGCGAGGACAACAAGGAGGCTACGATGCGATCCAACGTTATCGGCACCCTGAACCTCACCGATGCCTGCTTCCTCAAGGGCATCCACTGCACCGTCTTCGCCACCGGCTGCATCTACCAGTACGACGACGCCCACCCCATTGGCGGCGCTGGCTACCTCGAGACCGACCCTGCCAACTTTAAGGGCAGCTTCTACTCGGACACCAAGGGTCACGTCGAGGAGGTATGTTATTAATCACAAGCCGCTGGCGTCTGGATCAATCACTAATCGGGTACTCTGCAGATCATGAAGCACTACAAGAACTGCCTCATCCTCCGCCTGCGCATGCCCGTCAGCGACGACCTCCACTCCCGCAACTTTGTTACCAAGATTGCCAAGTACGACCGTGTCGTTGATATCCCCAACTCCAACACCATTCTCACCGATCTCCTCCCGGCTTCCATCCTCATGGCCGAGCACAAGGACACTGGCATCTACAACTTCACCAACCCCGGTGCCATTTCGCACAACGAGGTGCTCTCCCTCTTCAAGGAGATTGTCCGTCCCGATTTCACATGGAAGAACTTCTCGCTCGAGGAGCAGGCCAAGGTCATCAAGGCCGGCCGCAGCAACTGCAAGCTCGACACCACCAAGTTGGAGAAGAAGCTCAAGGAGTACAACTACACGGTGCCCGAGGTTCACGACGCCTACAGGGGATGCTTCGAGCGCATGAAGGCCAACGGTGTCGTGTAAATAGAAGAGGGAAAAAAGCAAATCGGATTTGGCGCATATGGGAACTTGGCCGCTCTAGCAAGACTTAGAGACTGGAATGAACTAGACAAATTGCAGTTTGAGTTGTTGAAGACTGTCCAGATTGATGCAGTGACCATAGCATGATTCCAGATGCCATCGGGATGGTGTCAGGCACTGAAGATTGAACGGTGTCCTTTGCGTGAGAGTCGGTGCAGTCGGGGTGGAGAAGAGTCATCTCGGCGTTGTCCGGTTGACTTGAGCTCTGAAAGCTTGTGAAGCGGATCGCCGACTGTTGTCGATCACTTTGGAGGCCTGGAAATATCGTGATGCAGCTACCAGCTATCGTCGCCTGCAATGTGACAGCTGACGCTGTAGAGCCCGGGATAGCAACCTGACACGAGCCATGCTGTTCTCTCCCAAAACTTCCAAAGAAAACTTCCAAAGAAGCCCTTGATGAAAATGTTTTGGATTGAGAGGGAATCTGTATTTTGGATACCGACTCTTTGTGATGCAGACAGAAAACGGCAGATGGGCTGGACCGTGCAACGTCATCCCTGCCAGCAGGTCCCTGTCCGCGTAATCTCCAAGGCCGCAGTGGACATCGCCATCGTCCATGCAGCCTATGGAAAGGGCGGGAGGGAAAGAATGGCACCTTGCCAGCACCCAGTGGGAGGGCTGGTTACCTTACCAGCCGTAAGGCTCAGAAGTAGGTACCGTAATTCAGCCTGGCCATTCCATGGCAGTGCATGGTTACTCACCAAAAGTCACCACCATGCTCACTGAAACCCACCGTTGGTGACCGCCCAGCGCCCATAGGTCTCGCCCAACGACGTAATCTGGCGGGGCACCGCGAAAACGTAAATCCACCCAAAAATCTAGGTAATCGGCGGGCACCTTGCAGCAGTTGGGTCACTTTTTGGTGTGGCACGCCGCACCGCCCAGTTCATTCGACCGCCGCTACGTCCGATTCCTTGTGATTCTCGCTTGAATCACGATTCGCAAGTCTATCCCTACCCTCATCACCCCGCGATCTTTCCCGCAGAGGACATCTTACTCCCTCACTCAACCTTTTTCTCTTGTTTATCAACGAAGAAAACATTTGCGCCGTTTCTATACCTAGATTTCCTTCTACCTAATACCCCTCATTCCTTGCGACCATGGTCGTCGATACCGCATACTACGACACTCTCGGTGTTCAGCCCACCGCCACAGACATCGAAATCAAGAAGGCCTACCGAAAGCTTGCCATCGTTCACCACCCGGGTATGTAAAATGACCTGTTTGATTTCTACTGCACTCTACTGCGTCACGGAAGCTGACTTGAACCCCCTGCAGACAAGAACCCCAACGACCCCTCCGCCCACGAAAAGTTCCAAGAAATTGGCGAAGCCTACCAAGTCCTCTCCGACAAGGACCTCCGAGCAGCCTACGACAAGTATGGAAAGGACAGCGCGAAGCCTTCCGAGGGCTTTGCCGACCCGGCCGAGTTCTTCAGCTCCATCTTTGGCGGCGATGCCTTTGTCGACTGGATCGGTGAGATTAGCCTGATGAAGGATCTGACGGCCACTATGGACATCACCATGCAGGAGGGTGAGGAGGGTGCTGAGGGCGCCGAAGCTGCCGACGGCGAGTTCCCTGGCACTGAGGAGGCCAAAAAAGAGAGCATGAAGGCTGGAGACGCAGAAAAGGCTGGCGCCGCCGCCGGTGCTGCCGCTGCTCCTCCGCCAACCGTCGTCGTTGAAGATGAGAAGGAGGCTCATAAGGCAGCCGACTCTGCCGCTACTGGCACCGCCAACGCGCCTCCTCCCCCATACGCCGCTGAGGCTAGAACACCGTCACCGAGCCCGTCCGGTACCTCGGGTACCGCAAAGCGCACTCAGATCCCACTCCGGCCTGCGCTTATGGACAGGCCCTCGGACGAAGTCGCAGGCCAGCCCGAGTCGGAGGAGTCGCTGCGGAAGAAGGAGAAGAAGAAGGGTAGCTTGACCAAGGAGCAGCGCGATCAGCTCGCCGCCTACGACAAGGAGCGCGCCCGCGTCCGCCAGGAGCGTGTCGACACCCTCGCCCGCAAGCTCCTCGACAGAATAAGCGTGTGGACCGAGACCGACAAGGGCGCTGACGTCACCAAGGCGTTCCAAGAAAAGACTCGTCTCGAGGTCGAGAACATGAAGATGGAGTCTTTCGGTCTGGATATCCTCCACGCCATCGGCCAGACGTACTTGGCCAAGGCCACCGGTCTGCTGCGGAGTCAGAAGTTCCTGGGCATCGGCGGTTTCTTCAGCCGCGTCAAGGACAAGGGCACGATCGTGAAGGAGACTTGGAACACCATCAGCTCTGCCATCGACGCACAGCAGACCATTGAGGAGATGGCGCGCATGGAGGAGAAGGGCGGCGAGGAGTGGTCCGAGGATCGCAAGGCCGAGTACGAGCGCCGCGTCACAGGCAAGATCCTCACTGCCGCATGGCGCGGCTCCAAGTTTGAGATTCAGAGTGTGCTGCGTGAGGTGTGCGACTCCGTCCTCAACGACAAGAAGATCCCCTTGGCCAAGAGACTGGAGCGCGCTGAGGCACTGGTCATCATCGGTGACATTTTCTCCAAGGTAATATTTTCTCTCCTGGTTGCCATTCTGTTCATGGTGCTAACATATTGTTCCAGGCCGCGAGATCCCCCGAGGAGGAAGGCGACTACCTCGTCTTCGAGCAGCTCGTCGCCGAGGCAGCCATCAAGAAGGATAAGGAGTCCAAGAAGAAGGGCAAGAAGCACCCGTCAGCGGATGTCGCTGAGGATGCGCCCAACGTCCCCAAGCCCGAGAAGGCATAAACTGCTTCGCGGGGGGGAAAGAGGGACAGAGTGCGCACGAGATACCACAACCGTTTGAAACTTCGATTCTTCTTTGGGGCCTTAGCTTACCTACCTTTGCCTGATTGTTACAAACTCTGGGCTACTTGAGCGAATAGACGGGACTTTTGGGAGAGGCTACTACTTGACGGTTGTTTGTTGGAGTTGGCTTCCCCACTCACCATTCGGCATGGGTGACTGATATTATCAGCGAATACAACGTATACTTTTATGATGGACTTGATTGGATGCTTGGAATTTATTTCTTGACTTGTTTACCGTGGACCTGCATCATATAATTTGTGTGCCGAAGGACTTTCAGTGCTAAGATGAGTTGTGGTGGGTGCTGCTGTGGTCCTCAGAACCGGAGAGAGATATGGATTGTGTAAGCCCTCTTAAGAGACGAGGATGTTGACTATTAACTCACCTTGGGCCATCACTTCCGCTTTCTGATGTCTGGGGCTAGGGCTTGAAGAGCCACTTCGATAGAAAGGAAGAGTCTCGAGCATCTCGAGAACTGAACAATCTCGAAGCGGAACTTGCATGCCTTCTCGCTAGGTTGGTGGGGTGTCGTCGGCTGGTGGAGAGGATCCGCCGCAGTGGTCCTTGAGCTCGCTGCTGGCGCCTTGGAGACATCGCCTTGTTGGCTAAGTGGTATAGCGTCTCACTAGTACCTAGTGACATGAGAAGATCGGCGGTTCGATTCCGCCACGAGGCATGTAAGCGTAGTTCCTCCTCGGGAGCGATGATCTCTTTTGCATTTTGTGGTTATTGATCGTGCCTATGGTGGTCCAGAGACATTTGTGCTGAATGTGAGAGATACGACCTTGTTCGCTTTTTAGCCTTTCTCCAAATCTGTGATTGTGAACTTAGGGTGGCGGATATGCGGAACGGCATGTTATTCGCTTTACCCCACATGACTCTTCACGACGCTATTCAGCACGCATATCAATGAGACTTTTCGCCAGCTTTGCTGGTGATAACATCCATGCAGCGGGCCAGCCCGACGTGTGGTAACATCTCTTGCTTTCTATGATACCAATGACAGCCAAAGAAGGAGCCGAAATTGTCGCAATCGATTACCCTCTCTCACTCCCTGAAGTCCATTGGACGCCCTTTCAATGACTAGCCGAATTGAGAAGGGCGTCTTATTGATTTGATCTGTAAGCATAGTAAATAGCAACTACCATAATAAACCCCGATCGATCACCAGGGACGGTCATATCCCAGCCAGAAAATCATCAATAACAGGTCATATTGTTCTAATTGTCAAAACGATACTCAACGGCTGTCGAAGCTTGTCCATCACCATGCGTCACGCATCGACCACACCTACGGCGCTCGTCCTGATTGACATCCAAGAGGGCTTCAAGCACCCGACCCACTGGGGCTCATCACGCAGCACACCAACATTCGAATCCAGCGTCGAGACACTCCTCGCATCCGCACGCAAGTACAACGAAACCATCATTTCGACCCCGACCTCCCAAGAGCAAAAGCCAGTACTCATCCTCCACGTCCACCACCACTCCATATCCCCTACTTCCGCCCTCCACCCGACACAATACCTCGAAGGCTCGTCAACCCCCTCCGTCGCACCTCTGCCCTACGCTGCACCCCTCCCCTCAGAACCCGTCTTCACGAAGAACTTCAACAGCGCCTTCATCGGCACCACCCTCGAGGCGAAGCTGCGGTCCGCGGGGATCCGGCAGCTTATAGTGGTTGGGCTGACGACTGATCACTGCGTGAGCACTACGGTGCGGATGGCGGCTAACTTGCAGGTTCTGGGCGAGGATGGAGGGGTAGATGGTAACGGTGTACTGTTGGTGAGGGACGCGGTTGCGACGTATGAGAAGGGCGGGTTTGATGCTGAGACTGTGCATGCTGTGAATTTGGCTAGTTTGGATGGGGAGTTTGCGGAGGTTGTTGGTGCGGAGGAGGTATTGGCGGCGGTGTTGAGGTTCTGATTTGAAGTATAATGAAGATGCAGCAATGCCAAAAAGTCATCAAGAACCGATTCTGCTGACGAATTTTGGGAGGCATTTCCAGGATCTTGAATTAGATCGATATGACTTCTCGATATTCCACATGCCGCTCTTGTCGTTACACGAGCCTTTTGTTGTTGAACTCTTGAATCAAGGTGCTATGGGTATGGCTCTACGGTGCTCTTGGTGGACTCAAATCAGCGGCAAGCTTCTTGCAACCGTCGGTAAACTAGGAGATCTCATCACCCAATATGGTAAGATCATTGTCGAGGTCAATTGAGAAGATTCGATGTATTGACTGTACATGTACGCTTACCATGCGGTGGCAATCCAACTTTGGGCCCCCACCTCACCCCGGACCACTTAACAACTGCCTCAACTACACGCCTGAAGAAAAGTCCGAAACTACAGTATCGAAGTGCAGCTCTCAAGGCCCAACGCAGCCTTGAATTGGAATCACTGACCACTTTTCGGCAGTGAAGCTCAATTGCCCACGGCGTTTTAGTTCCTCAGGATCTAAGTATACCTTGTAACCCATGTTCTGCCGACCAAGGTTGTAAACTCGGAAGATAACATAGGCTGCGTGGCTGTTTTCTGTCAAGAATTGACTCTCCATCTGCACTTTCTTAGCTCTATCACACACCGTGGGATCTGTCTGGATAAAGAAAGGGATAAGAAGTAGACCTACTCTTTGATACTGAGCTGGACTCATGAAAAATGGCGTTTCACAAGGTCCAGTAGTTGCCTTGACTTCGATGAAGTACTTGAGGCCACTGGAAACCGAAGCCCTCGGTTGCTCCCGAAGATAACCCTTCTCGATGAAGAGAGCCGTCAGTAGGTTGCTGGTGTCTTGGTATACAATGTCTGAAGTCTCGTAACCATCCCATTGCGGCATTTCGGTATAATCTGGATGCCCTTTGACGAGATAGCGAATGCTACTTTGCCACACATCTCTAGAGAACTCTGGTAATAGTACGGGATCTCCATCATCATGCAAGTGGGAAAGCAGTTCAAAGACCTGGTGTTTCGGTGCCCTTAGCCATATATCCTTGAAGGTTGAGAGGTTGACAACGGTATAGATACTTACGAACAATTCGCCTGCCGCACCTATCCTGAAATCTCTTTCAAGTGTAGGTAGATTGCGCACGCCAAAATCCACGTAGTGGCCGGTGCCAGAGATACTGTCTTGCAGCTGGCTCATGCCGAATGTTCCACAGACCGGTAGAGTATTCGTACTTCTTCGTCCTGCGGCGACAATGTTCTTCAAAAGCGCAAGATAGCGATCTTCGTCCACAGAATGATCCTGAGAGCCACCAAATGACGACCTTTGTTGTGGAGAGAACACTTTCCCAGTCTCCGAACCCTCTGACTTGGTCAAGTTCGACCAGTTTGAAGAACTGGCACTCTCGCGAGTCTCGCCACCTTTGCGAGCTGCGTGTGGAGTTTCTGGTATCACGGCCTCGTCGCAATTGGCAACATCGACGGTGGCTATGCCACTGTCTGTAAGAGCTCTGCTGAGTAAGGAATGCGGTGCCAGCATGATGTTCTTGGTTGCGGTCAAACTCTCAGGCGTGAACTCTCCATGGTAGTTCATCATCCATTCTGCGAAGTTCTTCGGGAGTACGTTGGTGAAGATGTATTCCTGGACGTCCTTCGCGCGCGGTAGGTAGACCTTCAAGCTTCCCTCCCTTTCATCAATATGTAGGGTCATCTGCTTGCCTTTAACAGTGTGAACGGCACCATCGTGGAAAATACTGAGATTTGAAGAGATACCGTCGGTCTCATAAATCTCTGCAGACCTCAGCATGCTGTAGAAAGAATCCCTCTCTTTCTCGGTTCTACAACGTGGGCTGTCAAAGTGTGCCGCAACTCTGAGCAGAGCATGTGCTCGATTGCGAATCTGCCTTTGTGGGTTCGATGTTGGGGATGTCGCTCCGCCGCTGCAAAAGGTAGTCTCCGTGACCTGAGCCGAAAGATATCGGCGTCTCAGATCTAGCCATTCGATAAAGGGCCGAAGGCGAGCAACCTGCTCCAGTGTAAAGTCAAGAAGCCTAACCTTGTTCTTGAACATTGTGCCAAGTGACTCCCGATCGATGATGAAGAAATCGTTAAGGAAGTTTTCGGCTGTAACACGCCCATCTGGATAACTTACGGGAAAGATTCGAGCGCTGAAGATGTTGTGTGGGATGTCAGGCTTTGACGCCAAGCAATTCGACGGAAGCAATGAGTTGACAATCCATATTGACTCCTTTAACTCTTTCACCGCTGCGCCCTTAGCTGCAGCATCTTCCAACTCAGCGATAGCCATGGAGAAGTCCAAAGGTTTGACGCCGAGATGGCCCACAAAGAACTCTTCCAGTTTTTGGTAGTTATCTGTCAGGGATACCCTTCCTCTCAACCTCGCCGCGTTGGACCAAACGCATTGCGACGTCTTGTACCATAAAGAAGCATCGTCTGATGGGACAAGAATCAGAGCATCGTTCTCGAAAATTTCTCTATAGTACGCATATCGTCAACCCTCAAAATAGAAAATCATCCAAACGGGAGACATACCTCAGATCCACTTGTTTGGGTTCCGTCTTGCCTAGTATCAACTGGTGCAAAGCATGGTAAATCTTGCCGATTCTGTCAATGTCGCCACACTCCGAAGCCTTAAGTTGCTTCAACTCCTCAACCCAAATCTCGATCGTGCAATTGCCGATACCAACTGTCTCTTGGAACAAACTTGAGTATATGGACTTCATCGTGCTCGGCGCGCCTAGGAAGGGTTGATAGAGGCGATTCAGTACGTGCTTGGTGGCCATGCTTTGCGGCGCGTCCCATACACAGACCCCTGGCAGAACCCATTCGCAATCTCCCTTAGCTAGTGGTATGTGAATGAATTCGTTCTTGTTGAACAAGTTCCTAAGGGCGTCAGCACACAACATCTAGCTCAAGCTTAATATCCTCACATACCGTACGGTCTGCACTGCCGTGCCCCGGTTATCGCTTTCTGCGCATTGTATTTGGATATGTTGATACAACTTGAATAGCTTAGCAAGGCTTTCACGAGTCCAGTGGTATGACGATTCCAAGGATTCTTGTATAAAGAAATGGAGAATATCGAGAGCAAAGTCGAGGTCGTTTCCAGGGCAGCCGAAATTGAGATCCGAAAGCAAACCTTTCCACCGCTGCGGTATCTCATCATGAGTTTCGTTGCCATTGAGCCAAAGCCATGGGAAGAAGTCCACATCGTTAAGGAAACGGGACACCTTTTTCTGCAGCCTTTGTACAGGAAAGTAAACTACAGCCAGAGGGGCCGTGGCGTAGGGTATTTTGTGTCGGCAAAGTACCTCAACTTCACGGAGACGTTTAATGGTCTCGGCTGAAATGGTGCCCTTAGCTTGTGCTTGATACCATTGAAGTAAGCATTCCATGAACTTGTCTGGTCTGAAAATCCGTATATACTCTGCGTCATTCTTCAAAATCGGAAGAGAAGATGTTCTTGGTGCGTTGAAGTCAATGTGTGTTCTGAGGGACGCATGTTTGGTAAACCAAGTACGCCAAGAGACTTTCTGGTTTCCCGGTTTGAGCGGCTCCTCGCAGAAGTACAGATCGTGGGCGAAGACGGCATCGTGACCAGGTGCATAATCTCCCGCATTCGGGCCCGGATCAGTCTTCCGAAACACTTCTTGCGGGCCGTTTGTATCGTTGTTCGGAAGGTAGACTATTTCAATCAAGGGCTGTCGAAGTCTCAAGTGCTGGTCGAACACATAAAAGCACTGCAGTGGCTTTCCAGTCTTTGAGTCCAAATTCTCGGCCAGGTACAGAAATCTGAGGTGGTTGTTTGACGCTTGGAGAGTAACTCTCTCACGAGCTTCGGCATTAGCATACTGTTGCGCAATAGCCTGTTTTACAGTTTCCAACGAGGCAGATGTTACACCCAGAGATTCGAAAAGGAGGGTTCTCATCTCACTTTTCACTTCCCTGCAAAGAATATTTAACCCGACATCGACAGGAATATCCAGCCCACTGACACACGGAAGGTAGATTGGCCCCAATGAAGCGGGCCTCCAATAACCGCTCTCAAGAGGTATGAGGTCCATGTTCTTGATCCGCGCGGTGAATAGCTTACGAGAGCGGGCTTTGGAGACAGCAAAATGAAGAATTGCCGCTGTGTGGTCGTGCCAGGCATTCGTCGTCTCTCGGGACTTCATCCGCGACGTTTCTGAATTCTTCAGATCTGCTTCTAGCCATTCAAAGAATGTCTCGAACGTAGCGTTCTGTAGCCCGTAGTTTTTCAAGGTTTCGAGCCACGTGGCGTCATAGTTTTGCGAAATGACCTCTGCTGGATCGCCGTCATCTAAAAGTAGCTCATCGTACTCGTCGAACATCCCAGGAACGGCATAAAGAAGATCGCTCAACAATCTCCGGCCAGAACCTTTATGGTCATAGAAAGCGGGCGCATTCCGCAGCTTTGATCCGATCTCGTCGACCAAAGAAAGCCAGAATGCGTCCCAAGACCCAGTCTTCTTGTCCGGCAAGTAGGAGGGCCACGTGTATCGTAGAGCCTCGTGTTCGGAAAGCTCAGTGACTGCGATAGCGAACGCCTCAGCAACGCCTTTGAGGAGACCAATATTGCGACGGGAGTCTTTGACAATGTCTTGCCGACTAGCCTCGGTGACAAAGTCGGCTTGAATGAGGAAGTTGAATCCGACTGGCCTCACTGGGAGGAAAGCAAAGACTTCTTGAGGCTCGATGATGGGTGCGGATGTCTCGGAGATCGGAAAAGCAAGGATGACTTCGGACTTCGAGTACGCTTGGGAAGCCTCCTCAGACTTTGAGTAGGTTCTGTTTTCGTTCTTTGCCAATCCCTCGACTGTATGGTGAAAGGTTCGAAAGTGCTGAACGGATTCTTCGGAAGCCTCCTTTTCGGTTTTGATCTTCTTCAGAAGCACATGGCTGGGCTCGAGCCGAGTAAGGTCATAAGTTACCGAGGACGTTTGTTCCTCGTGGTCATCGTAGAATGCAACCTGGATTTGTCGGATGTTCCTCAGAAACGGCAGCATTTTTGCTTGGAGCGTTTCGAATTGAGACCTAATCGACGCGCGTGTCTTGGCCAATTCATATTGGTCTCCAGCATCGTGGAGATGGAGGGTGATTTTCGTCAATGGCGATTCAAGTTCCTCACTCGTCTCCTCCCATATAGGTGAAATCATGCCCATCCCCGAGTCACCAGGTTTGTGTCCGAAAGAGAACGAGAATGAACCCGACTGGATGTGCACTTTATGGGCAACCATGAAGACAGATTTGAAGCCAATGCCCTTCTCTCCGATGTAGCCCTGGGCACCAGTTTTGGAGCTCTGCCCAACGGCGCAGATGGCTTCGAGATTCTCTTGAGTGAACCCATCCTCGTTGCATTCGACCACGATCTTGCGGGGAAAGACCCGGAAAGACACGAATGGCTTGGAGCCCAAGCTTGAGGCCTTGGCGTATGTGTTGTCATCGGCATTCTGGAGGAGCTCGAAAACGAAGCGGGCCTTGCTGGAGTACAGATTCTTTGCGAGTCTGGCGATTGGCGGTTAGTATGTGGCCCCAAGGTCCAATGTCACCCAGAAACGTACGTGATGACGCTGGATCCGATCATCAGATCCTTCGAAAATAATGCTTGCTCAATCTCACGGCGCAAGTCAGGGTGAATTTGTCGCAATCTGTCTTCGGCCACATGGCCATGTTGTGTGGCAATGCTCTCAACCGCCTCTCTCGCGGCTTTGATACTATTCGGAGTAGCCATCGCGTAAAGGACGGGCCAAACCGCTTCTTGAGCCGAATGAAGGCAAACCGAGGAGGGGAAGTGCGATACAGGTCCAAAACAGGTTGAGAACTTCAGAGGAGATCAAGGGGGTTTTAATGTGAAGGAAAGCACCTACAGCTCAAGTAGCGAAGCCTCCTGCGTACAGTCTACCCCTCATCGACAGGTTTCTGAAAAAGACTGGAGGCTATCCAATGGACCATTTTGCATGTACTCCTTAAGCTTCCCCGCTGAGGTTTGCGCTTCAGATAGTTTGAGTTGGACAAGCGGCCTTGGGCAAATTATCACCTTGCATATGCGGGAGGCCAACAATCGCATCAACCAACCCGACAGGCATACAGCGCCACCAGGAAAATTCGGATGCGCTCTGATTTGATATCTTCCTCGGTTGTCTCAGTTTCGCACATGCAAAAGCACACCTTTTCAGTCCTATCGATGAACGCGATGAAACATGAGTTCAGCGTCACTATGAAGGATTAGTTACCGCTCCAGCCTCAACCGGGTCATACAGCCCGACCCGATACGCAATATCTAGAGACTCAACACTGTAACCTTTAGCCTATCAACGTTTTTCTCTCAGGTATGTAGGCGTAGACATTATCAAAAGAGGAAGAGACATCGTGAGTAGTAAAGCACCTGCACGATGAATCAGGTAGGTTGGCTTACTAGTCATGCGAGGATAACGAGGTGTTTTCAAGGACTTTGATATAAGCACCAAAAGACCACTACTGTTCCAGGGAAACCAACCGTGAATTTGACCCAAGAGCTGGTTCAAAATCGATGCGCATGAGATCTGGGCAGCACGATGCTTTACCTTGGCGGTCGTCAATCTCCTAAATCAACAAAGTGTTCTCAGCCTTCAACGAGACCTATCCAGCAACACCATCCCTAATTACCAGTTGCATATTCACAGACAAATACCACCCAACAGCAGAATAAGATCTGAGAAGGCTTGAATCACTGCCTGATCAACCCGAATCTGCCCCTCAAGTCTGCTATTCCCAACGAGGACAAACGCACGCAAGCCCCCGACGAAGGTGGGTTGTCTTCGTCTCCAGATTCTCATCTGTGAGTCCCTGTAAGGGTCGCTGTGGATGTTGCCTTGACATGATCTTTGCACAAGCCGCCATCGATCCTTTAAACAGGGGATTCCACAATACAATTCCTGTTAGTCAAGTAGATTTATGGCTGTTAGTGACTGGGGTTCCGTGACCTTGGACCATTACCAGGAGCATTGAATGGGCAGGTAGAGGTATCAACCCAGATTGGACAGCAATATCTGCTTTAAGCTCAGTTTCTAGAGTACCCCTTCACCGGATTTCGGTCTTGCCAAGTCTATAATTCAGCCGACGCCGCAACGTCTCAAATGATGGACATTCAAGCGACCTCAAAGGGGAAACTTGACTCTTGATACCCACTCTCCAGTGAGACCGTTGAGAAAACCGCCGCCTCCTTCGAGAACTAGCACGCCAAGACGTTGAAATAAAAAAACAAAGTGTCTCGGTTCATCCCTTCGGACAATGGCAACCTTATGTCTCACAATCTCGCAAATTCTCCTTCCCGTATCATAATCTCCAGTGTCTAGTACAACCAGCCACAGAGTAAACCTCGTGGCTGGCGTGGCGTTCGATTTCGAAGTCAGCTCCAATGATACCTTTAATACTTTCGGCATGTCACATAGAGAACCTAAGGCGCACTAGGTAAAGTTATCGCCAGGTCTTTTACCGGCCTTCTTGGCTTGAATTTGCTATGATACAAATCGGCTTCGCCACTGCTTGGGCTTTGGACCCGTCTCGTCTTCCTCCCACTGTCTCGTTCTTCTGTGCTCTGCTCCATAAATTCGGGCAAGAGTCAACAAACGTTTCCCAAACCAAACCTAAGCGCGGCCATGAAAGACATTGTTCATTCGGCCCGCCCCTTTATGTTCCGTTGTTTATATGTAAAATGCTTTGGGGTATCTGTTGGTACACAAAAAACAGTGTGACAAAGGAGAGAGAACTAGAAAGAAAAAGTAGGTATAATAAAAGCAGTGTGTGTATGCGGCAGGTCCCTCGTGATGGCCCCTCTGAAGGGACAAGAGTCGATGCCGCCGCCGATTGGGATGAAACCTTTTCCCTGTCTTTCTCAAAGGCCCTCCCATGGAAAACAAAAGAAAACGCCGTGGTTCCGACTTATCCCAAACCTGGACTGATTCCCCCGTGCCATGCAAGAAAAGTAAAATGTTTTGTAAGGAAAATTATGTGTTCCGTGAGTGGTGATGTTGTGCGATGCTGCCGCAACGTCCAGGCCGCGACGATGAGATCCGGTCTGCTTCGTAGATTATGTTGTTGTGTTGTACTTCTTTTCGTCCGCAGGCAGCTCGATTCCGCTATCGCGGTCCTGCGGATTGCTCCAGTGGGGCGACAGACTCCTCGGGGAATCTAACGGACTGCTCGGTAATGAGGTTGTGAACTCATCCTTCTGCCCCTTCTCTGCATCTTCGTTCTCTTCAAGGTATGCCGGCCGGAGCACCCGCGGTGGTAGCTCCACGTCGCTAGGGCGGACGTTGTACTCGAGGGCCTTCTTGCCTTCCTTGATAAGCTCCTCTGTCCAATTCAAGCATCTCTTGATGCTCACGTTGATCTTTTGGCTGTCGACGAGCAATTCCCGATGTTTCGAGAGATCCAATTGCAAGCGCTTCTCATCCCGAGTCCGGCGACGCAGGTCTCGTTCCGGATCCTCCTTGGGACTTGATATTGACATTGAATCCGTCTCGGAAAGCTCTGAAGACTCAAACATGGAATCATCCATATTTTCCTCCGCCTCCTCCTCGCTGAGATCCGACAAGTCCAGTCCTTCAATGCCTAGGCCTGCAGGAGTGGAGTCGGCAGAAGTCATCCGGCTCGACCCGCCCGAAGGAGGGACGGACAGACGTCCGGACCTTGATAGCCTCTTGTACCTCCTGAGTTCTGCCGTCTGCTTCCGCAACTGCTTTTCCAGCGACCTGTTGATTGCCTCGAGAGACGCGTTGGTGATTTCAAGATCCTGAACCTTGCGCTCTCTTCTCGCGTTGAGAACCATGTCGTTCAAGGGGTCTCCGTGAGATGACTTGGTCGGGCTGTGAAGGTCTTCGAGGTCGTTATCCTCATCAGCCGAATCCTCCTCTTCCTCTTCCTCCAGATCGTCTGCTGCCTGTATTATTGACGCAATCGTGATCGGCTGTTGCGCAAAGAAACTCGGCACTGTCGGAGACGGCAATTCGGAGGGCGTCGATGTTTGTGAAGCCATGAATCTGGACATGATCATGGCATCTGTCGCTGGTGCCTCTGATCCGACCTGACTTGCCACCTGTGAGAGCGTGTCGGTACTCGTCCTACGTTTATGTGACGGCGGCGCGAGCGGCGGAGGGCTAGTCATGTGGGCACGGCCAACAGTGTGAGGCGGCATGCTATTGCTCTTGACTAATGGTGCGGACGTCGGAGGTTGGGATGGCTTGTTTGGTGATATCGGTCGCTGGGCCATAGGGAAGCCATTCGCTGAACCTGCTGATGTCCTATGCAGCTTGCTCGACGCCGAAGTGACTGAGCCCGTCATTGATGCTGCGGATGAGGGCCGGAAACCAGGCTGTAGATTCGGAGCTCCATTGGCGTAGAAGAACTTGCTCGATGGTGGCTCTGGCGCCGGCGTAAGTTGCGGAGAGAGGGACGGTGCAAGCGACGGCGCCAGGACAGGCGTGAAACCAATACCAGGTGACGTAGGCCTGTTCTTTTCGACAGCACCGCCGTTGGCGTACATGAAAGTGGAATTTCGCTGCTGAGGAGCTAGAGGTCTGGGCTGGGCTTTGAGAGGCTGAGCTTTCGGTTGAGAAGCTTGCGATGGTTTTGCCTCGCTGGCGTAGAAAAACTTTGAATCGTTTGCATCGTTCCTGCTGCTTACGCTTGAAGGCGGGCTGAAGGTGACGACCTGTCGTCTCGGAGGCTCGAGTGTCGGCTGGCGATCCCACTCGTTCCTGTCCGGGTCCGGAGTGCCATTCGGGGTTGTGTTGGTACTGCTCACACGGCTCTGGCGACTGCCGGTGCGAGGTGTGATGTTATTCGCGGCGAGGAAAGGCGCAGGGCTCGTGAGGTCGTCCCTCGCACCCCCTCCATTGATGTGCGGTTGTGTGGGGTAATTTGTGTTGTTGTTACTTGTGTTGTCGTTGCGGCGACGACCCATGGGGGCGACGACCGGGGGTGAAGGTTTCGCAGCGACTTTCGGGGTCAGAGGAGCTCGACCGATTGCCTTTGCGCTGAGGGAAGGCATCGCTGGTTGGCGAGAGGTCGTGCTGCCCCCTTTCTCGTAGGGGGGCATGGTGGGTGTTGAGGTAGCGGAAGCGGACGCTGGTGATGTGCCGATTGTGGGCGACGGGGTAGGCGAAGGCTTCGCTCGCGCGGCGTTTGCAGGTCGAGAGGGGTTCAGGACATTTTGGTCTCGTGTGCGGAGGGGTGTGCGCAAGCTGGAGGACAGGGCAGGTGGCTGTCGTCTCGAGGTTGAGGATGGCGTCGACGTTGGGGTTGTTGCGGGCTGCGGTGCTGGTGTTGTTGTCGGCGTTGAAGTAGTGGTGTTGGTGGGAGGTGAAGGTGACGATGTTGTGTTTGGGCCGGCGGTGGTGGTGGTTGTTTTGGTGGTGCTGGCACTGGTGGCAGCAGCTGTGATGCGTCGGGGCCCGTTTATCGTTGGTGGGCCAGTGGCAGCAGCGGTAAGTGGCCGTGGTGGTGGGCGTGTGGTAGTGGTAGCAGCAGTAGCAGCGGCGGTAGGGGTGGGCGAGCGATCGACGGCGGCGGGATTGGTGTTATTAGTCGATGTGGGATTATTTGTGGTTCGGAGCTGGGCCGCCGTGGGTTTGCGGTCGACAGCGACGGCGGCGGGCGACGATGTTGCGGAGGTTGGAGCAGCAGAGGCACCAGGGCCAGAGGAACCCGAGGGAGCAGCCGATGGACGGGATGATGTCGTTGTCGTCGTCCCAGATGGTCTGGACGAGTTGGATGATGGACGATGAGCAGATGCGGCGGGGTTGATGCGGGTGGCGGGTGAGATGGATGGCCTGATGTTTCTCCTAGTTCGGGACGAGTCGGGCGTTTGCTTGCCCTGCTGAACGACGAGATGTTTTTGGTGTTGTTGGAGCTTATTGTTGCCCTGCTGCTGGGGACGCTTGGTATTGGTGGTGGTGGTGGTGGTGTGTGGGTGAGTGCCTTTCAGTGGCGGCGATGTCAATGAATCGCCGGCGTGCCTTGGTGAAGGTGAGGGAGACGGAGCCGAGGGAGCAGTCGAAAGATTGTTGTTGCTCCTCCTGCTGTTGTTGCTGGTGTCGCTGCCACCGCCGCCGCCAACGCCCACGGAGGAGAGCGCTCGCATTTTCTGAAGGGGCAGCACCTAGCCGTGGCTGCGGGTACGTACCTGCAGGTGCGGGTGTACGGGTGCGGTTGCAGATGCTGGTGCTAAAGATGAGGAAGTACCTCCCCCAGGGAGCGCTGCGAAAAGGAGGTGGTGGTTCGGGGAAAGGTACTTGACTGTGGTGCTCGAGACATTGGACGAAAGACCTCTGTGCTGGGACGTCCCTGGCGGTGCTTGGCTTCGTCCCTGGCCGTCTGTGTGTCTCTCTCTTGGACTCTGGAGTCTCTTGGAGTCTTTCTCTCCCGGTGTCCACCCCTGGCCCGGGCTGTCCCTTGGAAATTCTGGAAATAAACCTGAAGAAGGGGGGTCCCGCGCAAGGCCAATCTTGTCTGCGGTGTGTGCAGTGGGGTTGTTTTTGAGGGGGTCCCTTTTCGAAGGCAAGGTTGGGCGAGGGTTGTTGAAGAGCCTGTAATTCCGGTACGAGGCACGAATCCACGATGCGGTGTGTGTCGAATATCGCTACCGTTTCTGATCTCTTTTTTTCGGTTTTCGTATGCTCTTTTCGTGTGTGGCCCGGCGGTGGGAGAATTCCGTCGGTCAGAGTTGCTCGGTGTGGATAGGAGGGCCAGAGAATGAGGTTGTCGTGTGCATGTGTCTGTCTCTGCCTCTCTTTCTTTCTTGGTTCGTATATGTTGTGGGTGTGTGTCTTTGCGCCTTGTTTCGTTCCAGATGATTTCAAACTAATAGACTCGATATCAAACGTCGTTGCGATTGAAACATGCGTTCGTGATCAACAGGAGTAATGCCGGATGTGAGACATGTGCCGTCAGGTGCTTAAGCCTAGAACAAACGTAGACGCGTTCAGGTTAGAAAGAAACGCGGGAATGAAGGTGAGGGGGAGGAAGGAGGCGCGAGTTGAAGAATGAATGTCATTCAAAAGGGTAAGGCAAAGAGCAGAGACAAGGAACCATATGATGCCTGTCCGGAACGAGACGATAATTACGAGAGATGCAGAAATGCAAAATGACATCGTTATTCTTCATCGTTGACACTGCCAGAAGAACCCCAGCTCGGACTCGCCTCGATTTGGTATCCGTAGAACACCGGGAAACACAGGAACCACAGGAACCACGTTCACGACCGCGGCCCACGCTTCTATTATTGTGCCGCGTCTTGTGTGGTCCTCAACCTTTGGTGCTATAGTATAGAGACAGTGTGTTGTGGTTATTCCTGCATCCATTGACCATGCATTCGCGCTCCTCCTATCGCCATCCTTCCCCATCATTCATCTCGATTGGCATTTGTTTATTCATGCGTTGCGGCTTCAACACAACGGCATCCTGCACAAAAGACGACCATCAAACCCACCAACCCTGCCTTGTCTGCCTCGGCACCTAGTCCCTGTAGGCTGTGATCGGTGAGGATTCGAGCAACAGGCAGGGCAGGGCGTGGAGGGGCGGCCAGTAGGTTCCCCTAGTCTGCAAATGGTGAGTGGTTAGCGGGACCCGGCGGCGGTGACATGTCACCTTTCGATCTTCTTTGCTTTTTTCCCTTTTTTCTCCTCCCCTCTCTTGACTTTTGGTGTGGTGTGGGCCTGTGAATGGTAGTGTCTGGCTTATTTTTGTTTTGGTCGGCGTCGGGGTCCGGGTGGTTCCATCTCGTTTATTTTCTTTTTTTTCTTCCTACTCGTCAGACCGTGTCCCGGGGGTCTGGCTGGTTGCCCGGCTCAAATCACCTTAGCGTTGAGTACGTACTCTTTCTGCACCGCTTACCTCATCCTTCACTTTTCCCTCCTGCACACTGCACCTGAATTGCGCACCTCTTCACTACTGTACTGTACCCGTAGCGCGTCATGCTACTGAACAGCCTGAAAAAGGCTCGAACCCCGCCAGTGAACCCCGTGCCCCCCTTGTCGCTTAGCAGCCCGCGAGCTAAAGCTTGCACCACTCAGCGGCCTCGGAAAGCCGAAGTCAATGTTGCAGCCGCTGCAAGCTGACAAAGATTTCCCATCTTGCGCAGAACCTCCATGGGAAAGAGACACGACCACAACCGCAGCTTCCATATCTGAGTATTCAGCCACAACCTCGACTACGCTTCAATATCTTCTCTAGTCCTTTCCTTCAACTTCTCTTCCTCCCATCCCATCACCTCCGCCGTGGCCAACGGCCCATCACCGGGTCGCAATCATGGGCTACATCGGCGTCTCCCTCATCCTCGCCTCCTTCGTCTGGGTCATCGTCGCTCCTCCGCCATGGATACACCCCTTCATGCCGCCCTTCCTCCTCGCCTGGCGAAACGATACAAAGCTCTTACCACCTTCCTCGCGGTCAAAATCCTCTTCTCCTCCACCGCCAAGCGACCAACATGAGTCAAAGACGACGGCCTCCTCGACAACCACCACGAATAGGCACGCACCCGAGCCCTCCACGAAGGAACAGCCGCGCCATGCCCCTCCCCCACCAACGCTCAACCTCCCCGATGACCCCGTCGCCGCGCCGGCAACGGCACCGGCACCGCACAAAACCGGGACCGCCGTCTCTATGCCTCCTCCTCCTCCGCCAGTCATCCGCCGCTCATCCCCGAATCCTTCCGCTCCGGCGCCGCCCACGGTAACCGAACCAGAAGCCGAAGAACAAACAACACCAAAGGCAACCCCCGCCGCTCCCGCCGCACCAGTACCCTCCTTCAATCTTGAAGAACCCTCAAAGGCAATGGCACCGCCCACCCTCGGCGCACCACTCTCTTCAGTATCTTCCTCTTCCGGCCCCACGCTCGGCAAAGGAAGCATGCCGCCCCCTCCTCCGCCATCAACGACTTCAGCCAACATGATGCCGCCACCAGCCCCAACACCCCGCGGCCCAGTCCCTCCCCGCCTAGCCGCCTTCCCAGCAATGAACTCCCCCCAACGCGCCCGCGGCCCCGTACCGAACCGCGGCCCGGCACCCGGAAGCTCCTCCCTCGGCTCCTCCCTTGCGCCGCCGCCAACGCACTCCGCAAAGGCCCCCAAGCCAACGCGCAAAGTCATCCTCACGCCGGGCCACTCTCCGCTCGACTGGGCGCGCATCTCAGGCCCCAACGCGGACCTGCGTAACCTTCCGCCCTCGACGCCCTACCTCAAAGTCACACCCTCGATGCTGAAAAAAATGACGGGGAGAAAGGGGAAGGATGCGTGGATGGCGTTGGGTGGGAGGGTATACAACATCACGCCATATCTGCCGTACCACCCGGCTGGCGAGCCTGAGTTGCTGCGCGGCGCGGGTCGTGATGGGACGAAGTTGTTTGGGGAGATTCATCCCTGGGTAAATTACGAGACTATGCTCTCCGCGTGTCTCGTGGGGTTGTTGGTAGATGAGGAAGAGGGCTCGAAGCCGAGCGCGATGGACGAGATGGACTGATGTACATGGTCTGGTTTCAGGTTCACATAAGATTTGGTCCTGAGAGGCACATACAAGCAAGATGCGGCAGTAGACGCCTGTATTTAAACAGGTCGAGCCTGCAAGCAGAATACGGATAGAGAGATACCCCTAACAATAGAAGCAGCGCCCGTCGCGAATGCAAGTCATACATCATCATTACCACACTCCCTCCCTGTGCCGCCTTAACGCCGCCGGCCAAACTTGAACTTGAGCTCATCTTCGCTGTCGTCACTATCCGCAACTTCAATGACTTTTCGCGTGGCCCTCGGCTTCTTCGCCGGCGGCTCCTTGGCAGGTTCCGGCGCGGCCCTCTTCCCGCGAGTTTGTCTCGTCGACTGGCTCTGCGTGGTCTTCTGTGACTGCGTAGCCGTCGTCGCCTGCGTACTCCTCAACCGTGACGCCGGCGTCGGCTCAGGTTCAGGTTCAGGCTCTGGCTCTGGTGCAGGCTCAGCCTGGGTATCGGGTATGTCGTCATCCTCTTCACTGTCATCACTCAAGACAACACGCTGTTGTCGCGACGTAGGCCGAGACACAGGTGGTGGCGGTGGCGGGGGCGCGGGCTCGTCCTGGGCTGTGCCGCTCTTCTGGCTCTCGTTGCCCTTCTTCTTGCGCTGACTGTCGTCTTCTAGCCAGTAATCGTCTCCGATACCAAATTCCTTGGGCTTGACTTGCGTCAGGGTCACTATGACCTTTTGAGGTGGCCGCCCCGTGAGTTCACCCCGCGGCTTGAAGCGCTTGAAATTCTTCCTCCCGTTCCACCGTGGATCCCACCTGCCATTCTCATCATCTTTATCGTGACTTCTGTTGGCTGGTGGCTGACGTAGAGGCATCTCCTCGACGATGTGCAACCGGCGGATTTGCTCCAAGTCAACATCATCAGGCAAATTGGCTAAATCTTCCTTCTCTGCCTTGAGGCGGGCCTCCATCGCTTCCCTCTGCTGGCGGGCGACGTCTAGAACGTCAATCTCCTTCTTCACCTTCTTGACCTTGGGGGCAGGCTTTGGCTCCGGTTCCGCGGGCTCGGGTGATTCGTTTCGCGGAACAGGCTCTTCTCCGGCGGCGATCCTTCGCCTTTTCACTGCGGCAGCTGTCGGGATGATATCCTCAATGTCATCGTCCTGCGCTGCAGGGCGTTTCTTTTGGGATCGTCTGTTCGTATCTGGTGATGGTTCGGCTACATCGTTAGACGCGTGCGCGTCTTGAGAAACAAACAATCCTTCGTCCTCAGCTTCGGCCTCGACCGATTTGCTCTCAGCCACCGAAGAAGTGAAGGCGTCGTCATCATCATCATCATCCGCGTCAAATCCAGCAAAGCGTCTCGTCGGTGCCCTCCGCACCCGACTTCTGGTAGCAGAAGGCTTAGGCGCGAGCGCAGACTCTTGTAGCGGTTTCTGTGACGTAGTCGGCTGATCTATATCCATTGAGTTGGAGTCAACTCTTGCCACCTCTTCTTGCGGTGTTGTGCTTGCCGGACCCTGCGTCGGGTCCATCTCCAAAGGCCGGCGCAATATGCTGGCATCTTTGATGAGGATGGCCTCGAGGAACTCGTTTTGTTCGATGGGTCTGTGATCAAGTCGGAGAGAGACCTGAGTGAAAAAGTCGGCATACCAATCCACAGCGTCACCTTTGTTCGGTACGAAGCGGACAACTACGACACCTCGTCCTTCGCTACCGTCGTCAAATGAACCGAGGCCCTTCTCGCCAGCTTCCGTTTTAACGTAGAGAACGAAGTCGTCCACTGTTGTTGACTTTGGATCGACCTTTGTGTATAGAGCCTTGCCCTTGCCGTTGCTGATAGGCGCCAGAAGATTATCGAACTGTCCCTTGTCGTAGAAAATAAAGGTATACCCCTCAAAGATTTCCAAGCGGGCCTCGTCCGGCGCATACGCGGATGGAGGCCTTTCGACAGGCTCGCCACCGCGAGGAGGCAGATGATTCAACGGATCTGGCCAGTTGCCATCAAAGTCCGTTTCCAAAGCAGAGGAGGCAGTGATATCGTCATCTTCTGGAGGTGTCGCGGCCGCGACGATGGCGTCCACGAAGGAGTCTGCAACGATGTACCTTCCGTTGATCAGCGCCTGCAATCCCTTGGAAGTGTTGCGCTTCTTTGTGACAACGTGTGTTGTATGCTGAATGTTGTAATCCGCCAACAACTTCACGTCGAGCTGCTCAAGGTCGACACGCAGTCGTGAAAAGGGGTCGGACTGCATTTCTCGGCTTGAGAAGCTGAACGTGAGCGCCACAGGTTGCCAGGTCAAGCTAGAAGATCGTCAGCAAGCTTCCCGCATCTTCCAACGACAAGACCCTTACCGGAACATGTCAGGGCAGCCACCCATCTTAATCTCTGCTGAAGCTGCGGCCACAACATGCTTCTCGCCCTTGTATTTGTGCCCGTCTACAGTCGTCCCGGTCTTGGTGCCCAAGTCTTCGATTGTGACGGTCGATCGGCGGGAGAGATGTTGCTAGGAAGATATTCAGCTATTGCACTAGCCAATCGTATTACGCCTACGTACGCTATCGCCGTCGGACACATTGTCGACCTCGATGGTCAGATGTTTGCGCGAGATGGTCTTATGAGAGATGGCCAGTTGTCCGGCTGCAAACCGTCAGTGAAGTTCGTGCAATGTGTTCAACCAGTCATAACCCATACGTTCCGAGTCCGTTCGGCCGAAGAGATATCGTTTGCCTGGCCGGAGCCAAAGCCGTCGCCCTGGACATTAATCGCGTCAGCATCTCGCACAATTAGTGGGGTAGATTAAGATGTACCTTCGAAGACATTACCGTCAGTCTCTAATAGCCACATTGCGACCTGTCTACGGAGGAAAGCGCCGCGGACTGGCGCGTGGTCCGGGTGCTGGCTTTGAAGCCTAGAATGTTGCGCAATACGACGGGGTGGAGTTGGGGTAGAGGATGGGTGAAGGTCGTGTGCCCCCACGCGTTCCATCGCGGGAAAGTGACGCCGGATCACGTGTCCACTTTCAGGCAACAACCACACCCCCTTTGAGCCTCTCTTTCGGTCCTCGCAATATCAGTCAAATACCTCTTGCATGCATTTGAGATTAATCCGAAGGATTGTGAATTGGTTTAGACGAAGTTTGGCTCAATGGGTGTGGATCAAGGCTTGACAATATTCACCACTAGACCAAGGTTACGCGGGTACCAAGTCTGGTTCACAATGTGATGAATCCTTAATGTTACTAGATCTTCGTCTCCCTACAACATCTACATCATCTTGCGGATATTATTGCTTGGCTTTGACGCCTGTCACCGAGGCTGTTGAACCACCATCGCTGACCATGATACCCAGGATCCAACAGTTAACGAGGAAGAATCCTACGGATGACGCGAATAAGCCTGGGAAGAAGGTGCTAATGCCCAAGAACTCTAGATTGAAGCCCTGCTGTAACCAAGCAGCCTGGGACACAATCCACAGGCCCAAAGCAGTCGCCCCGAGCTTCGGGTTCTTGAGAAACGTTGAGCCGGGGAGGTAAATGGGCAGGAAGACCATGTACCACAAGAAATACTGCTCGAATGTTAGCCACAGCTTGTGAGACCGACTGAGTGGCAGCTTGCTCTTACCTGGCTTGTACAGACTTTGTTGAAGGTCACGAAAGCAAAGGTCTGAGCCATCATCGAAGTTGCAAGGTCCCTCTTTGCTAAGATGACCGGAATGAGAACTGTTGACAGCAGGATCTGTGGGAGAAAGGCAACAGATTCAACGCGGATGGTAGCTGTGGATGGGAAAGCGGACGTCAAATACAATAGCACGTTGTAAGGGCTGAAGTTGTGCCTGTGGTCGATCCTGGTGACGTGGTGGAAGTAGGTGTGCACCAAGAATGGCGTGCCATAGCTGTGAGGCGGTTAGCACTGCCCGGAATAGCCAGCCACTTGGGTTCTTACATAGAATACATGGCAATATTGAGTCCCATGAAGGTCGCGAGACTGACGACGACCAACTTGACTCTCTCAGCATTGACAAACTTGACCAAGGCTCCGCCAATAGTCTGCATCTGGGCGGAACCTGCCCCCTTTCGGCCGAGTATCTCCTCATCCATCCACCATACAATTGCTGGCGCATAAATGAATGGATAGATCTTGAAGTGGACTCCGAAGCCAAGCAACAGCCCAGCCAGAGCTGTCCGTCTTTCGAGCACAGCCCAAAGCAGCGCCATGACCAACACACCCAGAAGTCCCTCCGAGCTCCCACGGGTGCTGATCGTTGCCACCATGGGATTCAGCAGCCAGATACTGGCAAACTTCAGTGCTCTCCCTGTCTCCACGCCACGTCTCTCGAGAATGCGCACGATCAAGAACCCGGCCAGCAAGTCAGCGACCGCGAAAACGACCTTGCCGAATGAGAACCATCCTTGCCACGCCGTAGGCACAAGCATCCAGGCCAAAAGTGGCGTGTAGCGGTAAGTTTCGCGATCGTAGGGTGAGCGCCCTTGAGCAGTGAAGCGAGCGGCATCGGTGAAGACCAGATAGTCAATATCGGTGTACTTGACGGCGGAGTTGGCGTCCTGCCACAGGCCGTAGTATAGCATCGCCACACGGAGGAGCGCGGCGGCGCCAAAGAGCGGCACGGGCCGGAAGAACGCGTCGAGGCCGGCCATGCTGGAATATGAATCGGGTGAGATGTGTCTCGCCGCAGAATTGTCGGCTATCTAATCAGACCGTATTATTCGAGCGGAGTTACCCAGAAAGCCATTGAATATGCCCGGAAAGAAACGATGCGCTGGAGCGAATATGAGTTTCGGGGGTTGAAGCTTCAAATCCCCATGTTGCCATGATGGGAAATTTGAGTGACGTGGGCAAAACAGGCCAGCCCCTGGACCCAGAAGCCCAGATGAGTGTGCTGGGCCCACACCCCGGGTGCTCCATCTGCCGACCCCACTAAATTCAATTCTGACCCTGCACGACCTCACAGGAACATCACTCCGAGTCACTGACTTCATCGACGGCCTCACTTTTTCCCAACCTCGCATCTCACCAACACCGTCTAATTGTTGCAGTAATTCAGGATGTCTAAGCGCGACCGGGATGGCAACATGCGGAATCATGAATCCAAACCTAAGCCGGCTGCGCCCGAGTCTCAATTCACCCCCATGTTCATGAAATTCCGCGATGAGCTAGATCAGCACCACGATCGTAGGGAGCGCATTGTCAAGGCATCGAGAGACGTCACCGCGTTGAGCAAGAAGATGTGAGCATTCAACTGTTCGTCTGAAATGGGACTTGACTAACAGGGATGCAGCATTTTCACCTGCCAAAGGTGACTCCCACCGATCTCACCTTGTTATCATGCCATGTACTAATACTGGGCCAGAGTCAATAAGTTGGGCGACCTTCCAAACTTCGCCAACAAGGAGATCGAAACGCGCATGGGCGAGATTCAGAAACATCTCACCGCCATTGAGAACGACATCCAAGGCGTCAACCGCTACCGCTATGCCCACTCTCTCCGCTGCCTAGAAGAGCTCGTTGAGGCCCTCTCCTTCTCCCACTACCTCCGAAACCAGACACTCATCAGCGAGGAAGAGACAGCAGCGGCAGTTCCTGCCAATGTCTCAATCACCGAAAATGACTACATGTTTGGTCTCTTTGACCTCTTTGGCGAGATGATGCGTTTCGCTACGGTGACTACTGCCCAGACCGGCCAGCTCGCTGGCATCGAGGGCCGCAACATTCTGATGGATATCCATGAGCTGAGCAGCTGCTTTGAGATTCTTCCAGAGATTCCAACAAGGGACTTCAGGGGCAAGATGGAGGTTATGCGACAGTCGGTGCGCAAGGTGGAGAAGCTAGGATACGGCTTGGCAATCCGGGGAACGGAACGGCCAAAAGGCTGGCTGCCTGACATGAAGGAGGACTTTGATCCTTCTTCACTGGACTAGGGCTGTTTTTGGGAGAAAACATGGATGCCAGACAAAGGGCGTACTATGTTTCGGAGTCGTCAAGGAAAGTTGACTTCCAGATGAAAGAATCATGCTTCAGTAGAGAGTATCGATAAAATCATGTCCCACCAAGACACGGTCAGTCGGGACCACCTTCCTTGGAGGGTGCCTGATTTTCTCTTCACTCCATGCCTCATTGGATCATTCTTGAAGGCAGTTGGGGAATCTAGCAGAGGCAAGATTTCCGAGGTTTCTTCAATTTGCAGCAAGTTATGCTTCCTTCCTTCTCTCAACTGTACCTCGCCCATTTCCCAATCTCTAATTCCTCATCCCGATCTTGAGTCTTCGTCTGGCCTGATATTCATCCTGGCTCTTCCTTCCACCACTGCTCAGATTTATCTGGGAATCCGACAAATGCAACGTCTCGGGTTTTTCGCTTTTTTTTCTCAGACGAGATATTAAACACTCACTTGCACCTTTAAATTGTCGTCTACTCCTGCGCTTCTCACGGAGAGAAGCACTATGGAGGTCGCAGGTCTTGTCATTGTTACGTTTGGAGTCCTTCCACTAGCGAAGGAATGCCTTCAACTTGTGAATAAACATATTGGCCCCTCGAAGCATAACACCACAGAACTGGAGTGTCTCTCCGGCTGGCTCGACGACATCATCCAGACCATTGCGATCCTCAAAATGAGGTACGAAGGAACCGGCACATGGTTTCTCGAGTCCTTCACCCTTCATGAGAATGTTCAAGAGCTGCTCGACCATAAGTCTATCGCCGCAAGTCTTGCCGGTATTGGCCCTTGCGACGAAGCAAGTCTCTTACATTTGGTGGCAGCCCTAGGGATCCACATCGCGGTGACACCATTAGTTTCCGAAAACAAAGATGCAGAGACGCAACGCTGTATTACGCGATCATACATGGCTTCGAAAGTACGGTTTGACTCTTACTTGAGAATGGAGCATCACCAGAAGGACAGCCGGGCAAATGGGATCAGGACGACTACAGGCTCCCCTCGTCCACATCATTTGTAACGACGATGCAGAGCAATGTCATCCGATTATTTGAGGTCCTGTTGAATGCTGTCCAAGACGACGATTTTGGAGAAGTTCGAGGAGGGAAATTGCTGATCGAAGCCTGTTTCTTCGGGCATGCCTCTTTCGTGTTGGCCCTTCTCAGGAAAGAGGTTAATCCCACCTGGACTGAACAGAATAGTCATGAGGAGGAAATCACCTCATTACTCATCGCTTCATGTGCTAGCAGAGCTAACATCGGAATTGTCAGAGAGCTACTGTCTGACGCACGCACGGAGGTTAATCTGAAGATTTAACTTACGTCTAATCCCCGAACTGTTCTTTCTCACGCCGTTGAGCGCAACCTTGAGGCTATTGTCGATCAGCTTCTCGACAAAAACGCCCGCGTCCTCGAAACACTGCCTGTCAAAGTGTCTCTGAACGAAACTTTCGGCGACACATGTCATTTGGACGTTCTTGACGGGCTTGTGGTTCAGGGGAATCGCGCATAATGGAGAAAGTGTTCAACCAAGTACAGGGCTTTGAATTCAAGTCAGACGAAGGGCGATACCTGATCTGCATAGCTGCTTACTTTGTCTCTTCGAGTGGTCTAAAATTCCTTATCCACAATGGAATGGAGACGGATGGCGCGGATACAACCGGAAGAACACCACTATCCTACATTGCAGAGGGGCTGAACCTTCGGGATCTTCATGGCCTACGCAACCTTGATGACACGTATAAGGGGCTTTCGGAAAGTGGCAGCCGTCGAAATGAGCGAACGTTATTGAAACGAGCTCTGGAGTGCGCGCAACTACGGATCGACAATAGGGCACAGGTTGATCTCAGCGACAAACAAGGACGCACCGCCTTATCATACGCTGGTCTTAGTCCAGAGTACACAAGCTGGTGTCTGCAACGAAAGGCTAGCGTAAGTTCCCAGGACCTCATTGGAAGAACACCACTTTCCCATGCTTCTCAAATCCAAAGCGGAAACGGTTTAGTTGTTGGGATGCTTCTCAGACATGGAGCCGACCCGAATCCAAGGGATGTTGCAGGAAGAACCCCCCCTAATGGTTCGCGGTTCAGGCTAGATCTTCGGGTAACGTCAGTCGTCTCAGACGCTCCTACAAGGGTTCGTGCTCGGTCATTTCTAAGGATGTCTTTGGGAAGGATGCCATCACCATGTCAGTCGTAAGTGGCTCAATCGCTGGTACTGATTGGGTCCCTTCATATTTGGGAGAATTACTTCGTTTCTATGCCAATCCATCAGAGGGGCCGAAGATTTTGAATCAACCACTGATTCTGGGGGCCAAATTCGGCTGCAAGAATGTCTATGAGATGCTTCTGAAGAAGGCATTCTCATTCGGATACCAAGTACCGCTTTAACTCGACTGCTTTGCCCGAGGCATACTAGAACAGCAGTGTGTTTGGGACCGTGTTTGCTGACTTTGCTGTCGGCCAATATATCCGAAGGTTTACTTTGAAGTATGCAATGATTGCAAAATCATCGTCTGCTTGAAGTGCCGACGCCGAAGAAATCATTCGATACAGCCCTGCGAACCACCCCAGGAACATCACAGTATGCTGGGACAGACGATGAGTAATGGCCCAGATGGAATGCAAATCCTCAAGGCCAAATATCAAGACTTCTCAAGCGTAATCACATGGCACCGGAATGATCATACTGGCAACCGTACCAGTGGTTCCGAAGGTTATGCCCTGTACTGGGTATTGGAGGGCTACGAGTTGCTGAAGAAAAGGCAGTTTGAGCTCAATGGAATCCTGGATACCAGAACTGTTGAGGCACCAGTTGTCATACCGGCACGTGGAGAGATGAAGGGGGAAATGAAATCGAGTTAATACAAACTCGCGAGCAAAAGCAAACGGAGCCAAGAAGGTAAAAACTGTTACTTGGTAATTATGGAATCTTAAAAGACATTGTCTGACAAATGAAAGTCGCAAACCGTGACTTGCTACAAACCCGTGATCCATCTTCACATGAAATTCCGATCCAAAGAATAGAGGTTCAGCTAATACTCATCGACTCACAGAGCCAGATCTTCTTTAGGCCTCAAGCGGTCTGGGAACCTCCAAGCGAAGAGCACCGAGACGAGATACATAAGAAGGGAGTCGAAAACGTAGAGTGTCCATTCGTGGGAAAGAGAGTAACCCGTATATCCCTGAGCGAACTCGACGACTCTGAAGATTGATCGAACCATGATGAGCAGACTGACAGCATAAAGCATGTAAAGGCTCTGTTCCCATGGGATTAGGCCGTCCAGGGAGTCGGGAGTGGGTGCTTGTCTCATTCTGCGGTGGAAGACGACGGCGATAGCACAGAAGAGGCCAAACATGATGATCTGGACAACAAGGCCGATGATGATGATCCTCTCACCCCAAGTCGCGAGACCGGGCTTTTGGATCACCATCATGCCTGAAGCGCCTCCCTGAATTAGGAAAGAAACCAGATCTCCAAGGACAAACGTCTTCGTCAATTTGGCTGGTCGGATCATCGAATATTTCTCGGCGTGGATACTCGTGATAATTCGACCGAGGATCATGTAGATTGAGGCGGCAAAGAGGACGGGTGCGATGATGATGAACATGTTCTGGATGGCGAACGTCATGATTCTGTCGGTCTTGTCGTGGGCGCTAGCGCGTGCTCCATATCCTATGACTTCAACTTACTGGGAGTCAGTACATCGAGGTTTGTCAAGCGCCATTGCGCAACTTACAGAGGCATCCTACTGCAAAGACGATGCAGAAGCGAGCACGAGTCCTCCAGATCTTCCAGCTGATGTAGAGGAAAGACAATAGAAATAGAATGAGAAATAGGATCGCCGCAGGTTTGCTTGGGAGATAGCGCCAAAGGTAGGCTCCTCCTTTGGTAGGCTTAACTCCTGGCACTGGCGCGAAGTAACCATCCGTAGACATGGCTGCAGGCTAAAGAGCGTCTGGTGATTCGGATCAGAATGTAAGAAAAATTACAAGAAACTTCGGCAAGAATGGCGAGCAATGTTGAGGGAGACTGCCGTCAGAAAGGACTATCTGGGAATTCGAGAAAGCAAAGAAATGGACGGGTATATGTACGCCGAGGAGCACACGAAGCTGTCCACATTGTAAAGACATGCCAGTGCCCAAAAGAAAATTTCGAGCTCCACAAAGCCTAGACAAATCTAAGCCTCATTAGCTCCGTGTTTGCATATCTTTTTCTACTCTATGCCAGGCCGTGAATGCTCGGATAGAGTTGCGGTTGAACGGGTTCGGATCGCTTGGGGTGTGGGGCATACGGACCCGAGTCGGGTGGTAAAGAATACGCGGAACAAAGCATCAACCCGAGCAGCTTACCCGAGGATTTATAGCTCGGGTCGATAACGCGCATACGCTCATTTCGACAATTCAATAACATCTCTCCCCAAAAAGAATCTCTTATCATAACGCAGCCTTGGCTTTTGCAAACGCGTGAGCAGTTTGAAGGGAAGAACAGCAAAACCGCTGCCAACATGAAGCAACCTCGCTGAGAAAACACGCCTTCGCTATTTCTTGGTGCCGGAGACTTCTACCGTCTGCTTTATTGCAGCACTTGCAAAGTTTCACCTTCAAAATGAGGCTAAGAGCATCAAATTACCAAAATCTGTATCAAAACGTGATACCTATGCTGATGATCTGAATCTCCAGGTCAGTTAATAACATCAGCAGCATCTAGATCGCTACTTCTCCTCCAGTGTAAATGGGCGAAAACGAAGAGAACACATAATACTGAGCGTTTTCGTTCTCTTCCAAGACCCATGAGCCCGGAAATTTCCAATCAGATCCTGGGCATCACGGACACCCGTTGCACAAGGGGTCATGTGCAAGAATGAGGCCACTGATCGAGAGTTCGAGATCCAAAAAGAACCTGACTTTTGCCTTGAATTCGGTGCATGAAAACTCAGATGCTAATAACATATGATTTGAGACTCAAGTATGACATCCTCAAAGATTGACGTTGTTTCCGAGACTACATGAGTTTTTATCAGTGTCGTTCTAAGCGCCGGAGTGGGCAGGAAGTTCCAGTTGATTTGCCCCAGGGGCTTCCTTGACTCTTTTGAGGGGTCTGACCGAACATCATTGTATTCAGCGTTGTAATATAATGAGATGTCGAAGGCTTCCTACTGGATTGGTGGTCTGTTTGGACATTCGCAGTCTGGAAGGGTGAATGTACATACGAGGCAAGGGCAGTCGGCAACTTCGCGACACAATACCTAGGCTACTACACATTTTGCAGAACATGTGGTATTGCGGTAAGTGTTGTATGACCAGGTGGTCAATTGATTGATGTTTTAATTGGCCTGGGGACGTTTGATATCATTGGTTGAAACTGTCGGAGATTAGCTACTATCGGATGAAGATGCAAACAGCAAGGGAGCTAATGCAAACGTGTAGGTAGGACCGTATCGAGGATGTTGAGAGCCGGCGAGCCGTCTACTGTTTGCCACTCCGAAGCCTGCATGAGATAGCCGAGGAGAACCCCGCATCACGAATGTAAGACCACCAAAGAGGGATCCATCTGTCGACTCTGCATCCTCATCTCAACAATGGCAAATTTCGAGCGAGAGAACATTCTGCGGGGATGATTGACATCACTGTTGCTGGAACCCATCGAGAGGTGAGTGATGCGCCTGACTGCTTTTTGATGTGCCTGAGAAGCTCACCTCCGTGTCAACGCAGATCGGCTTTGCTGTAGGTCAACAGGCTGCGAAGCAAGTTGCTGGGTCAATTGCCTTCTACCGTTATTTTTTCAAAGACTTCAGCGGGTTAGAGTGGTCCACAGTACAGGTGAAGACCCGAGAGTTTGTGCCACACCTCAAAGCCAAGTTTCCCTCATACTATGAAGAGATCGAAGGGATAGCGGAAGGTGCTGCCGTGGACGTTCTGGATGTTGTTGCATTGAACATACGAAGCGAGATCGCTTTTGGTCTCTTCGAAACGGAACCGACAAGACCCACGTCAACTACATCAGTTGAAATGGCAGTGGACGGATGCACTGCACTAGGCTGGAAGACTCCTAGAGGGTCTACATTCCTCTCACAGAACTGGGACTGGAAGAACGAACAAAAACCAAATTTGATCATTGTTCGCGCCAAACCGCATGGTGGGCCCGGCATCGATCTGCCAGCTTTCCAAATGATCACTGAAGCAGGTATCATTGGGAAAATTGGATTCAACGAGCACGGTGTGGGATGTCTCCTGAATGGGATCCGCGCGAAGGGCGTCAATTCAGAGCGTATGCCAACCCACTTTGCCCTGCGGACCATCCTGGAATCCAGGTCAAAAACAGAGGCCCTGGAAAAGATAAAGAGCGTGGGGTTAGCTGGAAGCAGTCACATTCTTCTCGGCGACCACTCAGGCCCTACTGGCCTCGAGTGTACCAGCATTGGGTTTAGGGAGCTGCCGGCTGATGAGAATGGTCGTGTCGTTCATGCCAATAACTTGATATTGGATCATGAGGGCGTTCTTGAGCCACTCTGGCTTGTAGATTCGCCGAAACGTACTGCCCGTATGAGGGAGCTAGCAACGCTAGATGTTGGCAAGAACGCCGGATTCAAGTCCTTGCTAGAGCTTTTCAAGGATGAACAAAACTTCCCAAGCTCCATCAACCGGAAGCAAATCGGAAAGAATGATTCTGGTACTCTTTTCAATGTGGTGTTTGATCTCACCGAAAGAAAGGGCATTATTTCCATTGGTCGGACGACGGAGATTGAGGAGCAGATCGAAATTGGATTCTAATGTCGTATTCTGAACGAGCCATGAATTTACTTAGAGGGTCTCTGGCCAGTATGCCTTGGCTTGTATTTTGTTTACCAACATGAAAAAAGGAATAGACTTTGGCGACACTTTGTGTCACTCTAAATACGTAATCGTGGATCGCGTCACAGTTTCGAGAACTATTGCAAATACCATCAAAAGTCACAGTGGTTCGAAGTTGCGCATGGGATGCAAGCTCACAATTCTCGTTGTTTAACGTATCGACGATTACAGATTTCGTTTTACGTACATATTCTTAATTGGACACCTACGCTGGGCACATCAAGTTCAAGAATCACAATTCAATGCTTTCTCTCGATACGATAGACCGGGAGTTTACTAACGTAAAAGGATGGCATGATCACGCTCGAATGTTGATCTAAGAAACTAAGCTATCACTCGTGTAGCAAGCCGGCGTAAAATAGACTTGTACAAATCACGTGTCGGCGTACTGTATTTGCAATGTTGTGTATTTGGTAACACCTAGATCAGAGACGATAAGGACGAAACATCGGTACGCACTGCTAACAATGAAGAAGATGATCATCCTCGAGTTTCACTTTCATCTGCTCGGGTTGTGTCAACACAATCAAGATGCTCCTTGTCTCTCGATTCAGCATGCCTTTCTGACAGCCCTCTCGTCCTTTCGAGACGCTGAGTCGTGCCATGACCTTTCTCTACCGAGGTTAACGCCTGCAGTTCCACCTCACATTCACATTGGTGCTACGGCCATTCGAGGAGACTTGAATACGAGACGTCCGCTGAAGAGATCTGGGCGGATCGCCACGGAAATCGCAGACTTGCCGCACCGAGTTGCCTCCCTTGGAGTTCCCGCCGGCGCTGCGGCACTGCTGCTTTGCTTGCTTTGCGAAGCTTGAATCGAAACGACTGTCAAAGTTGGACCGTGGTTCCACAGTACAGGTGCTTGCGTAAACGCTGGTAGCACCCAAAAGGAAGAACCAGAGCAGGAAATTGAAGTTCACTGACGTGATGTTAGTACTAAACGGTAAGGAACAAGGAATTGCCTTACTATTGAAATCGAAAAAGAGCCGCAATGATATGTTGTAGTACCTGAGTTATGCGTTGATTTGCTAACAAGCTGCTTGCTGGTCAGGAGGAGAGAGGGAACGGAAATTTATATGTGTGGAATTAGTATCCAGGTCGTCCATGGAGAGCCGGCTATGTTTTACATGGCAAGGGCTACGTAGAATTCAAAATCCGCGTTTGGTCACGCCCGATTGGGAGCTTTGCTACCCATCATCATGTTTTCCAGAAGCTGTTTCCTTGACCTGGTCCTGAGTGGTCGGTCCGGCCTATCCAGTAATCAGATCCGTGACACAGGATTGGCCATCATGATCGGTTTCGTATTCGAGACGACCGGATGGGCAAAGCTTAACCATGCCGCCAAAACGGAAGCTTAGCCTTTGCGGCGGTGACAATAACTTCTTGCCAAGCCGCTATCGGTAATTGGTCACAAGCTGCGACACGCGCGAGGAGAGCATACCTGATGAACAAGGCTATTGAATAATCGACATCCCGTTGTCTGAGAACTAGTTAGGAAGGCTGAAGAGAGGATTAAGCTTGGTGAATTGGAATGTTTCGTCGCAGTGTCGTGACAGGATTCCTTTGGAGTTTCTTCGCGTTTGAAGTGAACCGCACCATCGCTGCAGGCGCGGGTGCTGCCTCCGTTACATCGTCTTAAATGTACCGCGCCTGTGGGAGACTTCGGCATTGTGGTCTGGGGAGAAAATCCCATGCATTTCACGCGTCACCAGCAAGAAGACCTCAGTGTCACCGAACCATAAAAGCCTGGGTAGTCTGTCCAGTTACAGTTGACCCGGATCGTCAACGAGTCAACGAATGTTGTTCGTGATCTTGCCCCCGCTATCATGTGGGAAATATTGAGTCGTCGCGCGGTCAAACCAAAAGTGTTCTCCCAATTGAGGTCGGAATCGGAGTCTTGGCAGCTGAAGCTCCGCCCATTGTCTTGGATTTGACTGACATATAATTAGTGATCTACGAACTATAAGATCGCAATATACCCCGCGGTGGTGTGGTGACGCGCTAGCAAGCCAGCTACGGGTCCCTCCGGATCGACAATCAAGATCGGAGAGAAAACTCTCTCTTGGCTCGATTCCTGCAAACCCTCCCGGCTCACCCAGTTCCGTCAATGGTCCGGCCGTAGTGCGACTCGTGCTGTAGCCACGCCTGTAAACCTTTACTTTGAGAGTTCCCCATGTCCAAGAACGGGACGAATGCCAACGGCTAGAAGCTACTCTGGCAGAGGCCGAGCGGGAAGTTCGATGCAGGTTGGCATTTCGACAGTGCCGATCAACGGCCGGCCGGTGCGCCTCGAAACAAACTCACGTCGAAACTAGGGGCCTCCTGGGAAGAGCATACTTAGAGTTCTGAATGGCGGGGCTTACGCGCTTCAACGATAAACGCAACCTCGTGCACTTATCTGCCCTCGTGGTCGTGATCGGCATTTCTTGCTGCTACGGAAAGTTCGGATCAGATAGTAGAGGTGAGAAAAGCGTAGCCGGCGCCGCAAGGTTGATTAATGGGATTCCGCCCCTGAGTCCCGGCTTGAGTTGCGTGCACAGAATTCAGGGTCCAATTATAGAGCATCCCGACTACGAGACAATCGTGATGTAACGCAAGCTTTACCCTCTCCCACTCGGCAGGCGCGCGAGCAGTGAGTTCTCTTGGCAGAGAGCAGAGTTCCAAAGTCACGATCGCTCTGCGTCGAGCACCAAGGCACAGGGCTCAGAGGTAACTTCCACGACGGGACAGCCCCTCCGCTTCGTCCACGCAGAACCACGACTCATACGAATTTCACATGAGGCAATATCCAAGTTCGAGCTGCTTGGTTTCAAATACTCAAATCATGTTTGATCTTGGCGATAACTCGATGAAAATAAAGCAAATACAGACTGATGATCCACAACGACCTTCCTATGATTCCGAGCTGCTTTCTTGAATAAAAGACCCACCAGCTGTTCTTCTTGTTACTCTAAGCTTTAATTTCGAGATTTTACGTTCTCAATAACAATATCACGGTCAGATCATCTAGTCCATAGTATTCAGAAACTTATCGAGGTGAAATGGAGCTCCCTGGATCCGCATTTACAAAAGAGAGCATTTGCAAAAGAGATGACTCGACAACTGATTGACCAGAGTGGATGGCAAGAAACGAAGCCACTTAGATATGCTACGTATTGGGCTATGCTGGTTTCCAACTACATTATGTATAGACTGGAATAAAGCTCAATTCAGCTCTGAAAGCCATAGTCGAATTGGATAGTCGAAAATTGGATGGTGGTGTTATCTAGTGGTGATGTTTGTGGTGCGCGGCACTTGGCCTGCGTACATATGCGATCTCAGTGGCATGATGGTCGCATCCGAGAGAAGAACAGTATGTTACCTGCGAGAGCATCTGTCGCGGCTGTTGCTGCTGGTTGTCTCGAAGGATTCATAAATGACAGCCCCTTAAAAAGCGCAAGCACGGCGTGAAGCTTGCATTAGGTGAACGCAACAGCGTTTGCGAAACTCAAGTTGCCTTATCTTCGGACTGCCTCCGTGTACCGCTCCCCGGACAATCCCGGAAGGCGGCAGAAGCTCCACATCTGCGGCGGCGGCGGCGGCTAGTACCGTTCAGTTCGGGACACAAGCTTGTTCCCGGGGGTTTTGCTCGGCGGGTGCGATATGAGATCCGCAGGGTATCCGGGCAGCATAGAGCCGATAGCCCTGAGCTTCGCTCTCTCTGTCTCGTACTTCTGTATTTGACTTTCCGGCTTTCCCAACGAGTTCAGTAAAATGGGACTAAATGCCCTCAACGGCCATCTCTCAGCTATTCAAACAACAATTTGCTTCCAGATAACCTTCGCACGCGCGTAATTTCACCGATTTTGGAGGGTCCGCACAGCTCTGAGTCTTTCTTTTCTCTTTCGGTAAGCTAATGACGGCAAGGGGGCCAAACCCGAGGTTCAGATGCGGAACATCAACATGGCTCAGGACGAGGCCGGGATCGTGTGTTGGGTGACTGGATACATCTCGTGGTACATGGACCGCGAGACAAATCAGAGCTCCGGCTTGGCAGTACGTATTCTGGCTTTGGAGAGGCCTCTTATTTCTCGTATGTCTGGATTTCTATTTCTACTTTCTTCCAAAAGCCTGCATGTGCTCTTTGACACACTCGCAGCTACTGCGGAGGAGAAATAAAGGGCAGGTTGGGGTTGACATAGTTGTGACACTTCGACGTCTCGGCTGGAGCTTCCAGCTAACGAAGAAACTTAATCGGTAAGAATTGCGAACTATCAAATGATCGTTGCTAAGGAAGTGGCAGTCTGTAGTATGAGCTACCTTAATATCACGAAGTCTGCAAAAAAGGAAGAGTTCGTCTGGGTTAGAATTGAACCGCTCCAAGACCCTGAACTCATGGCAGGGTGAAGCTAGAGCAAAATCGAAGTTTCGTACCAGAAATGAGATGAGCATGAGCTGCTCAAAGTAGGTAATGTTTCTGCCAATGCATGCTCGAGGTCCCGTACTGAATGAAAGGTGAGCCTTAAGCATCTTCTCCTTATTTCCATCAATCCAGCGCTGAGGTCGGAATGTCTCAGTATCCTTGAAAACCTCGACATCTCGCAGTAGAGTGTAAATTGGGACTGATACAGTGATGCCCTCGCTCACGAACTGCCCTGCGATCACCCGACCGCCCTCCGGCACAACCCTAGGCAAGCTCATTGAGCTTGCCGGTCGAACGCGGAGGGTTTCGTCAACGCAGGCTTTGAGGAAGGGCAGCTAGCCGATGGCGTCGTAGCTCGGTACGGTATTCTGCACAATGACGGGGTCCAGTTCTTCTCGAAGTTGCTCGAGTACGTTAGGGTGGGTGTAGATGAGGTATACAGCGTTTGTGAGAGCAGCCGTGGTTGTCTCAGTGCCGGCATTCATCATGACCGAGCATTCTGTCAAAAGCTTGCCAAAGGGCAAGTTTACCGGCTAGCCATTATTTTTAGCCATCAACTTTTGGGATATATCCCTGTCCTTGTCTTTGGATGCGAAACGCGCCTTGGTGCAGTGCAGGATGATATTATCGAAGTCCGCGCCAGCCTTCTTGTAAGGATGCCATGGAAAGAACTTTCTGGTCAAGGGCAACAGACCGGCTTCCATTCCAAGGACGGTGTTGATTTGAGTAGCGTGTAGTAAAGACTGAATGAAGGGAACTTAATGGACATTCCCACCCGGCGTTTTGGCGTTGACTATGTCGCTATTACGCTTCAAGCAGTTGAGTGAACTGCCAAAGAGCATTGTTGAAAAAGCATCGATGGTGAAGTAGTTGAAATACCGGCGCATATTGACTGGTCTCTCATCTTGCGCATGCTTTCTGAGTTGTGATATCAAAGTGCGAATCGTTTCAGCAATGACGGGCTCTTGTTCCGATAAGGATCTTTGTGCAAAGACATGAGCAAGTAATTTGCGCTTTCTCTGATGCTTGGTCTTGATTTTTTTGTCCGACATATGACGGAACTCTCCGGCGCCTCCATCGTACCAAGCATCCTTGAGAAAGTTGGCACCGTGGCCGCAAATACCATAGACAGCGCGAGGATCTGAGATGGAAACATAGTTTGGACCAATGCGGACGTGCGTACTAGCGTTTCGTGAGCTTCGTGCACCACTATGAAGTGCCGATATCTTAAGCAGTGGAAGATGCGCCACGAGGATGAGATACCGGCAACTCCGGGGCTAGGAAAGATTCGAAGGCCTTTTCTGTCGACAAAGTAGTTTGTTATCGGTCCGCCGATAATGACCCAAAGGATCACAGCAGGGATGGCTGCATAGAATGTTAACCAGATAACTTGACGCGACGGACCACAGGTGTGGCTCACCAAGTAAGGTAGCAGCAGCATGTTAAATCTTTCTCAAGGCTGAATATTTGAAAGCTCGATGACAATGAATCTTCTACAGTGGTTTCGCTGCATGATGGTTCACTCTTATATCTGCGATTCACCTCAGCTATGATTTACACTCGAGCTTTCCAGTGCCTAAAACACCACTTACAAAGAGCATCCCCATCCTACGTACGTTCGCAAAATAGGAAATCCCGTCAATCCTGCATATTTTTAGTTTCCTACAGAACATTGTCGCTAAGCCATAAAGGTGACACGCCGACATTCGTCAGGCCGTAGGAGGCGGTTGGCGGTCGGCTCTCATCAGGCACCCCGATGGAGCTAATGTCGGACGGGCATTCCGATTGAGGAAATCCGCCTCAAGTCTGTCCATTCCAGGTTTCTAGATTTCCCGACACCGAGCCAAGAGGGCAACTGGTCAAGGAAAATGCCAGTTTCCTCACCTGTACAAGTTGGGCGGTGGCACTGCGTCACTTTTGCTAACCTTCATTCCCAGTCACCAATTGTCAGGTGGCAGCTCTTGTGAGGAACTTAGCCAGTCAAAGACTGGATGTTCGCCAGCGAAGTTTGAGAAATTCGGGCGCTAATTGGTTTTGTAACGTACGTCTTTCGGGCTACCACTAATCTGGGCAGCGCGTACCATGACTCAAATCAGTAAAAAGACATACTAGCATCAATATCATTGCGCTGGTACGCGAATGGTGCCAAAGCTGCCGCTACAGATGTTGCTACTACATTTATACAGCAAATTCCTGGTGCTCTGCCGTTAACGGGCCATTCGGCATACCCTTGCCTTTGTCTTCTGAGCTCATTTCTCCCGAGGATTCGCTTTCCGAGAATACATGACTCCTCCAAGCTCTGACGGGTATCCTTTCAGTGAAAAATCTCGAAATCTCCAAACTTGATCTGCCTGCGGTTTCGCCCACACAAAACCATGTCCACAGTATGGAGAGACACGTCGTTCCAGCGTATACGAAGCCTACCATTGGACCTAGTCCAGCATCGTAGTATAAATAGGGCGCGGTGAACGAGACCACCCAGGTTGTCAGGTAAAAAATGACGATACTCGCGGACATGATCTTGTTCTGGTTGGGACCTACTGCCATTTCCCGAGCGACGGTGTACGCAAGGGGGCCAAGACCGAAGTTGAAGCCAACTACGACGACAAAGGAAAACACTACAATGACGTATTGTGTCGAAGATGTAAGCGGCTTGACCGCCACGCCGCCGATAATGATGAAGGCCACCAGCATCATCAAGTTGGTGATCATGAGGTTGGTACGGCGGCGCACTTTGTTGACAGTGATTATAGAGGCGCTTACGGCGAAGATTTGAACAATGTTGGTGATCAGTTGAACGAGAAAAGGGTCGCCCAACCCAATTGCCTGTACGAATACAACACCATAAACGTAGAAGAACAGAATGCCGCAGATCTGCTGACTGAACATGGCTCCAGCCGAGTAGATCAACTTGCGTCTTTCGATGGGATCCGTTATCAGGGCTCCCCATGAAGAAAATTCGGCATGTTCCTCTTCGACATTTTTGGCATTTTCAGCTGTAGCCATATCCTCTGACGGGTCGTAGTTCGGGTTGCTCTGATTGATCTTGCGAAAACTTTGCTCGGCCTCTGTACGACGGCCCTTGAGAACGTACCACAGCGGGCTCTCTGGAATGAAGGGAAGAAGGGCGGCCATGATGAGAGGAAGAATGACAAGGCCTCCCATAGGAATACGGTATCCCAGAGAGCTTGCGATGCTCTTGGTGCCCTGGTTGATTGCGGATGCGCATAATTGAGACCAGGATTGGAGAAATTGGAAGCACATGAGTGCTGGTCCTCGGATGCCCAAGGGTGCAACTTCACCGATGTACAGCAATGAAGTGACGGTAAACTGGCCCACTCCAAGGCCAATCAAGATGCGTCCGACCACAAGTAGAGCTTCTGAGCTGATTATGTCTGCGACTTGACAAATGCCGCCGATGAATATGCAGAATGAAGCCAGCCAGAACGTGGACTTTCGGCCGTAGCGATCATTGAGGGGAGCAGCAATCATTGCGCCAAGCAAGTCGCCAATGTAAATAGCGGAAGCTGTGAGAGACTGGAAAGACGAAGACAGAGCGAGCCTGCCGGTGGCATCACGGACGTCTCCGTAATCATCCTTGAACTCCTGCATGGCCAATACACCGTTGTAGTACGTATTGTCATATCCATAGCAGAGGGCTCCGATGGCTGATACAGCACAGTAGAAGATTGCCCATTTATGATGTACCCAGGTGGTTCGTAGTGGCATTTTGAAGTATAAAAACAAGACGTTTGGCCAGGATGACGGGTGTTTCGAAAGCAGTGGCGTACGGCAAGGGAGGAATGATAGAAAAAAGACAAGCTTAGACCACAAGAAATAGGGATGATAAACAGGTCGCCTGTAGAACTCAAACCAAACTTTTGGGAGCGGATCATGGTTTCAATTTAAGGAAATCCCATCCGGGGCATCTGGGGGGTTGCGGGGTGCAGGTCTGGGGAAAGTTGTTATTGTAGACGTTGGAGTAGTACAAGGATGTGGAGAGACTTGTACGATCCGGGGAGGCCGACCGTGCCTCCTGAGATTTACCAAATGCGGACGTCCGACGTTGAAGCCGCCGATCGAGCTTTCATGCGGCAATGCTTGCTAGTCGATACATGAGCCCCAAATTTGACGGGAAGTCGGACTGATGAATAAGGTAAGTTTCAGTCGTCAAGTCATCGGGATGAGGTCTCGGACGACTGAGTCAAGCCTTTCCTTCTGCGAGACTTCAGCACCACGATAGTAAATATGTTGTACATTGAGCTCGACGACTCGATCTATTTGTCAGCCTCGATCTTAGAGTCCATGTGAGATTAAACAATCTAGACCTCTCCTGGTCTCGCACTCAGTGTGCAGAGCTGAAGAGATACCATAACGCGGTCAGTTTCTCGCTGGAACATGCAATTTGACGCGCTGGCTGTGCTCAGACCGGCACTTTGATCTCTGTCCGCGGAGGCAATCGCTATTACTACTCAGGCCTAGCCAGAATTGAAAATGCTCCAGGCTTCTTCTGTCTTATCCCTGTGACCGACAGAAACTTCTCTTTCGGTTGGGAAGGGGCTTATCTCGCTGGCACGTTCGATTCCATGCTCGAGCGGGGTCAGGAATGGAGTGGCCCCTGAGACCCTCATGGCCTCGACCACAGATAGCACGCCTAGTTTTGGAGGCCACTTGATCTTACCCAAAGAAGCAGGTCAATGACGATGTCGGCAACAGCACTTTGGGCGAGAGATCGCCTTGTGTAGGACTAAGTATGTAATATCGATTTTTTACACATGTTCAGTGCCTCCTGTACTTGATAGCCGAGGGATTCCTTCCATGCGAGCACGGAAGCTTTGCTTGGACTAGGAGCCTCATACTACTTCCATAGGGGGGTTCAGGATGTAGAGTGAAGTTTGGAGAAGAGGCTGTATCAGATACTTCATTTCTTGCACCTATGTCTACTGCATTCCGGCATGAGACTTTCGATTGGGGGCTTGCCCCTCCAAAAGAAAATCGATATTTGAGCAGCGAGTAGTATGTAACACTTGGCGAAACAAGTAGTAGATGTTGATGTTTCCATGAAGCCCCTAGTGACATGAAAGTTGCGTTATGGTCGGTGCTTACTAGTACGAACTTCCAGGCAGCCGGTCAAGCCGATCCTTAATAATGCGACCATCCCCATAAGCCGAAGCCTCTCGATACCCAGAGTAAAGTTCATGCGCCCTAAAGTATGAAGCTGTCTACCATCTCCGTCTCCATCTGTCTGCGACTGCTGTATGCTTCTTTAACCCACACATGTCGAAGCCAGACTGCAACGTGAGGAAATGCGAGTGCTGCTTCAATACTTGTAAGAGTGGCTCGTGAAAGTGAGAATTAGAATTTATGGCCAATATAGATCCATTTAGTCTTCAATAATTCAATAGTTAATGAGATAAAGTCACGGGCATTGCCTGTGACAGTCCATCGCAAAAGGGACCCGCTCCGCACATTCTTATAAATCAAGTGCGGACTTCCTACTTGGGCACCAGTTGTGACGTTTATGTCTCCTACGAAATCAGTGCCAAGTAAACTAAACCCGCTATCTTTGCATGAGATTCAAGAGTGAGCATCTAACTTGGTACGTCAGTTGCGGACTTTGAGTAGTTTTAAGTTCAGTTCCAGTTGGCTTCTGTGCAAACTCCGGCTACCCAGTAGGTATAAAGAATGAGCAGGTTCAATGCGGTCATTATGTTATTTGACCGACGTATGGCCTTTTGACATCAAAAACTCCTAGAAATCATCACTAGTCTTCAGCTCACACAACAAAGCCAACATGAAGGTGGCTCTTATAGGCGGGACAGGAGAGACGGGCAGCATCATTGTCAACGCTCTTCTCGAATCGGACATTCCAGCCTTGGTAGCGTTCTTTCTGATCTTCATTGTTCATCCGATCCGGCAGACTAACCATCAATGGTGATAGAAAATTATCGCCATTGTTCGACCTGCCTCTGAGAGGAAGCCTGATGTTGTCGCGCTTGAGAAGAGAGGAGTTGCCGTCGCCGTAGTTGATCTTGAGGGGCCAAGGGCTGAGCTCGTTGATGTTCTGGAGGGCGCCGATGTCCTGATCTCGACCATCCACGTCAGTGCGCTTGGCAGCCAGATTCCTCTTGCCGACGCCGCCAAGGCCGCAGGTGTAAAGCGATTCGTTCCTTGCTTCTTCGCTACCGTTGCGCCAGCCAAAGGTGTCTTGACGTTGCGCCAGCTGGTAAGAAGCTCCTGTCAGGCTGCAGGTCCACAACATTTGCGCTAACTGTGGTCGTTGCACTGGCAAAGAAAGAGGAGGCTCTTCTTCACGCAAAGAAGATTCGGCTTCCGTACACGGTCATTGATGTCGGCTGGTGGTATCAGCTCAGCATTCCGCGCCTCCCGTCTGGACGCATTGATTCGGCTACCCCTTTGCCGGTCAACTTCATTGCTGGCGATGGCAACACTCCTTCTGCACTGACGGATGTGAGAGACGTTGGAAGGTTCACAGCGCGTATCATCGCTGATCCCCGTACCATCAACAAGATGGTCTTCGTCTATGGCGACATTGTCTCACAGAATCAGATTTTCGATATGTTGGATGAGATGAGTGGCGAGACTACTAAACGAGAATATGCAAGTATATCTCAAACGCAGAGCATTAGTTTGGAAGTTGGCTAATATGCCTTCTTTATAGATGCCTGCCGAAGCTATGGAAAACGCTATTGCTGCTGAGTCTTTGACGGCAGACGCCATCGAGAAGAGTGCATTTGATAACAGGATGAAAATATTTTACGAGTATTGGTACTCCATGGGAGTTCGTGGAGACAACACCCTAGAGAACGCCGAGTTTCTCGGGTACGTTGACGGCACTAAGTTGTACCCTGACTTTCAGCCCATCACTTTTGAGGCTTTCCTGAAGGAAGTCCTTGATGGAAAGTCGGTAGCTATCTATCGCACTCTTGAGCAAAATGTAGCCAAAGCCGAAAGGTAAGCTAAGGCTTGAAACTGTAGCTCGATCTAGCCACTAGTATTATTTACTATTTTATCGTTTACTATTTTATCCATAATAGTAGGATAAGTTCTTGGAATTAGTTTTTGGGCGACACGGAAATAATCTTCCCATACTTTCTCGACATGAGTAAAGTAACCGAGGTCCGTAAATTCTGTTGAAGATCTTTAGCACCCTGATGGAATTCTTTTAAAAAACATCTTAAGCTACGCAAAGAGCCAGCGTGATAGTCTTTCTGACGAAGCGAGGACTTGAACCTCCTCAATCTCGAAATGCTATGGTAATGTCAGATAAATCTCTTTAGATGTCAGGTATTGCGAAGCATTGAGAGCGTTAACTAACACTATTATCTGCCCCTTCTCCGGTCTTTTACATGCTGTCCATTCAACACACCCAGCTCACGTAAGTCAAAGGACCACAAGAGCAGCCAATAAAGTGGCGGGGAATATTACGATGAAACCCCAGAGACGAGTTGCTCCGCCTTCAACTTCCAGAAGTTGTCAAAATTTACAGTAGGCCGCTAAAGTTAACCGGATGCAGGAACCGAATCCACGCGGGGCAACGTCCAGGCTCCATGCCGCTCTAATCCCCGTGGTGGGGACACGGAAAGCCCCCTTTACCGCATGTCCATGCCCTCCGTAGGTGAACAACACGATTTTCCTATGGGTTCATTGCTCCCTCTACCTATGTTCCGTAACCGGGATACTTGGTCTCTGTGTTCTGGATTCACTCGGTGCACTGCCGTTCTCCTTTCCAGCTTTAAGCAGTTCGCTACTGTTACGTCCAAGTTGCCCTCCGTACGATGAGTGGAACTGAATGGGAAGCCTCTTTTTAAGCTACTTGAACATCGAGATGTCATTTCCAGAAGATGGATCTTTCATGAAGACTTGGCGGAAGTTAGGTGAATATCATGTCAAACGACGAGAAGACCACAAAGGCTCAAGCCTCTTAGCATCCTGGAACAAGACACCCGGTGAGTTCAGGGTTTCGAAGGACCACGACAGACTACGGAAAACGCCGACTCTGCGAGAGGCCCCCTGAATCTTCATGTAAACCAAATACGCGACCTACCAGATGGAGTCGCTAGGATTCAATTTTCAGCATACGCCTGTCATACTTTGCCCCTGGCAAAAGAACCGCCTAATCGTTAGATGGTCCTGTCAGCACGTTGACCAATGGCAGCTTTCCTTAGGAAGCTTCGACGGCGGAAAACGAGCCTAGCCGAAGCGCTTAGCTTGGATTAAGACTTTGAAGATATTAACTTGGCAAACCTTAACTGAGGCTCAATTATTCACATCCCGTCCCGGTAAGCCCGAATAGAACTCCGGATTATGATGCTAGAACGTCGTACCCTCGCTTACGCAAGGTTCGAAGTGATCCCTTGCCGTGGAATGTCGACGAGTAGTACAAAGATGGCAGGCTTCCGTCAACCTGCGAGTTGACGTAGCAGACTTGGTCAACTACCGTGAAAGTACCGGATGAATGCACTAGCCATGTTCCCAACACCGCATTCCCTTTCGTTCCTTCTCGTTTAGGAGCGTCTACTTTAGCCGCCGGCTCCCCGGGTGCAATCGGCAGCTACACCGGTTGCGCCATCACAGTAAGTCAAACTCCTCAAGAGACCTTAATCCAGGAGAGTATATAGTTACTGACCGAAGTGAAAGTGTGAAACTCTCGTGACCAAATTCCCTAACCAGGTCTACCTCGGCGCAACCAACGGCACGGACTATGTGGCGTCTCGGGAAGGCTTCTGGTCAACCATCCAAGGCGACGTATCTCCCTCCTGCTTCTTTCAGCCTGTCAGTACCACCGAGGTCTCAGTCGCCCCTAAAAATATCCCAAACACAGGCTGTCAGTTCGCAGTCAAAGCGGAGGCCACTATACTTATACAGCTTCGACGATTGAGGGAGGTCTCGTGATTGACCTGGTCCGGCTCAACGGGATCACACTGAGCGAAGACAAGGGCTCGGCGATTGTGGAGCCTGGAAACACTTGGGCTTACACATGAGAATCTCCAGAAGTCTGGCGTGACCATCCCTGGCGGTCGGATGTTTGGAGTGGGTGTCGGTGGGCTCACTCTTGGTGGAAAGTCAACCTCCGCATCCGAGTCTTTGGCCCGATGTCTCTGAGTAAGTACATTGCTTATGCAGACTTAGGCGGAGTCTCTTGGCTCAGTAACCGCTACGGATGGACTTGCGACAACTACCTGATCGAGTTTGAGGTTGTCATGGCCAGCGGCGAGATTGTGAATGCATCAACAACACCAAACCCCGACCTCTATTGGGCCCTTCGGGGAGGTGGCAGTAACTTCGGTGTTGTCACCAAGTTGAAGTTCAACACATTCCGGCAGGACAAGATGTGGTACGCGAAGCTCCATTACGACGCCCCTGAGAACATCACGGCCAACGCGGCTTTCGCTGACTGGGGTACGATTCAGTCCCCCGAATATCTTAGCAACGCGGCAGTTTTGTCCTGGAACGTACAAGCGAGTGGAGCCCCCGTTGGCGTCGCGATTTCAGTCCATCAGAAGACATTTGACAGTAACTGTTGGTATCCCTATGACAGGGTAGTTGGTTCGAACCGTAGGTTAACAAAGAGATTAATTAAATTATATGAATTTCTATATAAGTATAAAAAAGAGGTTCTAACTATAAGTTAGGCTAGCTATAATAATTATAAATAAGGCCCCTAATTAGCCCCTACGTAGTTAGTTATATACCGTAATTAAATTAAACTTCTAATTTAATACTAACTTTCTCTTTTTTTTATTAATTTACTTATTATAATTAAAGATATAATTCGACCTCGGGCCCGTTTACTAAGTCGTTTTTTTTTCCCCCTTTTTTTTACTCTTTTTATATAACTTATCCCTTTATTTATATATTAACTTTTTTATTACTTATAAATTATTCTAACTTCTTATTAAATACTATTTTTATAAAAGCGTTAATAAGGTTATTATTATTATTAATTTAATAAATCTTAAGGATCTCGTACTTTTTATATAATTATTTAAGGGCTATAATATTAATTATAAGCCTCTTTTCTTTCGTTATTCCTAATTTAATAAAGTATTTATATAATAAATAAGAATTAGTATAAATAACTATTAAAATTAGTAAAAAGTTAAGTTAATTAATAATCTTCCTTAACGTTATTAAAATTATATAAGCGAGGTTAATACTATTAACTATACTATAAACTTTTAATACTAATATACTTCTTATTACCTACTTACTTTTAATTAATAAGTAATAAACTATATTATTATATATAATAAATTCGCTCTTACTTATACTCTCGTTAATAAAAATAATAATATACCCTAATTATAAAATAAGGTCGTTATTATTTATAAATAACCTATTAATAAAGATATAAAGCTTATTAATAGCGAGGTTAATTAAGTAATAAACGAGGCCTCGATTAAGATTCGTTTATTATTATTTAAGTTATTTATTAAGTACTTTAATATCTTATTTATTTAGCTTTATAACTTATACTATTCTAACGTAATTAAAAATTACTTCGGGTTAATAAATACTTATAATATATACCCCTTATATAAGCTTAGCTTTATATCGCTTTTTAATATTAATTATATTTAGGTTAATAAAAATAATTTTCTTACTCTACCCCTTTTATTAAAAAACGACGATTTTCTTTTTAATTATAAAAATCTTATTATTAAATATTAATAAGTTATTTATTATAAGGACCTTTTTTAGCTTCGTTACGAAGCCTGCTTTTTAAAGCTCTTTATCCTCTTTTTTTATAAAGTTAATATTAAATAGGCTTAATATATTATTAGTTTATATTCTAATAATTTTAAATTATTTACCTTCGTACTTAGAGATTAATAAGTACGGGTCGTATATAAATATAACTATTAATAATTAATTAATATAAAAATCGTAATATATAGCCTACTAATAAGTACCCAATTCTACGAGCCTATATAATAGTTTAAGTACTTTAATAATCGTACTTTCTAAGTACTTATTAATTATTTCCTTTAATAAATAGGCTAGGATTTTCTTTATAAGCCCTATAGCTAATTAAATATAAGCCTAAGTAATATTACGGCTCTAAATCTCGTATCCCTTCTTCCGTAGTAATACTATTAATATTATTATTAATCGTTAGTTATAGCGCTATATTATAAGTAATTAAGTAAGTAGCGTCGCTTTTTTAATATCGCTATACTTCTAAGTTATATACTTAGATTTCTTATATAGTTAAAATATTCTTTTTTTTTTTAATTTTATATACTATTCGTAATTTAAATATATAGAGACTTTTATATTTCTTAGGGTCGTAGAGGATAAATTAATAAACCCCTCGATTATATAAAGTATTTATTTCGATAAGATCTAATCCTTTATATAGCTTTTTAATAGTTATAATAATACCTTTTTTACGTAGTTTAACTACTAGCTCGAAATCGGCTTTCTCTTTTACTATATAAAAAGTATTAAATACCTCGTTATTAATAATAAATTATTATATTAGGGCTTACTATCGTAATCTTTTATAACGTCTCGCTAATAATATTTATACCCTTTTAACAATTTCTTTTTTCTTATTATTTATTAATATTACTATAATAATTTTATTAAAGATAATTTCTTATACCTTTACTACGGGTTATCTTATTTCCCTTAGCTCTTTTTCTTTTTATAAATTAAAAATTACCTTAATAAAATCCGTATAATATAATTTAATTATAATAATTAGTTAATACTTTAAATGACTAGTTATAATCCCTCGTAATTACGTAAGAGCGCTTATTAATAAAAATTAATTTATATAGCCTAGCCCACTACTAAGTAATTTCGTACTATATTTATATATTTAAATTTAGAGGTATATTTAAATTAACCCCTATATCGGGCCTATTATACGTAGTAATTACTTCGTTAACTTACTTTTTTATACTTATTTTATATAATACCCGTATTACTTTTTTAACTACTTAGGCTCGTTAGCTTATATTTAGTAATAATAGCAAGGCTAAAGTCGTTCTTAAGTATACTCTAAATATTAATAACGTTAGTATAAACTTATTAGGCCCTATAGTATTATTATAATACTTAAGTACCGTTTAGAAGTATTCGTTATTAATAAAATCGGGATTTTCTTTTTTAATAATCCTAAACGCCCTTTTTAATTACTAATATACCCTTTTTACTTTTTTAATACTATAGTACGCTTCTACGGGCATAACTTTTAGCTATATACTATAAGCTATTATATTTTCTCTAAATTTTATTAATTTAAAACTCGTACTAATATTAGTTTTAATACTATCTAGCGGTCCTTAATATATATTAATCTAGCTTTTTTATAAAACTACCTATACTATTTTTATTTATAAATCCTAGAAAAATTACCCTACTTAAAACGATATAACCTCGTTAATTATATATAGGACTAGTTAACTATTTAAATAAAAGATATCGATAACCATTTCTTAATTAAAATTAAGCTTATTACGCAATTTAAATTTAAATTTACGTAGGCTTTACGCATTTATTTAGTATTAATAATACACTTTTATTAACTATTCTAATACCCCTATTTCGATATTATTATTATTTAATTATTTTAAAAAGCTATATAGCCTCGTAACTAACGAGTACTTAAATCTTTAGTATAATTATCTAAGCTTATTTTTTATTAAATAATTAATTAACTTCGTATTATTAATAAGCTTTATAAACGTATACCCCTATCGTCGTTCGACTATTTTAAAATACTTATTACTAAAGATTTTATTCTTTATATTATTAAATATAATACCTAGTCGATCTATATTTTTTAAATATAAGAGAAATAGGGTATTAATAAATAAAATATAAAAAGTTATCGTTCTAAAATACGTCTCTATTTTTACTATACTTAGGGTAATAATCTCTTTACTTAGGCTAAAGCTAATTTTTATAATACTTATTATTAATATATTAAGTATTACTAGCGCGATTTTTTATAGTACTTAGAATTACCCTTTTTTTTTTATTAATTATTATAATACCCTAGTATTTAAGATAATCCTATAGAAATTATCTAGGCCGTACCTTTTACTTATATAGAATACTTATATAAGCTTAGTATTTAAGTAATCTAAGTAATATAAAAAGGACCTTTCTAATTACTTTTAAAATTACTTAGTACTATCTTTCTTTTTTAATATTAATATAAATAGTATTTTCTCTTTAAGTATTAAGAAAATAGAATTCTATACTATTAAATTCGTCCTTTTATTTACCTCTATATCTATTATTTAAAGGACCTTCCCTTATTATTTATAAATAAAAACCTATTTATTAAAAGCTTTTATTATTTTTTATTTATTTAGTTTTATATATCTTTTAGAAGCTAATAATATAAAAAATAAGTAGTTAATATCGTTAATTTTATTATAATCTAATTCGTTAATATAGGGAGTAAAATCTTTTTTATTTTCCGAATTTCTTAAGGAGAGTAAATATTTTAAGCTACTACTTTAACTACTATTATTAAGTTCTATACCCCTAAATTTACTTTTATATAATAGTTTTTTTTCTAACTTTATAAGTACAAAAAATCGACCTTAACGGGATTACGCTTTTAAAAAAAATTATATAATATAATACACTTTTTAATTATATAATACGTATAATATATTCTAAGCACGCGCTTAATATAATATAATAATTTTAATATAAAAACCGCTATTTAATTTAGAATAAGTAAGCTACCTTACGGTAGCGCTAGCTAGAAAAGTTAATAATAAAAGTCGGCTATAATAATTAGCCATAATAATTAGCTACAATAGTTAGCTATAATAGTTAGAAGCGGCCCTTAACTACAGAAGTTTTAAACTTTAATAGTAATATAGAGGTTTTTAAAAAAAGGGCTAAATAAGTTAATATTTACTACTTATACTAAAGCTCGTAAAGATTCTTTTTATCCTTATTATTTTTAATATTACCTAAAGCTACTCTCTATTTAAACTAAATAAATTTACTAAATAAATTTACTAAATAAATCTATTAAATAAACCTATTAATATATAAACTACTACCTAAATAGCTAGTTAAATAACTAGTTAAGAGGTTAGCTAGTTAAAATACTACTTTAATAAGAACCTCCTAGTATATAGTTAATAATTAATAGGCTAAAAATACTTATTAATAAGTTTACCCCTCTTAAGCTAAGTACCCTCAGCTAGCTTAACGCTATAGCTATCGTAACTAACGTAAGCACGCCTAAAAAGTAGTAAAGTACTTTTTAATAATACAAAATTTAGCTAAATAATATTATAAGTACTATAAATAGCCGGGCTAATATAAATACTAAGATCCGGTATATTAATGCCGGCCTAGCTATAATAGTTATAATAAACGAGCTAGAGGTATATAAAGTTAGGGTAATAAGCTAACGCCTTAAATAGCTCTTACGGGACCCCCTAGGTAATAATAATACTTATATAAAAAAATAGATTATACTAAACCTAGCTACCTACGTAGGCTAGTACTAAGAAGTCCTATACGTATTAAAATAAATAAAACTCGCTTTATAAGCGAGCGGTAAAAAGTTAAGAGTTAATAAAAAGGAGATAATAGTTAAGTTAGTTAACTATTATTTTAATTAGTAATTAAGTATAGAGCGCATTATACCTAGTTTTCCCCAATACGTAATATATAATACGGCCCCGGTAGATTACTCTATCAAAGGGAGATTTACTTTTATATATAATAAGGAATTAGCTAAATTAATAAAAACTAGTTTTACTATTTACTACTCTTAATATTTTATATTATTTATATAATTTAGTACGCTCTTTTTTAAAGTAATTACTTAACTAATATCTATCTTTTTTATAAATAAAGTATTATTTCTTTTATTACCCTATTTATAAGTTAAATCTTTACTTATTTAATAAATCTAGGCCTTTTTACTAATAATTACCGTACTTAGTTTCTTTTCTTTTTTTATTATACGTCCGATCGACCTAATATTACTAATAAAGGCTATTATATACTTAGAAGTAAGTTTAGTACGGTATTCTTACCTTAATATTAAAACTAGATCTTAGCCTTAAGTAGAGCGTCTCGTAATTTTTAGGTACCTAATATAAGGTTATTTTTACTTCTAATATATACTAAATTATAATATAAAAATATTTAACTTTCCGCTCGTTAGTCCCCTTATTTAACTAGGTTTTTGCTAGCTTATTAATTTAATTAATAAGCTTTTTAAAAATTTCTATTTATAATTTACCCTTTATTATCCTAGCTATAGATATAAAAAAAATTACTCATAGCTTAGATAAGAGCTCTAAATTCTTATTATAAGTCTCGAAGTAGCTTTGGATTATATTAATAATATTAAGAAAATCGTTCTAATTAAAATTACGTACTACTTCGTAATAATAATTAGAAGCTTTATTTACGAGTATAATATTAATTACTAAATAATATTAATATTCCCTAATCCTAACTTTTTTATAATAATTATAAAATATCGTTAGGGTTTTTTATAAAACCTTATACTTCCCCCTAAAATATAATTTCTTTTTTAAAAAGATCTTTTTAAAATTTATAAATTACCTCGTATTTATTACTATATTTTTAGTATTTATATACGATCTTTACGTTATTGCGTATTATTAATAACTTTGGGTCGTTTATTTCCTTTTTTATTAACTAATTAGTATTAAATTTCGTATTAGTAATAGTAACGAGTTATAAATTAAAATAAATAAAATTATTAATTATTATATATTTAGTATTATATTTTATTTCTATATATTTTTTTATAATAATAAATTACCGTTAGTAATTATAAAAAGGAAATCTAGGTCGTTTACCTTTTTTCTAAATTTATTAAAATAATTATACGCTCTATTAACTTATACTTAGTTCTATAATATAAATTCTTTTTTTATAATCGTCGTTACTAAGATTTTATATAGTTCTCGTAATTATAACTATATTGATAATACCCCTTACTTATAAAAGAATTTATTAACTACTTTTATAATTCCTAGGCTTATATTTATAAACTATTTATCTAGTTAGTAGCTAAGGTCGTTTACGATTTTATAAAATAGGGGTTACTTTTATAGCCCTTTTTTTTTATAAACCTTAGTTAAATAGATTAATATTACGTTAATTTACTTATTATTAAACTAATTTACGATCCTATATATTTACGTCCCCTAATAATCTAAGTTAATATTTACTTACTTATAAAGGATTAGGATTCTATTTAAAATTGGGTTTTTTCTTCTTCTTCTTTACCCTAACTTACTAAAGGTTATACTTTAACTTATACTTATATTAATAATTACTAACGTATTTAATCTTAATAAAAATATATCTAATCCGCGTACTAATTATAATAAATCCGTACTTTTACTACTTAACGAATTTATTAAAGTCTAGGTAATTCCTACTTTTTTTTACTATCTTATTATTACTCTTATTTTTACTATTTTTAATAATTACTATTACCCTTTTAAATTATTAGCTATTGTACTTACTAAGATCCTCTTTTTTACTTAGTATAAAAAAATAAGTTTTAGTAATTCCTTTTTTAATAATAATAATAAACGTTTATATTATTATAAAAAAACGTAATAATTAGTCTTAGGATTTTTACTAATTACTAATTTCTACTATTTTATATATTTCTAACTTCCTAAGCCTCGTACTCTTTATAATCTCTAAATTACTTCCTTTTTTAACCTACCTTTTTTAGAGTAATATTCTAAAAAAATAGTTAAAAATAGATACTAAGTAGCTCGTAAAAGAGCTAAATAGGCTATTAAGAACTAAATAAGTAGTTAAGTATAATTAGCAAAGTTAAGCCCTCCTTTTTATAAAATTATAAGTCTAAAAAACTTATTAAAAATACTACTCGCTACTCGTATTAAGTAGGGCTAATTACTTTAAAAATCTTTTTTTTAACTACTTCTTAGTACCCTATTTTATATTTTTTAAGTAGTCTTTTTTATAACTTAATTATTATTAAGTAATTATTATTTACTAATAATTCTTTTTATTACTTAGTTAATTTTTTAAAATTTAGTAATTTTGTATTAAGAACTAATATAAAAAAAAAGCTCCTTAGTAGCTTTCTAAAAAATTCTTTTTTTTCTCCCTTAAATCCTCGTTTTTTTAGCCTTTTTTTAAGCTAATAATAATTATAATAAGAAGTTATAGGACTATTTTAAAATAATTACTTTTTTCTTAAGTTAATTTCTAAGATTTATAATACTTTTAGCTCGATATTATTAAAATTTCTAAATCCTTTTTTTCCTTATTAAACCGTCCCCTATACTATATTTTTAAGTAATACTTAGAAAGTAGTTAAAAGAGCTATAAAGAGGTTATTTAGATCGTAAGTTTAAAATTATATTTATAAAACCCTCGTAATAATAAACTTTTTTATATACTATAAATCTCTTAGTTTTATAATTTCTTATAAAGTTATATTTATTACTAAATAAAAATATTTACGTTTAAAAATCTTTTTTTTTAATTACGTAATACTTTTTTATATTATATTATTAAGCTCGTTTAATATAATAATTAGTTAAGTAAGTAATTATTACGTAAGAATTTTTTTTATTAATTTAACTAATTAATTTCTAATTACGGGCCGGCTATAAGAAAGTTATTTAATAAAAAAGCTATTTAAAGTAATAATAAAAAACTAGTTACTTAAATAGTTTTATTAATTAACGTAGTTTAATATAATAAACGTCGACCTTTTATAAATAATAAAAGGCTACGATTATTTAATTCCGTATAGTATTTAAAAATTACCCCCTTTTTTATTTATTTTTATAAAGTTAATTAATACGAATCTCTTATTTTATATAGTATTAAGAGGTCGTCTTTTTTATATAGCGAGATACCTTATTAATTTATAATAATAAAATTTAATTATTAATTAGTATTAGTATTTTTATAATAAGGTAGTTAGTTCGAACTATAAGTTAATAAAGAGATTAATTAAACTATATAAATTTTTATATAAGTATAAAAAAGAGGTTCTAACCGTAGGTTAGGCTAGCTATGATAATCGTAAATAGGGCCCCTAATTAGCCCCTGCGTAGTTAGCCGTATACCGTAGTCGAATTGGACTTCTAATCCGACAGTAACACCCATCCTCCCGTCGTTAACAAATTCTACGACTCTAAGCCATCAGCTATTGAAGCAATAAACGTCTTCTATATAGATATTGCCGAGAACCTTCTCTTCCCCGCCAGCATCTTGCGAAGTTCTTTGTGGACCGCGTCCTTATTCTGGACGCCAACTTGCTGCAAGTGGCGTTCGAGATCTGGAACAAGGAAGCCAGCGCACCGGCTTTCATCTCCATCCAGCAGATCCAGATCCAGGCCATCAACAAATCCTAGCTCGAGTTGATGCGACGAAACGGCGGGAATCCTCGCCGACTCGGGGAACAGTCGCAGCCTCTTGGCTTTGTGAACCTACGGGCAAGGTGGGAGAACGCAAAAGACGACGATGCCATCTACAGAGCTCAGCAGCGCACAGAAGAGAGAATCACCAGGTGGCAGATGAGATAGGCCTTGCTTCGGGCTACAAGTATACGAACTACGCCAGCCAATTCCAGGACCCGTTTGCTGGTTATGGGCAGGCCAACAAGGAACGGTTGAGGTCAATTGCTGAGAAGCATGATCCAAGCGGCGTTTTCCAAGAACTCTCCCCTGGCGGCTTCAAGGTTACGAAAGGTGCCCCTCAGATCCTTTGAGTGGATTAGTAATAGGGTTGAAAGTCAAATTTGTCTATAATTCAAGTTGCGTGCTAGTTTTACTTTTTCTAATGATTTACAACTTGGACTTTGTGTCCTCCTCACGGCCCTTCAGGTTCGGGTGGGGAACTCTGACGGGCCGGGTAACGGCGTAGAAAGCAAGGCCTTCTGACTTGGTAGAGAACTAGACAGAGAGAATACATCATGAGCTTGGAAGTTATAAACATAGGGAATATAAGCTTACCTTGACCTTGGATCCGACGTGGAAGAAAGCAAAATCTCCAGGTACTAGATGGTGGGTGATCCCAGTAGCCTCATCCTGTTAAAACCACGCTAGTCAGCTCCCTATCTCATGTGCCCCATAGCTTTACACGGTTACGAAGTGACTTACCAAAATGTCAATTTGACCGTTGAGGACGTACTTAGTCTCCTCAAAGTTGTAGTGCGCGGGACGAGCGGGTCCTGCGACAATCTTGTAGAAACCCGAGGTGAAGTGAGCAGGTGAGTCCTTTGTGTTTGTTCGGATTCTAGCAAGTTCTCAGCATTTGTTTACCACTTCATACATAAAAGTTTTCTTACGAGTGGAAATCGGCAACAGTCGCGTTCTCGCCCTCCGGGAGGGGGATATACTCGTGGCCGGCGCCCTTGATAACAGTGAGGGGGACTAGGTTTCCAGACACTGATAAGACACTGGTCAGTTACATGCATTCTCGGGCACTCAAAGATCAGCAACCCAACTCACTTTTGGTGTTTCTTTAGGTTGCAAGTTGAATCAAGGAATTGTTTCGTTCACAATTCGATTAAAGCTCATTGATATAAGACATCTGTATCTAAGATCGGGTGCGCTGCCGACAGGGTCTCGGGGCTTTCTCGGAGTGCGGGGAACCGCTGTGATGCGATCGGAATCCGACCCGGAGGGCCTGCATTCAGGGCCGGTTAGATACCCGCCGCCGTAAATCGGTGCGCGGGGTTCCGGGAAAGTCCCGAAAGTCGATCAGTGATGTGATTGTGGCTTGCCTATTTGAAGACGCAATGGTGAGGAGATATGCTGTCATGGAGGGTATTGGATGCAGTACTGTAGTAGCTATTCTACATACATCAACCTAAGGACGTAACTTGGCGTCATCGTTGAGTGCGAAACTGTCTTGGCGAAAACTTTCATGTCACAATTCTTGTCTGCTTTCCACCTCGGCTCTGCGTCTAACTATGTCTTCTAGGTCGCTCTTGGGTTTTATATAGGGCTTGATGACCTCCCGGGCCTGGACCTTCTGCTCAAAGTCGTACGCGATGCTAATCAGTGTTTCCTCACTGAACGGAGCCCCCGCAAAACCAATGCCAAAGGGTAAGTTCGGTGCCACGGCATTGAGCGTTCCAGTCTTATCTTTGATAATTTCAGTATCGCCCGGATGTCTTCCAAACGGTACCGATATCACCGGTGTACCGGATATGGCAGCATTCATCACAGCAAACGCCGTCGGCAGTACTATCGCGTCCAGAGAATGGTTCTTGAGAGCTCCTGTGTATCCTTGAGGACCAGTCAGGTACAGAAGCCGGAGGTGCACATCCCAAAATTCCGGATCTGTGTTACGCAGACCTTCTGCTAGGTTGTTGTCCCATGAGAGTGTGTTCTTCTCAGGCCATTGCTCGCGAGAGCCATGCTGGGTCCAGTCCCGGAGCTCACGAAGCGTGGTGATGTTGTACGGGTTGGTCGCCAATTGCCCAAAGTACTTTTCTATGGCAACGGCGAAATCTGCGTGAAGGCTCTTGGTGAGGAGCGCGGAGATTTCGGTCATGTTGTATCCTGGCAAAACAATGTCGTCTATGATTTCCGCACCTGAAGACCGGAGAATGTCGACGGCCGAGTCGAATACCGTCACCGAGTAGTTGGAGAGAGGGGCTTCTTGAGGGTCGTGTAGCACATGTCGTGGAATTCCCAATCTCTTGCCCAGCAGCCCCCCCTTAACGCATGCCGCGGCGTAGTCTGGTGTCTTCGGGAAAGGAAATGTAGACGTGTAGTTATCGCTGGGATCCACCCCGACGATAGCTCCCAGGAGATGAGCAGCATCTTTCACGGTCCGAGCGATAGGTCCAACAACATCTTGGTGCTCCGAGATGGGCACAACGAGGTACCGTGAGGTGAGGCCAAGAGTGGGCTTGATGCCCACAACGTTGTTGACGTCACTGGGCAACAAAATCGAGCCGGCTGTCTCAGTCCCCAGGGACGCCCACGCGAGACCGACCGAAGACGCGACGCCGCTGCCCCCCGACGAACCCGATGGGTCTTGAAAGGGGTAATATGCGCCCAGGGTCTGACCGCCATACGTTGACCACCCATTGCTCGAATTGGAGCTCCGGCATTCGGCCCACTGCGACAGGTGTGCTTTGCCGAGCAATATCGCCCCCGCTTTCCGGAGCTTGGCGGCGACGGTGCTATCTTCGGAGACTTTAGCGCCGAGGAGGGCATAAGAGCCGGCCGTGTTGTTCATCTTGTCTGCCGTGGCAATATTGTCTTTGATCAGGACGGGGACGCCGTGTAAGGGGCCGAGAAGCGGTCCGCCCTGTCGGCGGACGAGGTCCAGAGTTTCGGCGATGGAGACGGCATCCGGATTGATCTCGGTGACGGCGTTGAGGGTTGGCGTGGTCTCTTTAATGCGCTCGATGTAAGCATTAACGAGGTCGACGCTGGTGAAAATTCCACTGCTCAGACCGCGATTGAGGTCGTCGAGTGTAGCATCGAGGAGCGACGGAAACGCGCTGGCTGGTTTCTGTCCACATGTTGTCCATCCCGAGGACTGCCAAATGAGACAGACGGTCGCCTTGAGGAGTGAGAACGACAGCATGATTGAAGCCTCAAGTTTTAGCCCGGTCTGGTTCCACAACGTGATATCAATGGCAAACAGTTGTCGTGGTCTATTCAGTATTATTCGATGTGCGCGGGGTTTCCTCAAGTAGCCGAGTCAATTGACTCAATGTTTGAAGCATTCATTATTGAGGCCAATCGACTGTTTGGAATATGGGAAGATGGCGCGAGTTTGCGATTCTTAGTCAGTCGTCTTACATGCATCGAACGTACGTCACAGCATAAGCAATCGCTAGGAGGGGAATCAAAAGATCTTTCGTTTCTGAGATTTGGAGGAAGCAAGAAATGCTGACAACCTCCATAGAGCCTTGCGGGCTGAGAAGTCGCAATAATCAACCCCAAGGAATAAGAATGTAGGAATTAAACCTGGTGTCGCGAATTCCGGCAGTCACCACCCCACATCGGGAGCGGGAACACAACGAGGAGGTCCACGCGATCGGTCCTCGCCGCTGTTCGCAGCCGTGGAGGAAGGTGACATTGTGGATTCGTGCTAGAAAAAGTTCCTTGAACGCGGTAATTCAGGCCATTTACCGCTTTACGTACGGGGCGCCGTTTGCTCTCATATGAATGATTCGAACCACCTACCAAGATCAGAAGAGCGCTATGCTTGTTGGGGCAGGTCGCATGAACGATCCTCAAGCGTGGCCGGGGGATTTAAGCTTATGATTGGTCACGATGATAGCTAATTTTGTGGGCATGGAGACATGGGGTAGATTTCCAGAGTGAGAACTGGTTTGTGAGTAGCCAGTTGCTTGAATGAGATGTTATGGCCGAGACAAAGCCAGCCGTTGTGGACATCATGGAAACGACTATGAAAGCAGGCCAAATCCCCCATCTTCTTAAGCATACTTGGCGACGGGCCGTTCCTCTTGCATCCTTCGCATCCTTCCGCTTCCCATCGTCTCGATCACCATGAAGTACTCTCTCATCGCGTCTCTGATTCTCCAGAGCACTGTTGTGCTCGGAGAGTTGCTTCCTGTGTACCTGCAGGGGCCCTCGCCCGAGAGCTTCAGGTAACACCTCATCATCAACTCATCCGGCCTAGACACTAACAGCGTATAGGGACATTGTTCGCAATGACACTCTTGACTTTGGCTGCAGAGCTGTTGCCAAGCCCAGCGAGGATGGAAGCCACTACAAGCTCCACGCCTGGCTCACCGAGGAGCAGATTGACTATCTCTCCAAGGAGTACGAGCTTGTGCCTGAAGTCTCTATCCACAGAAGAGACTTGAGCAAGAGAGCCAACGCGCCCATCGGGACCGGTGACCGCTTCAGTGCGGGAACCATCTCCCCCGTCGGTCTCGGAACCCAGGCTTCGGGCACCACCATCTCCAGCATCATGAATGTTGCTGAGATCAAGTCGGCCTGCGACGCCCTTGTCAAGAACTATGGCATCGGATCTCTCACTCTGCCGTACAAGACTTTCAACGGCGCCACCGAATACGCCTACTACGTCGGCGCTGGAACCGATAAGTCAAAGTACCACCTGTACTTCAGTGCTGCCGTTCACGCCCGTGAGCGCGGTGGACCCGACAACATCATTTACTGGATCTCCGATCTCCTTGCCGCCAACAAGTCCGGCAGTGGCCTGACCTACGGCAAGAAGTCCTACACCAACGCCCAGGTCAAGAGCGTCCTTGCCGCAGGCATCGTCTTCTTCCCCCTTGTGAACGCCGACGGTGTCGCCTACGACCAGTCTTCCGGCTCACTCTGGCGCAAGAACCGCAACACCAAGTCCGGCTCCAGCGGCAGCTCAATTGGTGTCGATATCAACCGCAACTTTGACTTCCTCTGGAACTTCAAGAAGTACTTCGACTCATCCGAGGCGCCCGCCTCCACCTCGCCTAGCTCCGAGGTCTTCTACGGCACCGCCGCCGAGTCCGAGCCCGAGACCAAGAACCTCGTCTCTGTCTACGACTCCTTCCCCAAGATCCGCTGGTTCATGGACATCCACTCCGCCGTCGGCGACCTCCTCTACAGCTGGGGTGACGACGACGACCAGACCACCACCTCCACCATGAACTTCCTCAACTCTGCCTACGACGGCAAGCGCGGCCCCGTCGGCGACTCCGCTTACAAGGAGTACATCCCCTCCACCGATCTCAGCAACATCAGAACCGTCGGAACGGCCATGGTCAACGCCATGAAGGCTGTCGGTGGCCGTGCGTACACCTCCATCCAGGCCGTCGGCTTGTACCCCACGTCTGGCGCCAGTGACGACTACTCCTTCTCCCGCTTCTGGGCTAAGCCTGGTGTCAACAAGGTCTACGGTTATACCCTGGAGTTTGGTCCCTCTGGTAACTTCTACCCGACCTCAGCCGAGTTCAACACCAACATTCTAGACACGAATGCTGGTTTCATGGACTATGCGCTGGCTGCCATTAGCGTTGGTCTGGAGTAAATAATGTGCTGGTTACCATGGAATTTCTTCGTGTACATATTTTCAACATCACATGTTGAGCACAGGAGATGCACGCACATACTGCATGAAAGGTGTTATTTATGATTATGATGCAAGTTCACGACTTACTAGTCATGACTAAACGCATGCAGCTTGCGTGCAACAAATTCTGGGTGATAATTATGTGATTGACAAAGTAGTTCAGCATTGTTTGTGCAGCAGATTCGTGAACCATCAAGATCGATATGGTTCCCACTTCTCTATAGTATGGGACCAGTCGTCGGCGAGAGCGACTAGACGTCTATGGTCTGCGGGCGGTCACCAGACCTATCTTGTCTACTCCCCACCTTACATGCAAGCTTTATGCCAAGGGGTTGAGAAGGTTGACCTCCTCCCACAGACCAACTCCGGTCATCTCAGGCCCGCCATTGATAGATCCTTTAGCGGGTCCTGTCCACCGTTCGTAAATAGGAACGTCCAGAACAGTCACTTCTCGGGTTACTGTAGCATTGAGAATGCCTTCCTTTCCAAGGTCCATCACAATGTTGAACGCAGAGGGGAACTTTCCGTCACCTACAGGTGGATACGGTCCGTCGACTGGGCGCACCTTGACAGCTCCCTCCTTGCAAGATGCTGTGATAATCTTCCCGTCTTTCGACGCATATGAACTAACAGTGTTGACCATTTCGTCATCGATGAAGTCAAACCAGACGATGGAATAGTTGCCAAGACGAGCATGACCCCAGTACCAATCGGTGAAGGTCCCCACGAATGGCTTGTCGCCCCAATTCTATGTTCATCAATTGTCAGTATTTGGAAGCAAGACTTTGATGCAGTGAACAATTGTATCAAATCAATAATTATTAAGTGAAATGCCTTCGCTTACCTTATCATGGTATCCGTATCCAATGTACTTGACATCTTCGCCACCCACTGTGATATCAACAACCGCGTCCGAATCAGGAACGGCGTTGGCCCAGCCAAAATTCTTCGCAATCTGGAGGTCTGCTTGAGGTTTCTTGGGGCCGCATGGGTAGTGAGGAGGCGCCTTGGAATCAAAGGTCACAATGCCATTGATGAGAGGAGTATTCATGGAGACCACATAAGTCTTCATGTCTGGAGTGCTACTCCACGTCATCCCGGCGTCGTTCCAGCTGCCAGATGAACCCCCTTCCTGCGCGGTGACAATGACAGCGCCGCTGGGTGCCTCTGTCGAATAAGAGAATTTTGTGCCATTTGCAAAGGTGCCTGTAATATCCGTGTTCGCAACAGTTGTTGGACTACCGCCCAGCAAGCCGGTATCAAAAGCAAGATTGAAGAGGATGATGATTGATGAGTTGTCAGTCGGCGAAACGACGTCGAAATACCACCAATCCCACACAGTCCTATTGAAATTCGACATTCTGGCACCGTCGAAACCAAAGTCGTTGGAAATGAAGGATGGAACGACACTGCCATTGAACGCCTCCGGAGGAACATACTGAACATGATTTGCCTGAGAGGGCTGCACATGAGCTGTTCTCGGGGGGGTGGTTGAATGCGCGAGGACAGGCAGAGTGGAACTGAAGGCGACGAAGTTCATCCAATCCATCCTTCCGATATGCTTTCGTCCAAACATGTTGGCCAAAGAGAGATGTCGAAGACTCAAGTTACGGGCACGGTAGTATGAGTAGAGGGGGTAAAATGAATCTGGAGCTTCTGAGTCTTACACGGGCTTCTTGGGTTCTTCTACTTCCATGTTCTTATACAACGAACCCCGCCCAATATTTGGATATGCGACTTGGAGTTATTGCACTCCATAGTCTACGGAGAGGACTACAACAACGACAAGGCTTTGCCGAGACCTGAGCCAGGTTTTTTCTGCCCTCATTCTACGGTATCCCAAGACAGTTGGCTCTCCATGAGTAGCCTCGTCTCTGTCGGAAGTCATCGCTCGTAATCATAACCAACTGCGATTGGCTCGGGTTGTTTAGGCTCTACTGCAACTATCAACAGATATTCAGCCACGATTGATGACGTTTACACAAGCCTGGTCAGCGCGAGAAGTTTAGATTTCTGCTCACTAAATGTTGAAAAATATGTGACCGCGCATTGTCGCCGCCATGTTTAGCGGAAGCGTATTCGTATAAAACCCGAGCGACCGGGTTCACATTCGTATTCGTTTACGATTGACATCCTCTTATTAACGTTCTTGGCAGTCATAGGAATCCATTGGACTTGTTCAAGCAGTTGCGACTCGCTGACAGCAAAGTGGGAAGGATCACACACGATTTGGCGGGGTATGTATGATAGGGGCTGGGGTGGTGGCGCAGCCACGCTCTACAGGGTCCAAAGCACTTTATGATTGTGCTTTGTGGCATAGCCTGCGAGCGTAGATCCATTGCCGTGCAGTGAGTGGATCGAATCGTATATGGAAATATTTTGATGAGGTACTGTTCTCGTTTTCATGGATTTAACAACGAAACTGAATAAGATTCAACGTGGTGAACAGGTCCCGCCCACAGGGTAAGTTACACGCAACTCAAGGTAAATGATTGAGCGCTTAAGCGGCGAAGCGGTCATGACTTGATCCCCCATTATGGAAGGATGACAGAAAGCAACTCTTCGGGGCTCTCCAAAGAGCTTTTGTGCTCTTGTAATGGTCTGTCGTCTACACTAATCTCACCTTTGGGAGCTACGGAGCTGTTGTCTGGTTACCTAGTATGCAGTCTAACACAGTGTGCATGGTCGGCGCCACCAATTGCGCTTTGAAATGGGGAAGTCCGGCGTGCGATCCTAGCGTGATGTGGGAGCTAAACCATACTTCAACCTCATTCTCAACAAATCCCCGATTCTGTGAATACACAAGCTAAGATATTATCGCCTTGGATAATAATTGAAGAAGCGGGTATCATCTAGCTGGTTATCATTCCACACATGGCGTCCGAACCCCAGCAACCTTCGGCCGGCCCGCCTCGCAAGGGTACCGACCCAAACTTCGTCCCATGTTTAAACCCTTTGCGGAGACTAATCGATCGCAGTTGACGTCTTCACTGGGGACGTCATCCACCACGACACCTATCCCGAGATCAACCCAAAAACGGCTTCCAACTGCACTGGAAAAGCAGTCATCATTACCGGCGCAAGCAAAGGGCTTGGGAAGGCATTAGCAATCGGCTACGCCGAGGCAGGCGCATCACTCATTGCCGTCGCCGCTCGCTCAAATGTCTCATCTACTGTCGCCTCCATCATCGAGGCCGCAAAGGCTGCTGGGAGGGAAGAGCCAACGGTATTGGCCCTCGAGATGGACGTGAGCAGCACGCCGAGCGTAAAGGCGGCCGCAGAGCGACTTACGGCCGAGTGGGGACGCTTGGATATCCTGGTCAACAACGCGGGCTACATGGCTCCCTTCAACTTGCTGCTTGATGCCGACGACGACGAGTACATGAAGGCATGGGATGTGAATTACTGGGGCACATATCGTGTCACGAAGGCGTTCTTGCCGCTGTTGCTCAAGGGCGGCGACAAGACGATTGTCAATATGTCTTCGGTGGCGGCTCACTTCATGGGTGCTGGAGGAGGAGCCTATCACATTTCCAAATTTGCGCTGATACGGTTCACCGAATTTGTCCAGGATGAGTATGGTGATCAGGTAACATCATTCACAAGCATGGATTTGAGATCATGAACTAAGCGTGTTTGAAAGGGCGTCTTAGCGTTTTCCATTCATCCTGGGGGGATTCCGACAGAGTTGTCTTCGAATTTGCCAGAAAGGTTGCAATGTGAGTAGGCCACACATTTAAGACGTGTTAACCTTGGGCTGACTGTGGGATAGTTCGAATGCGAGATACCCCAGAGCTTGCTGCCCATTCTATCCCGTACCTTACTAGTGTCAAGAGGGAATGGCTAGGAGGCAGGTGGATTAGCTGTATGTGGGATATGCCAACCCTCGTAACTATGGAGAAGAAGATAGTTGAAGGGAATCTCCTGAAGTTTGAGTGCAGTGGCTTGTAGAGAGACAAACTCTAGTTGGCCTCGAGATAAGACACATAAGCGATCTATCATATGACCCAAATGTCGGATATAAACCAAGCTGGATGCGTGAAAAGCTCAAGGTAAATTTGTTCCGTGTTTGCTGATATGAAGTTCAGAAATGCCTAGAACCTCCTCCGAGACTGCTGTTGTTGGCGAACTTTTTCGATCCGCCTGTTACACCATTCCAACTGTCGGATTGGAAGTCCAATTCGACCGCGGCATACGGCCGACTGCGCAGGGGCCAATTGGGGGCCCTATTTACGATTATCGTAGCCAGCCCAACCTACGGTTGGAACCTCCTTTTTCCACCTACGCAGAAATTCATATAGTTCAATTGATCTCTTCGTCAACTACGGTTCGAACCAACTACCCTGTAATAGGGATACCAACACCAACCATTCCCCGAGCCTTGGTATTACAAACCAAAAATTCGTAAGTGCGAACATGGCACTAGCATTTGCTGTGTCTGGAAAAGCGAGATAATACTGAATAATCCCCTCATCCCACATCCAGACAACCGCCGACACTGTTGCAAACAAAAGGACTACCAGGAAGACCTCGAGAAGGAGGTCCCCTGGAAGTATACTGGACATGAAATAAAGCCACCCCGCAAACAAGCATACTGCGGCGATGTAGCTCATGAGGGGTTCGAGTGCCCAAGACAATGTCTCAAAAGGCTTCAGGACAAAGTTGGTGAAAAGCACACTAGGCCATCGTACCCAACTTCGATGATCTTCTGTGAAGGGGATATTTTCAAGCTCGCCACTAAGATTCCGATTCTCGTTGAAAAATGTGCCCTCTTCTATGGCCTACCGTATCAGCATCGTGCTAATCCAGCGGACGGATAGACTCACCAGCCGAAGATAGATCACTATCCCATTGCGGACCCTGGAAATTAAATGTACCGAATGTTATTAGCGGCGAGGTGCCAAGTCTGCCTTTTGATCTTCGCATAGAGGGCTGTTTGGGTGTCGGGGATAGCAGATAGGTAAAAGAGAAGGTAACAAGGAGGAGCTGTCGAGTGTTCCTCCACAGGTGGCCTTCAGAATTCTGTAAAGAGAGCTTTGGCAACTTTAAGCAAGCCGCGTCGCTCATTGTTGGTCATGCACCGAACGATTAAATTGGACTAGAACCAGGGGCAAGCCAAAGTTTGAGAGCCTCAGAGTGGAATTTAAGGGAGATTTGACCGCTATTTGCGAACTGTCTCTCGGCGCATGGAAAAGGCGGCAGGCTGCAGCACGTAAGCCTTGGCTGTTTCCCTTGCCTGAGGTAGGTAACATGATGTATCAGCCGCATTCCCGCCATAACTTCGTCCCTCGGCCCTTTCCCGGTTACGCCTTTGTAGAGGACAACCATAGTTGAGCTTGGATACATAGCGTTGGCTGGCAATCTGCTCCAATTCGCTGAACTTGGTGTCAAATTAGTTCGCGGCGCCCTGGAGCGGTACAAGTCTGCCGATGGCTCGACTATTCATGATGAGATATTGATAGCCGATGCCCGGCGTCTGAGACATCTTGCAGGTGTTATCCTGAACAATGAGTCAGATGCAACAAAGACAACAGAAAGTCCGATACTGCGCTCCATTGCTCAGAGATGCACTGAGGATGCTGCTGTCTTGATTGAGATCCTCGACGCATTGAAGGTGGATACAACTCCAGGCCAGAACTTATACGTAAGGAAGTTACAGAGCTTTGAGCAAGCACTAAAGCGTATGTTGAAAGAGCATAAGATACGGGAGTTGGAGTTGAGACTTGGAGGTCTCCGCAGAGAATTGCAGCTATTTCTCACCCATGCTGCTGGGTAAGAGATCACAATGAAAGACAGGGTCGAGGATACTTAACGCTAACAAGACTCATGCAGAACAGCACAAAAAGATATTCAATCCCTTTTCAGAAGATTAGAAGATCAGAACAACAGCCTCGAGGCTAAGGCCACCGCCAAACTGGACGACATCGTTAGGCGAATTGACAAGACAACGCAAGTCTTACAAAAGACTATACCCAATGAATTCTCAGCCCAGATAGATCTTCTCAGGGCCGAGATCGATGAGTTCAATGACGAGAAACAGTACGTGCGAACGAGACACCACATACTACGCAGTTTGAAATTCGATCAAATCAAGGCGAGGCAGGAAGCGATCAAGGAAAGACACAGAGCGACGTTTGACTGGGTTTTCAGCCACGATGATACCCTATTTCCCCAATGGTTGGAGTCAGGTAATGGAATTTTCTGGGTAAGAGGAAAGCCAGGAAGTGGCAAGTCGACTTTGATGAAGTTTCTCGTCACTCATCCGACGACGAGAGTGAAATTAGGAGTCTGGGGCAACGGCTGCACGACGATCATCGCATCTCACTACTTCTGGAGTGCCGGAAGCTCCATGCAAAAGTCACAACGCGGCTTGCTCCAGACACTCCTGTACGAAGTGTTGAGGGAGGTTCCGAATCTCATCGACCGCGTTTGTAGTCGTCGTCGATCGGCCTTTCAGCACGAACTGATGGAAACATGGGGGATGGAGGAGCTTCTCGCAGCATTTGCCCTACTCGCTAGTCAGACGGATCTCCCTATGAGATTTTGTTTTTTTATCGATGGTCTCGACGAGTATACGGATCGAGCAAAGCGATACGACAACACCTTCGAAGGTCTTCTTCGAGTTCTTAAAGACTTCGCGTCCTCGCCTTCTATCAAGATTTGTGCTTCAAGCCGGCCATGGGATGCCTTCCTGGACGCATTTGGTGCCCAGCCATGGCAACTTCGGATGGAGGACCTGACTAGAGACGACATCCGCCACTATGTCACGGACATATTGTGCAACAACGATGACTTTACGGCACTTACGAAACAAGATGACCGTTGCTCTCGAGTAGCCGAAACAATTGTCGGCAGAGCTCAGGGCGTATTTCTGTGGATTTACCTTGTCGTGGAGTCCCTGAAGAACGGCCTCACAAAAGGAGACACATTCACAGAATTGCAAAGTCGGGTGGACGAGCTTCCAGCTGACCTGGAGGAATATTTCCAGCAGATGATCGAGTCAATAGAGCCGATATACTGGGAAAGCACCTCGCGAATTTTCAGAATCATGATTGAATCCGGTCAAGCGCTACCGCTTTTAGCCTTCGAATTCCTCGAACAGGAGGCAGAAAATGCAAGCTATGCGTTGCAAATGAAGGTCGCCTCCACTTTGCCGGAAAACGTGGAAAAGTTACATGACAGAATGAAGAAGCGGCTCAATGCGAGGGGCAAAGACCTCCTCTACGTTACCTTTCATCCGGCCAAGAGACCATTTCTTCAGTACCAAGTCGACTTTTTGCATCGAACTGTGAGAGACTTCTTCATTGATCGAGCCGTACTTGAGGAAACAAAGGCAAGAAGAAAGACTTCCCACTTCAACCCGGCACTTTCACTGTGCCGAATCATGCTGGCTTTTATCAAAACAGTGTCATATTCGGAAGAAGCGGTTAACTACAACGAGATCTTTCTCTTTTCTGACGGACTGATGTACCATGCTCACACGATTCAACAGGCATTTCTCAACAACAACAACGAGGAATCTGATATCAACCCTCAATGGTCATCGGATGACAAGGAGAATATGTTCAATCTGCTTGATGCATTGGATCAAACGAATACTTCGAATGCCAGAGACAAGAGTGTCCACTGGACGAACTTCAGAGAAAGCCCAAAGGGCAGCTTCAGAGAGAAGCGACAGAAGAACTTTCTAGCCTCTGCTATACAAGCGAGGCTATCATTGTATGCGAAGCACAAAATCGACATAGATCTAAATCAGGTTCATGAGAAGACTGGCCGACCGTTGCTGGACTACGCTCTGCGGCCAACCACCGTGACCCCTTTTGAGCTACCTACTCAAGAAGGTCCAGTCGGAGCTATGGTTGAATTCCTGCTACAAAACGGGGCTGACCCGAACCAGAGAATCGATTTGTATGGCGGAAAGACGACTTGGCAACTTTTCCTTTCTGTCTGCTACGGCCACAGTCTCCAAGCCGAAAAGTTGAGCCTTGATGAAGATGAGGTGACAGACACGATTGTGGCGATGTTGCTGTCGGGGGCAGATCCCAAAGTTAGAATTGATCTCAATGGCGGCGGGAGAGCAGATGTCCTAGGGGTTGCTTTAAGACTGGTCCTTTCTAGGGCAAAAATTGAGAGAATCAAGAGCGCGATGAAAGACAGCAAGCCCTGTCAGCAGCCGGGTTTCTTGGAGAGCTTCAGGTCATGGTGGTGGAGGTACTGAAAGGTTTTTCGAGGGCCGAAAGAGTCCAGTAGACAAACGAACCATGTGAAGGGTAAACCACTAGTACAATTAGATCTTGACAACGACTTTACTACTCCTAATCTGCTCAAACTGTTTTCTTCTCCTAATTAGACCATAGCGTTTTCGTTCACCCTCGCTTCTCTTGGATCTTAATAATCTCATCGTCCTTCTTAACCCATTGATCATTTTGGGACTCGTGACCAAGAGTAGGGCAGCTACATCCCTTGAACTAGCAAAACATATGACCGTTGCCCACCCTTCTCAGCATATACCGCAAGTACAGGATGTAATATCCGGGCAGAAGTTAGAACTGATGAACAAGAGCTACTAGCTGTCGCCAATATGCGCATTATCGTGGAAAACCTGAGGAAGCAACCCATGCTGATGCACGCTCGGAGCATTCGGTCTTATGCTGGGGCTGTTACCGCCGCTGCTCACCAGCCTCCGAACCCAGTCAGGTAAAGCAGACCACCTACACAGCAGGAAGGCATGCAGCCCCTTCACCGAGGTTCCTCCCAACACTGCTCCTGCCATCGACAACCGCGGTCCTTCCACACTCATCCGACCCACCCCCAATTCTCCCCAAATCCCAAGCCCCCATCTCGCTACCGCGGCGCCCTCAACCGCATCGATAGCCATCCCAATGGCGAGCATCATTATCCGACAGGATCCGGGATCCATTTACCGACCCGGCCGAACCAACATCGGCTACAGCATTTTCAGCGACGATGGCGTGATTGGAGAGTTCGTGATACAGTCTCATAGGTCAAGTCTCTTATGCGGAGCTAGCTAACACTCGAGACAGACCCGCCCCTCAGGACGAAGATTCTTGGATCGAGTTCCTGACCGACGAGGCGATCGAGGACCTCGACATGACTCCGGATGGCCTCTCTGAGAGCGATACGCAGTCGCACGACGCCCAGCCCGAAATGTCAGAGAAAGTCATTGACTCAATCGAGGCGGTGAACAGAGAGGACGGGACCGAGGAGGAGAACCAGGAGGACAAGGCCAGTCATTCCATTGCCACCCGGGTTCGAAATGTAACATCTCCCTTCCTAGCTTCTCGTTCTCGCAATATTGACTTTCAGGTACAGGGACCTCTCAGCCCCATGTTAGTTGATGGCATCCCCCAGGTAAGAACGTCACTGCCTTCTCTCCCCCCCCCCCCCTCCTTGTTGAAGGAAACACCCCTAACAATATGTCGCTGTCCAAGAACCCCGACGAGATCTACTCATCCGCGGCGCCGCTTGACCAGCGCGTGAAGTAGGACTCCACGTTGGACGGCTTCCGAGGCTTCTATGACAACATGGGCAACCCCTTCTTCCAACATGACTATGACTATGAGCCCGCTTTACCCCCTCACCTCCGTCGCCCCATCTTCGTCGACTGGGCCGAGCCCTTCAAGAACCCCGTCTACGCTCTTCGTTACCTTGCAGAGATTGCCGGAGACTACTACACCGTGGCTCTCATGAACCAGAGAATCAGCATGCAGCAACGCCCGCAGACACCAGGTGCTCAGAGCGTCTTGCAGTCGCACCTGCTCTCGCCTGCTGCCTCGCATATCGCTACGCCCGCTCGCACGCCGGCTACTAAGCGCCTTCGCTTCTCCGACGATGTCGTTCGCTCTGGTTAAGAGAATCCGATGAACGAGGATGCGCTCATTCTCGATAAAGCTCAGAGCATTGGCAATTCTGCACGAAGAGAGGATCGGCAAAGGATAGGAGTATGAAAGCATAAGACATACTTTTACAGTATGATGGCTCAATGGTTTCAGGAGCCAGAACTAGTCTCAGCAACAGGATACCCGTGGCCAAGTTGGGTTGACACACAGCTCTGGAATAAATACTCCTCTTGTACTCTTACTGCTATTTCATGGAGAGACTTCCCAGTGATCAACTCGAAGAAGCAGAATAGACCCAGACTCGCTGGGTTTGACTGCTGCCCCGAGTATGTAGCGCTGTCCCGAGAGAATCTGAAAAGACCGATCAGACCACGAAGTACCATTGAACGTATTCTTGATCCTGCGCCAGGATTCGGCATGAACGACTGCGTTGTGCTCGACAAAGTCCAGCATCTGTGACTGATCCGTCCCCAGACTACATGTCATGGTCCGCCCATCCGCCTCCAGACGCACCCCGACCACGATGTCGCGCACGAACGTTCTCGCAACGGAGTCTAGGGTCTCAGTGATACGGAGCACGATATATGTGATGCTTTGTTGCTCAACGTAGTAGATCCATTGATGCGGGCTAATACTGCCGGTGTTGAAAGCCTGGCCTGCGGGGTCGGACTTGTGGACTTGGAGCGCAAGGGCGTGTTTCCCCTCCATGGATATCCTGAAAGTCTTGGATGACGCTTGTCCGATAGCACCTTCGCGGCCAACTTCCGGCCCGACCAGACCATAAGAATTTTTCATTGATAGATACAGCGGCTCAGGAAACGCATTATCAATCCTAGCCGTGATCGGCATAGCGCGGATACGGCTTGTGTTAGATCTAACGTAAAGTCCATTCTCCGGGTCAACGCACTTGACTTCGACACACAAGTAGTACTCTTTGGTGTACCCATCGCGTGGAATGGTGAGGAGGTATCGAGTCCACAAATAACGTGCCCCCATGGTGTTAGGTGAGACATAGACTTCTGGCAGCTGAACATGCAGGCCTCGGCTTGTGACTGTAGGAGGTACCGTCTTCGAGTTATCTCTGAGGCCTCCGAAGGTCGAATACCCGGCTTCAGACTTGAGCGAGGCTTTGGGGAGGTATTTAAGACGCTTAGCATTATCCCAAGTCAACTCAGTGTCACGCACAGGTAAATCTCCGGGGAAATAGAGGCGAACTCTTTCGAAAGCGGCAGGACTTTGTGCAAGGACGCCGGATTGCTCTCCTAAAGAGTATGTCTGAGCCCAGAGGAGAACGCTCATGTCTTCCGAATTGCGTATGATCTCTTGCTGTAGGCGGACGAAAGCTCGATCCCCTTCACCGTAAAGAAGTGGCATGTGGATGTCGAATATGCCCAAGAGGCAGTACGCGATGTCCTCCTGTCGCGTTGTTTTCCTTGTCGAAGCCCAAGACATACGTTCGGCTACGGGCAACGATGGTATTGGGGTGTCATGCGAAAGGACGTCACGTCGGATTCCCGTCCGGTTGTGTAAGAGGTACTCGAGAGAGGACTTGGTCCCAACTTCGTTCCAGTCGCAGTCATAGAATTCGATGAGCCTGGTCGCAAGTAGCTCTTGGAGAGTCCAGCCTCTGGTAAACCACTTGGTAGACTTGAAAGCCAAGTAGTCCAGCCGGCCAGGCTTCTGAGCCAGCAGGTCGCTAAGGTAGACGTAGCAGACGGTCGCGTTTTGATACCAGCGGAACATGGAATTGATGGCTTCGGAGAGGTCGGCACTCGAGGTTTTATCGATGCAGCACGTATCGATCCAAACCCAGATGATGCCGTCCCGGAGGGCCTGGGCACAACAGGCGCGGACCTTGGCGAACCCCTTCTTGAGGGCATAAGAAGAATTGGTGACATCTTGCAGTGTAACCTCGTCTTCTTCCCAGGTGTGCGAGAGGATTGCGTAGATTGGGATGCTGTAGCCGAAGAACTCATGCAGCTGAAGACTGGTGGCGTTTAGGAGCATCATCGTCGAAAAGCCCAAGGCTAGCAATCGTAGACGTAAAGAAACGAAGAACAATAGGAAATACACCGAGTTTGCAAGCTCTCAGGTCATCTACCGGATGGCGATAGTCGGAGATTCTGAAAATCCATGCGCACACTTGAGCGGTAAGACAGCTGCAGCATGTCGGACACGGCGCCACACGCAACGTCGGCGAACCAATACGGTGTTCAATGGCGCCGTGGTGCTGGACAGCACTCACTTTTGTGAGCATGCCTTCGGTGTTTGGCCTGATTACCATGTCAGCACCGAAGCATCCGGACATCTTACTCTTACTCAGACAGAGACAACAACACTATGTGACCATTGCAAACGACGACCTGACGGGTATGGTATCAGGCTGGCACTGCGTGTTCTTCTGGTGTTGTTGAACATCTCCAAAGCCAATGTGTCGTCACGTGGGAGTCCAGTAATAACGACTCCAAGAGGTTCAAGATTGCGAAACAGCCACATTGGGGGCTATGGTGGTTAGAGTGGCTGAGTGCCGGAATTGGGGTGTCTCAAGCAGGCTCGCTGGGATTATGGCGCAGCCTTCAACATGGATAGTTGTCGGTAGTCGGGAGAAGCCTGCTCCGATCAAGAGGTATCCTTACCCGTATTGTTGAGTGTATACTCCGTACAGAGCCGACGAGCGAGGTAGGTAAGATGAGAAGGGGCGAGCTGGGCCTCATGATCTCATCACCGAAGCTGCTGTTCCGTCCAGGGGCGTGGAGGCGAGGCCTAGTCGAGATGTGCTCTGACTGGGGTGAGAATGGATTCCCGTGCGCTAGACGTCATCGGCCCTCAAAGTCAGCAGGGGTTGGCGGGCCGAGTGCAGTGGCAGCTGTCTCATCTCGGATGGTCGTGAGAAATACACTTGATGGTGAATGTCATTGTTTTGAAAGCCACAGAAGCAAACAATGATGAGATGTCTTGGTGTTTCCTGGGCGACGGAGCTTACAGCTTGAAGCTGTAGCCAGAATGCAACGTCAGATGCAAAAAGATTACAGAGGGTTTACATGTAATGCGCCCGATGGATGTGAAGGAGAGAGCTTCAGAGGAGCAGCCAGTAACATTTCACGCCTGAGAGCATTTGAGCCAATCCTCAGGCACAAGTGGAGTTTAGCTAGGATACGTATCGCCTTACATAAGGCAGCATGTGATGCAATGGCCCGGGAAATGCGGGTCTGCAGCTTCAGGAAAGAGCCAGGAGGGGCGAGCTACAGGGCGGGGTACCCCTCTTTCGCACCTGCCTCCCCCCCAGCTCAGCTTCGTCACACCTCACCTCACCAGCAGACGGCAAGAGCAACAGGCCACAAGGGCGGGTGTCTCCTGCTCTCTTGAGTCTCGACCTTGGGTGCTGTGTGGCCGTCCCATGTGCCTCTCTCCTGTCATTGCCATACCAACTGTGCCAACCCAACCCCAACCACAACCAATACGCTCATCCATCCGACCACCTTATTCCAGACGCGAACGTGCCTTGCTGTTCCAGTTCAACCCCTCTTCCAAGTTCAAGGTGTGAAGACGCAGACGGCAGAAGATTGGAGAGACTACAAAACACACCACCACCCGCGCCCATCCACCCTCCGCCCTCCCGCGTCCAGACTCCCGTCCTCTACCCACGTTCCCCATCGCGAAAACCACCGTTTGACTACTACGCTTACCACTTATCATCCCAATTCCAAGGCGGAACAATCGCAAATCCTGTCTTGTTTCTTACCCTGCGCAACGAAAACGAGGCGAGACGAGTCCGTAAACCCCAGCTTCACCGGAACCCGCCGATAGCTCGCCCCGTTCGAGTATCAGATACTAGATCCCCCGCCAACCATCAACACCACCAACAAATCAACCATGTCTGACGAGAACACCAAGTCCGTCGTCGACGAGACGCCCATCACCCACCCCGCCGGCGAGCGCAAGAACTCGCTTGAGGCCCACCTCCAACACCGTCCCGATCGCGCCGAGTTGGTCGAGAGTATGTGAATCCCTTCCCACAGTCTCCATCTCGTGATTCAATCCCTGCCTCAATGTGCATTTGAATCTGCAACCACAACCAACGCCGCCTTCCATTCGAATCTGCCCTGGATACACTGTTGTCGCGATTTCCTGTTTTCTTTCCCCTATCCGATGCGTGCCCCCTACACATCTTCCCGTCCGTCGCGCCCCACCGTCCGCCTCACCCGCCGATCATCAAAACCGGGATCACCTCGAATTGTCCGGAATAAAAACCCCACTCTCAATGCGCCTGCTGCGCATAGCCGGGGACCTTACGCCGCCTCGTCCCGGATTTGCATTGATACGATGGTAACATGCTAACTGACCTTCCAACAGAGAATATCTTGCCCGCCTCCAACGCCGCGCCTAGCTTGATCGCCCACCAGAAGGAGCTTGAGAAGCACATGCGTGCAGACTCTCTCAACGACAAGATCTCCCACCGCCCTGCCCCCGAAGACCTCATCAAGGAGGGCGTGCTGAAGGAGGACCCCCGCAGCGCCGACGACAAGTATACCGAGGCCATCGAGGACGAGTACGCCAAGCGTGAGGGTGGCGCGTGAGTTCGTCGCGATGCGCTCCTCGACGGTATTTGATCACTTGTCTCGTCATTCATTCGCGCTGCTACGACTTTGAGGCGAACATGGTGGAGGATGATGCACATTGAGGACGTGCGGAACGACAATGTAGGATTATTGGTATTCGGTACCGCGGTTATATGATATGGAGGATCTGCACTCTTCCATGAATGAGTCTACGAATAGCAGAAAAGAGCCAAAAACAAGTTTAGTTGTTTCCTTGTCAGGGCAGTCTGGTGGATAACGAGCCAGACTGGAACTTTAGCTTCCGAAAATAAACAAGAAAAGAAAGAACAGAAACATGGATTGGATTACCCATCAGAAACGGAGATATCTATGACATGCATGCATCATCAACTTGTTTCTCGCAGCCTTGTCGTGAATGAAGCCTGCTCTTATCGGCGGACACGAGATGGCAGATCCAAGGGTCTTTTTGGGGTATTACGGAGTACCTCTGTTTCTATTATTGGAGCATTGGCATGCCACACAGCCGTACTGGAGCCCTCCTCCCCCCACCCATTAACATGTGAACTATTTCCTAGCCTCAGGGCGACAAGTTGGAAGGCAACAAAAGAATGAAGAAGGCATACCGGTATATTTGCAACTTTGGATTAGTATTTTAACTACCTATTTGAAGTATCTGGGTAAAGTGCCCTGTACTGCTGGTGAAAGTACCTTAGTTGAGGTGGCCCATATCACAGCCCATCCCACGCTCATGGTGCATGAATGACATCTTAGGCTGCGCTTTAATCAAAGACACATGCAAGTCATTACCACGAGAAAGACACAGGGAGGAAAGACAGACGGGGCTCAGTCTTCAGGAGAGAGAGAACTGACGCAAGTCATCAGGGCAGTCTCAACTTCACTGCCTCCACAGCCAGCCCGGCCTGGTCTGAAGTCGCAGTCTGGACTGGACCAAGCTGTGCTTACTATGGTACCGCACGCGACACCATTTCCCCCATCCCCTTCCTCCAACTTTTTTTTTTTTTTTTTTTGCATGTATTTCTCCATGGCACGGTGGCCTATCGTCGCATTTCCACACTCGGACTGCCGTCCTGCCGTCGCTCCCGCCCCTTGCAGTTGCAGCAGCGCTGGGCCGCTGGGCCTGGGGAACCACAATCAATCAGGGGATCTTGACATGCCTTGCTTACCCTACGGAGTACGGAGTACCAGATACTCAGCAGTGTAGTACACTGAGGTGGGCTCCCCTTCCCCTGGAAGAAGTTCAGTCTAGGGGAGTGAGTGCAGCGACACTTTTTGCTTGCCTTGCCTTGCCTTGATTACTTCCGAGCCTGGACCCCTTTCTTCCAAGTAAACGTTTGCTTTTCCTCAGGGGGATCAATCAGTCTTGGTGCGAATACATGGCGCAGATGCTGGGCCGGCCGTGTGTTTGGAAACTTTTGTACCTGTTTTCCCGCACTTTTCCCACAAACCCTCGAGCCCTCGTCGTTGTTGACTTTTTGGGTTCAGAGACAATGAGGCGGGCGGACTGGTGGGTTACAGAGACAAAAATTCAAATTCCCCATTTGGAAGGACTGCGCAGGCACACCGAGCTGATGGTTGGGTTGGGAGAAGGAAAAAGGAGACATGCATGTCACTCATTGGTGGTAGGCTGGTAGGCTTGAGGTAAATGTGCAAAGAAATTGTAACAGTTTGTTGAAGAATTTGACAGGATACCATCGATCTACGGGCGAGCACAAAAGTGTCGCAGATCCAGTGGTTATCCCGTAAAACACAAAAAATCCCATCCGTCTAATCTAGACATGACAGTGGCTCCCGTCCCATCCGTCGGTGCAACATACAAAACATACAGGTATCAACCTCCTATCCATCCTTGGGAGGTGTTCCCACAATACCAAATTCCCATGCGTCCCCATTATCATCCATGCATCCCGTAAAATTCCCAATGCTGTTCCGCGGGCCAATCACGGTGTTACAATATGCTGTACAGGAGTGCGAAAGCCGCCCAGTCGCTTATGCCCGAAATTCCCCCCAATAACGCCAGTCTTTATGCATTTACAAAGTGAAGTGGTTTATATGTTGTCGTTGAGGAGTGAAAGAGTCGCATCGGCATCGCTTGCTCTAGTGGCGCGAGTATCCGCCGCCGTAGTGTGGTGATGGAGCGTGGGCGTCGTAGCCAGCTTGCTTGCGGTTGATGATCGTGACGCCGCTGTTCTCCTTGATGGCAGCGCGGTGCTGGTCTGCGCCGTAGACACGGAGGTAGGCCTCATCGCTGGGAGAGATGGAGCGAGGGGTGGAGGAGCCTCTTGATGAGGCGTAGGAGCCTGTTGATGCCGAGTAGGCGCTGCTGATAGAGGCCGGGGCCTGGTGGACGATCGGCTTGGAGGAGCTGTATCTGGAGGCCATGTTGTGTTTGGTGTTACTCGAGTATGGGGTTCGAGTTGTGCGTTGAGGGTTGTGTGATAGATGGAGGTTGGTCTCCAAAGGTGATGTGTTTGTTGAAGAGAGTTGAGCTGGTAGGGTGTTTATGAAGTTTGGTTGACGAGTGTTTGACTTGGGAGTTTGGTAAAGAAGATGTTCGAGTCTGGGAAGAGAGGTAGAGGGCATGGCAGGATATATAGATGAGAGGTGTTTGCAGACACCACACCCAGACCTGGGATGCCTCCATCATCTTTGTACGTACACTTGTAAGTACGGATACTCGAACGCGTGTGCCATCAGCACTTGCCGTAGGCAGGGCATGCTTGGTCCCGGGGTGTACGGTACGGCAGAGAGAAAGAAGAGACAGAAAGAAAAGGCCCGCAAAAGGTTTGGCCTGCCTGGCCATGCGAGAGGTACCTGGACATGGACCGGGACCTGGACCGGGCAAAGTAGAAGAAATGCCTTGTGGAAAGTCTCGCTGATGGGTGGTGTGTGGTGTAGGCGAAGCAAAGAGTAAGTGACTCAACCTCAGCCCAACCTTGGACCTTGGAAAGCATTGCTTGGAAAGCAGACTCTGGCACGGGAGTACGGACGGAGTAGAGGTGCCAGCCCAGGCATGAGGTGTGAGGCAGTGTGGGGATAGCCCTGGATGCTTTGGGGCTGACCAGAGTGTAAGAAGGGCCGGGTGTGTGCGTTTAGACTTGAGAATCTATGGTGTCCTGGCCTCCTGGTGTGTGCGTGTGTGTGGCCAGTTCTTCTTGTGTCGCAAGGCGACTGGGAATCCATTGGGCAGCTTTGTCATTTCAGGGCCCTTCAAAATGCAGGGACGTTAGGCACGGGAAACGCTAGAGTGGTTTAGTCCGAAGTAATAAAGTCCATGGATTACCAAGGAAAGCAGGGAAGAGGGCTGTTGTGATGTTGCAGATGCTGTGGAAACCAGAAAAGGGTGCGGTTGGCGGGCCCCTTGAGCATCTTTCCGGACTAGACGACAGGATGCAGCGCGTGTGCGTCTATGAAGTCCTACCAGACAGACTACCACACTACCGGCCAAATAACGCCAAAGTCCTTTGGGGCCATGCTTGATAGTAGCAGGACTTACGGATACAGCATCAGGAGAAGCAGTATCCGTACTTCTCAGGAAACCCTCCCTTGATGCCTCGGTGGCGAAACATCATGGTTGATTGGACGAGGGATGGTCGGACGACGCAGGTAGGGCGGATTCAGGGCGATGATTGACAGGACTGCCGCTGTGTCTCGCCCTGCTTGGATGTTGTACTATGTCCCGCTTTCACCTGTGTCCGCCCTTTAGCCGCCGTACGTATCATTGACACAGTTTGTCATCATTCATTCGCAGCTTCGAGACGTCCAGACTCAACAACTGATCAGTGATGCCATATTCCGCGCCAGCCTGATGTCGATGACCAAGCGGCGACGCGTAAGTGCCGTCTTTTGCGGTCTTGTGGCTGCTCAGCTTTGGGGGCCAGAACCTGTGATTTCGCGGCAGAAGTAGAAAAAAAAGCCAGAGCAGCTACGGCCTTGCAGGAACTTGGCTGTCGTCGCTCATCTTCAAGGACTCGTGAGACTGCCAGCCTTGGTTGGCCCCCGTAAGCGCTTCGCCGCCATGCAGGACACTCTGTGAGTGTGTGCCAGATTGGGAGGCCACCCCTCAGCCGTGTCGCCAAATCTGGAATGGCACAGAGGAATTAAAGATTTTTCTGTGCTCTTGTTGCTCGAGTCTCAAGAAAAGAAGGTATCAGTACCAGCATAGCCCCTGGCTCACGGAGGACTGTCGCTGCCCAACTCATGGCCCGATGATCCTCGGGTTGCCATTGTAATTTGCTTCCTTTTTCTTCTTGTCACTCTGGTTTCCACTCAGTCGGGACCATCCGCCGGAGACAAGAAATGTCTGTGTTTCTGGAAGCCGGTCGAGTTGGGCCTCCAAGGGGCCAGAGAGTTCGGATCGAGCCTGATGTCTTTGGAGGCGGACAAGGGGCATCCCCTGCTAAGTAGACTGCGACCCAACAGGCCTCCATCGCATCCATTCGATCGGGTCAATCGTGGCCTCCAGAAGACGCCAGTTATGCAAGAAGTAGCGATCTGGCTACAGTAGCTAAATTGCCTGCAGAACAAGTGCTAGAAGAAGATCGCGGGAGTCTGCAGCGATGCAGCGGCGGTGATCATTCTGCCGAGTGGAGGTGTTCATGCCTCCAATGTGCAGGGCAATAGGGCGAGCTGCATGATTTGATCGCCCACTGGAGGCCGGGCGACAAGTGAGTCCGATGTTTCTATGCTGTGTCGTGCCACACTGGCAGAGAGGGTACGACGGAGCAGCAACATAGCTGCTGCTGCTACCCAGCGTCGACAGCCTTCAAATGTGCAAAAAGAGACATCATGCAAAGCTACCGCCAACCGCCTGCCTGCGCAGTTCCCGCTTAGCGCATTTTTCGTCGTCTCTCATATCGTATCGATGCATCCGTCGGATAGGCAAGGTACCCCTTTGCGCGGAATGACCGTGATTCTGATCCGGTGTGTACCGGTATCCCCCCTTTGCAGTAGCGGATGCTGAATCGCCAGTTGAAAGCTGCCAGTCTGACAGGTACGCAGCACGAAGCGGATGACATCTTGATGTGGGCGGAGCATGGCTGCCGTAGTCGTCAATTGCTTGGTGACTAAAGTCTGACGGACTGACGTGGTGGAAGAGAAACGGAAAAAGCACCTCACCTGGGCCAGGCGCCCGCCAGCAGAGATGGAATGTTCCGAGCTTCAGCCACAGTTAAGCCAGCTCATACGCCACACTAGAGACGCTACGTACCAGCTACACCTCTCAACATTTCAACATCAGCACTCGATGATGCTGGGTAGTCAAGCAAATGGGGATAGACCTAGCATAGGTACTTATTCAGGGGCCTTTCGAATCGAAGGTCACGTTCCTCACAGCTTTCAGAAACCTCTTCATTTAAGCCTGACATCGTCATTATGATTAAACGTGTATCAGCCTAACTACCATTCGACGAGCTGAAGAAGCCGATGTGGGAGCCCTATCATCCGATATTGAGCTCGTAGAGCAATCTTCTGGTATCCTCTCAGTGGTGCCTTCAAGAGATGCGCTAGAAGCGGCGCAGCGAGTGGTGGACGCCTTACATGAACTTGCCACCCGTGGTTCGCGGCCGAGTAGTCCCTTCTACTTCACAGATCCCAACGCTGTTGCAGCGTCAACAGTTCGAGGGATAGCCGAACTCTTCACCTCGGTCCATCATAGTGCTCGCTTCATCGACGGCTTGATCTTAGGAGAGCCCCCCGTTTTCGTCTCGGCAAGCGATGTAGAGCCGCAGACCGTCTCACCTACGACGGCTACGAGTGGTGTTGAACAACGCTGGTCCATGGGTACAGGCCCGAGTCCCCATTTCCGGTCCTCATCAGATCACGGATTTGCCCTATCACGGGGAGAGGTTGTATGCAGAGCTGAACATGCGTTATTTGGGCAGCGAAGTGGGAGCCGCCAGCGGGCTGAAGATGTGTTACACAACCATGTTCAAGGGGTACATCGCAGTCGCCGCACGAGGGTTGGCCACCGCGGAACGACTCGGCCTGCTCTACGTTCTCAAAGACGAGCTGCAGCTACGTCTCCCAGATCACTTACGTCTAGCCGAGAGCGGAGTCACCGTCACGCCACCGAAAGCATACCGCTGGGTATTCGAGATGCAGCAAATAGCCCGAACTCATGCCGAAGAGGGTGGGTTTGCCCTGGGTCTATTTCAAGGAGCTGAAGGAGTGTTTCGTGACATCGCGGAAGATAGCGTCCTCGGGAAAGAAAAGATTGGAAATAGAGTTCGAGGTACAATAATGGAAGACTTTGCTGCCATACTCGCAAGGGACTTGGAACACAAGACGACTTATTGCCAAGTCTCCCCGGGTAATGACGAGGACCATTCCTAGGTAGACTCATAGTTTAAAGCATGAAGTCAACAAAATGGCAGTCTCCAGCCATCAGGCGATTCGACCGCTCACTGCTGCTTTACCTTTCTACCTTGATACTCACATATCTAACCTCGCCGGCAGGTCCACGATGGTCATCGGCAAGTCCAGCTACCTTACTGGGAAGAGACTTCGTGATTGTCTACGCGGGGGAACCTTGAATAGTCATTCTTGGGTCGCTGATGTAAACGATGGCGGCTATATACTTTGTCCCCCCGAGTTGTCTCTATACATCAACATCTCGTATTCGAGGGTTGGGTCCTTGAAGCGGATTCTGCCTTGGCCATGGAGACAAGTACGTCCAGCGCTACCGCCCAATTACTGCTAACCACGAGGGCGAGACCCATGGGAAAAAGAAACGACGACACCGAAATAGAAGAACCGAGGCCCGGGCAAACGAGGCGGCGCGCATGGCCATGGATCCCCGGAAGACTCAGGTGACGCGGATTTCGTGTCTTGAAGTAGATTTTGCAAGGTTGTCGACGCCCTCTCACGTGCTGCGTGAGATATCCACCATAGCCACCATCATCACCAGGCAATGAAAGGATGCGATGGTCTGCTTGGTTGCTGGGTGAAGAGCAGCGCCTTCCGGTGGCTTGACGTCACACAAGGATGTCAGCTGGCGGTCTGAGAGAGTTGAGGGAGTGGAGGAGAGCTTCGTTAGGGGGGATCTCTGCGATAAGGAAGTTTGAGCTATCGATAAGACAGAGTTGGAGGATAAGGTAAGGTAAGGTACGTATGGTCCGCCCCGGAATATCTTGGAAGGGGTCCACACACGGGCAGCAAGGACCTGGAGCTCCGGCCGTCAAGATTGGCCAATCGGAGGATAGTGAAGTTAAGGCGGCGTGTCTTTAACCCACCTTTGGCCAGTGTGTGGCAGTTCAGTGGCCCCTGCCTGCAGCTGTCTTCCTTGTTGCCCGCCAGCTGTATTGTTTCCCCTCCAGTCCGTCCAATTGACCGCCCACCTTCACGACTTTACCATCATCCTCATCAACCAATTTCCGCCTCGCCTTTCTCAAAACAGACACAATGCAGGGTCTCCTCCTCTCTCTTGGCCTTCTGGCCTCCAGTGCCGTCAGCTTCGTTGCTGCCGCTGACCTGAAGATCGACGTCACCCAGGAGGTCGAGTGCGACCGCAAGACCAAGAATGGCGACAAGCTCACCATGCACTACCGCGGTACTCTGCAGGCCGATGGCAAGCAATTCGATGC